CCTCTCTCCCTCTCTCCCTCTCTCCCTCTCTCCCGCTCTCCCTCTCTCCCGCTCTCCCTCTCTCCCGCTCTCCCTCTCTCCCGCTCTCCCGCTCTCCCTCTCTCCCGCTCTCCCTCTCTCCCTCTCTCCCTCTCTCCCGCTCTCCCGCTCTCCCGCTCTCCCGCTCTCCCGCTCTCCCGCTCTCCCGCTCTCCCGCTCTCCCGCTCTCCCGCTCTGTCTGACTCCCTCTCTGTCTGACTCCCCGCGTGCATGCCTCTGAGGCGCTTCGCCCTGAAGCGGACGAGGGAGAATGAAGATGACCTCCCGCGTGCCCGCATCAATACCAAATACAACGTCCATGGCCCCCGGCTTTTACGGGCACACTCACACTTGTGGACGGAACTTATAAATTATAATTTGTTTTTCACTCTTATGAAAAACGAACTAGCTACTGAATGCCTCGGAGTGCTTTAGATAAAATAGATAATTTTTCATATAGTATTCACGGAGCCGAGCGGATTTAGCTCAGTTGGGAGAGCGCTAGACTGAAGATCTAGAGGTCGCTAGTTCGATCCTAGCAATTCGCACCTTTTGTCAGCTGTGTTCATGAGGTTGTTAATACATCTACTAGTACTTAACCTATTAGGTGGTTAAGTACTATTGTCAGGGTCGAAAATCCTTCCGATGGTGCAAGGGAAAGTGCCCCTAGTTGATGAACGGTGGTGACCTGGGATAAGGTTGCGAGCTGACCAGAGGGCAGGGTCCGCCGGGTAGCGGCCGCAGGGTGAAGGTATGACCCCGATATTTTCACACATCATACTTCCTCGCCCATGTCAATGGCTGTCTATCCCCACCTCGGGCCGTCTCGTGGTCCGCGCCCGGCGGCGTGTCCATCCTAACTTTCACCAACACATCCCCGCAACACGTCCCACTCCCAACCCGTGCTCCTGAATTCATGCAGGCTGCTATATCGGCACTCCAGGGAAAGGCCACCCCGGCCCCGCTGATCCCAAACGCAAGATACCTCCCGGCTATGTGTGCAGGGCAGGCATGGCAGGTGAGTGGGTGCTGGAACGATGGACGGCGGTGGGGAGGGATTTGTGGGGACAACAGCCCTTCGGACCCGGTGAGGGAGCTTCGCCGGTATGGACCGGAGGGAGCCAAGGCCTCAAGGCCACCTCCCCTTATGTGTACCGCACAGTTTTGTGTAATGTACAGGGCTGTACGTTCGCCTTGCATGCATGGAGGGTTCACGGACTGTTGTGCTGGCCCGACACGCTGCGCAGTCATTGTGCGTATGTGGAGGAGAAACTCGTGCTGTAGATGCGGACTCGTACACCCCGTTTTCCTTGCTCGCTCACAGCCCACGGCCCACAGCCCATCGCCGCGAGATAACGCGATGCAGCCTCACCAAGGAAGAAGCGCCAGGCGGGGACTACCCATCGCCGCATGTATATGTTGAGACGGGGCCCACAATATTGCCGCACAGGTTGTGAAACCACTGCGGCACCCACCTCAAGACATTTCAGCGTTTTCTCCGTTCCCCTCCACCACGCTCATAGCCCTACCCACATCCGTCCACACGCCTACCCAATCTGCCATACCCTAACCCACTTCGTCTTCGCCCCGTATGCTCCCGCTCCACTTCCCCATTTACACTCCCCTGTCAAGGCTCGTTGCATTTCTTCATTAACTTCTTCGAGAGCGACTGGGGCGATGCGCTGTGCTGGGGCCGTGTGGAGGACATGACTCTGCCCCGCGCCATCTCCAAACGCCCCATCCGCGCCAAGACCAGGCCCGATGAACTGTCCATGCTTGTGGATGAGCTACACTTCAACCTGACGCTCACGCAGTAGTACCGCGAGGCACCGATTAACACGCCAACAGCACGTGTGTGTTGTCACGCGTGTAGTGTTGGTAGATGGCTGGCAAAGAACCGTCAAAAATCGAAACGTCTCATGAGCCATGCCTCTGACCTTCCAGCCCAAGCTACGTGTCTGACGCACCAGCCTACCGCCTTCCTGCGGCAGTGTCGCTTCGCGTATACCGCGTCGCACGAGAGACTGGTCAGCCCGCGGGCGGGTCGTCTCTCCTGCCCCGCATTAACTTCCCGAAAGTGGCCGCCGGATGGATGGGATCCCGTATGTACGATACCGACCTCGGAAAGCTGTGTAGCTGCTCAGGATTAGAAAACACGATGATTTAGGCTAAGTAAAGCTTCGCTGCTGAAGTAGGTGATTGAAGAAGTCTGTGGAGGGGATGGGCTGTACTTTGGTACTATTTGGTGTGTCTAAAAACATATGATATTGCTTCTGCGTACCACACTGTAAGATAGCTATTACACACACAGACCGGGGCTGTATGTCTCCGACAGGGATGGTGTGCAGTGGGACGTCGCCAAAACGGGTGCATGCAGTGCCAGGCAGGTAGCACTGGTGGTCACACGTTCAGATCCACCGTATCGAAAATTATCGTGCTTACACGCGAGCCCCGTTGAACTTCTCATGTACGGTGATGGTCGTACATCGTGACGCGTGACCGCAGGGGCCCCCTAAACCTGGGCAAGACAAGATGATCAAAGGCATGCATGCATTCCTGCATGCCACGCAGAAGCCTATGGCTTCTTCTACGTACGTTCCCGCATCCGTAGTTTTGCTTACGTAGGAACATTTTTAGTACGGCATCTTTTGTAACCATCTTTCGGAACGAGATCGTACAGCCAAGACCAGCACCTCCGGACCGTAAGCACCACTCGGCTCCTTCTTTCACGTTGCAGGTAAAAGCCACGACATTACGCTGATATATACGTTTTTTGCCTCTGCCTACCTACCCGCCTGCCTGCAAATATTCCCCAGCCACGGTGAATGTCTGTTGCTGTCACCTATGGAGGCCTCAGGATAGCGTTTCGAACAACACAGCGCTCATCACCGTCCGGCAGCTCGCTCTCATCCTCCCATCCCTTCAACCGTACATCCGTCCAGCCGTACTTCCGCAGCACTCGTGGATGTATCCATTATGCACACGCAGGGACCACCATGTGTGACTATTTTGAGAACTTAAATGCGGGTAACAGCTTGTAAGCTGTTCGCGCTATTGAAAGATGGTGTGATGATAGGGCCTCGCAAAATCCACCAGAAAGTTCATCCGAAATGACCGGAAAAGCAAGCCGCACCATTTACGGCGATGGCCGTATTCTTTGCTCGCAAAATGGCGGCACACATTCGCGTCCCGAGGACAAGTTTCAGTTTAAGCTATCGCGCGTGCGCGAAGCAATTAAAAGGACACACATATATATAACTTTCGGCTTTAGGCAGTAGCTGGAACACAGAAACATGCAGCAGAGTTGAGAACAGGAGGATAATGACGGCATGAGAATCTTGAACACTGCTGCAATGAACTGCTTAAAGCAAACCACGAACAACGAAAGGGCATGGCGACCGCCGCCTGCCCCTTTGCAGCCGCCACTGCAGCCAACATCATCCAAAAGGAGCCAAAAGCTCAACAAATCAGTTCGTACCCGTCTTAAACGTCTGTCCATTGATACCGGTAGAACTCACCAGACACGTGTGCCTGCACTCCATACCATGCTTCCTTTTTACGACAGACACATATACATTATGACAGACACGCACACAGCCATGCAGTAAGCTTGCTTTATCAAGCACACATGCACACACACCGTCCTCCTGGTTCACATTCCTCCTCGCACCCGCGATCAGCTGCGCGCCAGAATAAGCAAGGCATGGCAGGGCACACCGCCGTGGCACCACAGGCAGGGCACACCGCCGTGCAGCTCACCTAACAACGGTCGACGGTTGCGGCAACCGTACATCCAACATCCAACAACGAACTAACGAACATCAAGCGTCCTCAACAGCCGCAGAACCCTCGTTAGTGGGTCAAATGCGAGCATGCTCCTTTAGGTTCTAGGCAGTTCGCATGGCATGGCACATTACCACGGCGTGCTCGGCCCGGCCAGCACAGCTGCGCAGTACAGTCTGAACGTCCTATCTTTGTGCAATTACATCATTTTTTGTTTATTAACAACGTACCGAACCTTTTGTTCGTCCTTCCTCCCATGACCAATCAATCTTAGGGTTTCCAAGTCTTTTCCAGTTTTCCCAATGAGTGGAGGAGTAAGCGCAGCCGTAACAGTTGCACGTGATGAGGCTGCTGTATTCTAATCTCCGAAACCAAGGACACGCGCTCTTCTTCGCGGCGCCGAGAGCATTCTCCTGTTAGCGACCTTGCTGGGCTATGCCTGTTCGCCAAAACCAAGCATTTTTCCTATTATGTCAAAATACATTGCCAGCTATTGATACATTTCCAGTCGACCTAACAGAGGATGTTAGCCTTCACAAAACGGCAGAGAAGAAGAATGCGAGTCCCTCCAGAGCTCACCTACTCCCCATCGCTCTCTCCATCCCTCCCTCCATCCCTCCCTCCACCCCTCCCTCCCTCCCTCCCTCCCTCCCTCCATCGCTCCATCGCTCCATCCCTCCATCCCTCCATCCCTCCATCCGTGCGCTCGTTGTCAAAAAAATGAAGCAAGGACGCTGGCGGGGTCCTCGCTCAACTTCGTACTTCAAACTCGCTCATCCTCACCCCCTCACCTCGCTGTCAAGGCGCATGCAGCCCCTCGCACAACATGAATAGGACAACAGCAAAAACAAGCCAAAAAAATACCAACGGTTCCCCCGACGTGAATTCAAACCCCCGCGCTGCGTGCGTTCAAAACATCCTGCATTTCACCTGCCAGGTTGGTTAGTTAGTTGGGGTTCATCGGCGAAATCGAAGCATGGTTTCGTGCATGCGCTGCGCACGCGCATTGGCGACCTGCAGCCCGCATCCTGGCCGTCTGCGCGGACCGGTGTGGGCGACTTACGCCTGCACGGCGGGTACTAAAGCTCACCAGCCTCTCTCCCCAGGAACATGTGAGCTACGTACGCATCGTAGCCTAGGAAGGCCGACAAGACAAACTGCCGGAATGCCCGAGTGCTGCTGCCTGCTGCTGCCAGACATTAGTCCCGAACGACGAACGTCCCGGGGAATTTGTTCGATTCGCGCAACATTTCCATGCAATAAATATCAACATAAGTTCACATGAACCCAGGGTTAAGTACTGCTGGTTCCGCTGTCGCCCTCACCACCTCGCCAGCGGAAAAGGACGAGGACTCATTGCCAATCCCTTTTTGGTGTGATTGGTATGGGGGAAGTATCCACACGAATTCTTTTGGGTATCTACGATTCCCCGCCGCCAGGAACCCGCGTTTGGAGCTATATCAGCTTAAAGCAATAGCGTCGATCCTTCCGGTCCGCTGCCGGTCAGCCAGCGACTAGGGACCAGAGGCAAATGCGAGAGATAGGAGCTTTCTTGAATTTTCGGCACTCGCTCGCACAGTGTGCGCACACACGTACATACATACATACACACACTCTCTTTCTCCTGTATCAATCATACACTCCATCTATGACCCTATTGGCTTAGTATCCCCATGTAAACCTTGAGCTGTGAGAAATGAACCTGTTGCAGCCAACTAACGGAGGATGCGATCGAGATATAGCCGGCTGAAGAGGCGGCTGCGCTGCGGCGTGCGATCGGTGCAGGGCGCCATGTGGCCATGCGCCATGCGCCATGCGCCATGCGCCCATGTGGCCATGTGGCTACCCACCCGGCCCCCATAAGCGCAGGAGGTGGGCATAGAGGTCGCTCTCCCAACAGCGATCAGAAGCAGCCCGACAAATGCTCCACACGCCTCCCGCCATCTAACTTACCTCCGCAACATCCACAAACACAATAGAGGATTCGCAGCAGCAGTAGCAGCAGCAGCAGCAGCTCCCGCACCCGCCAACCGCCGTTGCCACCACGCCTGCTCTCTATGCAGCGTCACCTTAGCGATCCAGACCCCGCACCCCACGCAGCGGCAACTCCAGCCCCCGGCCCGACTCCACCTCCACCCACACTGCTTCCGCCACCACCGCCGAAGCCGCCACCACCTACACCGCCGCCTCCACCTACACCGCCGCCTCCGCCGCCAGGATTATGCGGATGCTGCACAGCCGACGCCACCCCACCCCCTCCCCCAGCTCCTCCTCCTCCTACTCCTCCTCCATAACCCCGTTCCAAACCCCCGTTGGTGCCCCCCCCAGCCCCCAAACCTGCCGGTTCACGCAGCAGCACCCGAGTCACGATAGCCTCGATGTCCACTTCGGGCGGCAGCTCGCTCAGCATGCGGGCAATGCGCTGCGTTTCAACGCGGTTGGCCCTCACAAAGGGCCGCAGTTGCATGAAGATGAAGGCCACCGCCAGCAGCCAGCTGAGCACCAGGCTGAAGATCTGCAGCAGGGTAACCTGCTTGAACAGGCTGTGCACGTGGGAAAGCAGGCTGCGGGACACCATGTTGATGCCCAGCTCAAGATTTCCTGTGGGGCCCGCGAGGAAAGTATGTAATCTTGTCTGAAAGTGGGATGTGAAGTTAAGGATTATAATAAAATAATCTGGGGAAAAAAACAGCGCTAGAAAAAGGGGAGGCTCGGGCACACAAAAGCCCGAGTAAGGGGAGCGCGCCCACGCGGCTCAGACTCGGTAACGAGCTCGGCCCCCCCTTAATTTCCCCCCATCCCCTCCCACCACCATCCTGGGCAGTAGCCAACAAACTGCGTTGTTGTCCTGCCGTAAGTCTGCAGCCTCACTATACCTCCTTTTTAGCTTCCCCCCGCTTGCTCCTCCCTCTTCCCAACCCTTGCTCTGGCTGCTTTCCGTGCATGTCAAGTGTGGGCCGGCTGTTTCCAATGTTCACAAAACACCCACACCCACACCCACACACGCACCTACACACGCACACTCACCCTCTCCCTCCATCATTATGTAATCCAGGTGGGTGTTGTTGATGGACAGCAGCTGCAGAGGCAACTTAGCCAGGTAGGCCACATCCTCCTTGAACCGCTCCACCATCATGTCCACACCGTGGACCGTGGACTGCGGGGTGTCGCGATGGGGTGTAGTGAGGTGGGGTTGTGTGTGTAGTAGGGTGTAGTGTAGTGAGGTGGGATGGGTTGCGTAGTAGGGTGTAGTGTAGTGAGGTGGGGTTGTGTGTGTAGTAGGGTGTAGTGTAGTGAGGTGGGATGGGTTGCGTAGTAGGGTGTAGTGTAGTGAGGTGGGATGGCGAGCTGGACTGGTTGGCGTGTGAGTGGGTGGGACGCGGTTGAGGCATGGTGCCGTGTGTGTGCGCGTGTATGTATGTGTTTGTGCATGTGTGGATGGTCAGGAATACTGCGTGGCTATATCTGAAAGGTGCAGGCAGGTAGATGGGGTAGCTACAGAGACTGGGTGCCTGGGGAGGGCTGTGTGGAGGAAGCGGGCTGAGGAGATGGCACATGCTTAATGTGGGAGATGGAGTGGGGGCGGAGGAGCAGTGTGTAGATACGGTATTCGCCTGTATCAGCACGCAACCCCACACCCCCCAACACACACATAACCACATGCACACGGCCCATACATGCCTACATACATACAAACATACGTACAGAGGCTTTAGGTCGCCTCTGTGCCCCACCACCCCCGGTCCTCGCCTTACCGCATAGAAGGAGGTGTTATCTGCAGGGCAAGATACCCCAATCTCTGCGTCCGGGGGGAAAAAGGGAACGACCGGGGGTGCTTACCAAATGGTTTGTTTTGCCGTGGGCGTTCATTAATGAGCAGCACCTGGTATCCGGCCGGAGCACTGAGGGCCTTTTGCTTGCATGCGCAGGTGCTGGTGCTGGTGGCGGCAGTGGCGGTGTTGGATGATAATGGTGGTGGTGGTGGTGGTGGCGGTGTTAGGTGATAATGGTGGTGGTATTAGCGATGCGGAAGGATTGAAGGTTCCCGGGGCGTGAGGTCCATTTTCCTCTTTCCTACCCAGGGATTCGTGTCCCCGCAGATGATCACATACATGCAGACATACAGGCATACAGACATACAGACAGACATGGGATGTTTAACAGAGGGAACCGGGGAGGTGCTATCCTCATGTGGGCGCCATGGCCTACGGGACAGTTTCATGGGACCCTGGCTACCCTCCTGACGACGTTCTACGGGCTGGGTGTTTCGGCTTCCCCCCAAACCCTCACTCCGCACTGAAGAGTCACAATGGTCCACTGTCGTACAACACAAACTTCCCTTCCCACATGAGAGACGTATGTACGACACATGCCGCCTGCTGCTTCCAAACCTACATGCGACTGTCAGGACGGTGACAGACACACACACAGACACACCCCGGATAACGCAGCAGCCTCTGGCCAGCGTCAGGCCCGGCAAGATATGTACTACACAGACATACATACACACATACGCCCCGGAGCAACTCCCTCGGCTCCTTCACCACCTAAGTGCACGTCCCATGGCTTGCCTTGGAACCTCAAGGCAGGTAATCCGTGGAGGCGGTATCGTGCCGTGTGCTGGGGAAAGGGATCTTTCGTAAGCAAGCGGTATGTGACGCACACAACTACACAACTACACAACTACACAACTATACAACTACACAACTATACAAACTACACAACTACACAACTACACAACTATACAAACTACACACACATACAACGTAACCGCGCACTCAGCTACCCGGGGCACACCCCACCCCACACAGCACTGGGGAGGAACACCGGATGCACGCACCTCCCAACGAGGCGGGCAGGCAGCCATTGAGTCGAAATATTTTGTTGGACAAGCTCCGCCCGTTGAAAGCCGCACTGGCGATGCAGAGGCTGAAGCGCCGCTCTTGTCGCATTGTGTCGTTCGCGCCGTACAGTACGATATCCCATTCGGTCTACGGTACCAGCAGTAACGTCAGTGTGCCCAGGGGTTAGCAGCTATGAAACGGAAGAACTTGTACTGCACACAAAAGATGGATAGAGATATGCATGTACGACATTATAAGCGTTCATTCAATTTCACACACCTACGTGCACCTAAACTCCCCATGATTACCAGTGCGCTCATTTCTTCCCGCCACAAACACACACTTTCTAAAAGTGCCTCGTGCCTTAGTAGGGAGGGTTAGGGTCTGCACAGGGTTTCCGGGTTTCCTGTGTCTTAGTGAACCCTCACCCCAAGTGCCGGATCAGGCCGGGGAGGAGAGGAGTTTTGCTACGTGTTTCAGGCTCAGTGCGCAAAAACTCGCGTGACGGAGCCTTGACTCGCGAAAGCGTGCGCGCGTGCGACGCCTTTCCCCCGGGAAGGAGAGCGGAGCTAGCGGACCTGCGGTTCTCGGCTGCTTAGGAGGGGACAGAGGGCCCCCCTCGCTCCCCTCTCCCGTCTGCGGGAGAAAGCTTAGGCAGTCTTTCCGTTGGGGTTGGGCAGCAGCCCCTGTGGCCATCGTCAGGCCCGGTCAGATACTTGTAACCTTTACACACACACACACACAGACACACACACACACTCGGACTGAAACAACCCCCCGGTGCGGGCTGGCTGAGCGGGGCCTGACACAACTTTGCGTGGCTTGGATTTTGTCAGGTATTTGAGGAGGAGCGTATTTTGGTCAGTTTTAGTTGTAGGGTTCAGCTTTCGGGCTTAAGGCGCCGGTAGTGCGGCCTCTCATCACGGGGAGGAGGGGCGCCCAGGTGTTGCAAGGACCCACCCGGGTGCGCAGCCGCGCCTGCTCAAGGCACAGGCGGCATGGGCGGAACTGTGTTGCAGCGCGTGCTGAGGCTGCTTGTTTGAGGGCTTTTGTAGCCACTGCGCTCTTTTTCCTATTAACAAAACGGTAAAACGCGAGGTTGCACGCCCTCGGTCGATCAGGAGGGGATAGTGGCCCACCTCCCCCCACAAGACAAGGCAAGGAGAGTGCTTCGGCGGTCGTTCCGTTGCGGTAAACGGTTAGGCGCCCCTCGCCAGTGTCAGGCCCGGATCGATATTTATACACACACACACACACACACAAACAAACACAAACACACACAAACACAAACACAAATCGGTGAGGCTCAAATAAATGAGACACACACAGCACGCACCTCAAAGGATTGTAGCTCATGCAATATGATCGGTTGCAGCATGTTCTTGCTCTCATTACTGGGCTGGCTGTTCACTTGCAGGCTGTACAAGATGAGGCGATGCTGCAGGGTCGGGAGAGAGGGGGGGAATGTAAGTCGGGAATATAAGTGGGGAAGATCCGGACGTGAGTTCGGTGGTGGTGGGGGATGAATGTGAAACTGGGAGTCTAAATGGGCCGATGCGGGGTGTAGATCCGGAGCCCAACGCCATTTCCTGTCCTCAACCAGCCTAGGCCCGGCATGCAGAACGACACCCTTCTTCCCCCTGCCCCCCGTACCATGCGCACAACCGCAACGTTGTGGGCGCTCAGCAGGGCCAGCGGTCCCTGGGCTCCCTGGAGCAAAATAAAGCCTGCGGGGCCCAGCAAAAGGGGAGGAGAGCAGGACGGGGGCCCCAGCAGCGTCACACGGTGTCGATGTCAAGTCACGGTTAAGAACACAGCTCCTCGCCGGGGGCCCATGGTTCGGGGTTCTCGGTGGGGTTTTTTACCCTGATGCATACCCCGATCCGCCCCCCCCGGGCTGCTGACTATAAGAACATTGTTTTAGCTGCTTGGGAGGGCAGAGAGCCCTGCAGGTGGTGGTGGTGGTGGTGGTGGTGGTGGCGGCGATCCAATGGGGTGTGTAAGTCACACGGCAACGCTGGCCACCCCGGGTGCCGTCTTCAGGTCTCTCCGGTGCTCTGTGTTCTCCAAGAGCTGGTGCGTGGTTTGGTTTGTGTTTGTGTTTCTTTAATTTGTGTTTGTAGTAAGCGGTGCGGGGCTGCTCAGGTGGGATTTCGACTTCACACCCACCCACTATTCCCCGTACTGCACTGCACTGCACTGCACGGCACTGCATTGCACAAAAAGACGTTCTGCAAGCGCAAACCCGCCTTGCCGAGTTTATAGCCAGCCGCCACAGCGGCCAACATCCAAGCGCATGTTTTAACTCACCCACTGCGTAGAGGATGCAGATGAGGATGCCCCACACTACAAAGGGCGCCAACAGCGACACCGAGTCGTGGTTGGAGGGCACCAGGTGACGCCGCTTGTGATGCGAGCTGCCGGTTCCGCCGCCGCCCCCACCGCCGCCATGCCCGTAATGGTTGTTGTGGTGCTGGTTATGATGGTTGTTATGGTGGTTGCGGTGGTGGTTGTGATGATGGTGGTCATGTTGGTATCCGCCGTTGCGGCCATCCGAGCATGGCGGCAGAGGTGGCTTTTGCGAGCCGCTGCCTGAGCCTCGGCTAGCCCAGGTGAACAGGCGCTGTAGCGTACCAGGGGCTGAAAGGGAACCGGAATGTGACAGCGCAGGGCAGGGCGGCTGGTGTTAGGGGAGCGCAGGCGAACCTTCAATAAGGTGAGAGAACTTAATTGTGTGGCATGTTGAATGGCTCTAGTCCGGGGAAAGAGGGTGAAACGAGTCTGACTGACCTAAAGACTTTTCCTGCCCCTTGTCCTATCCACGCTTTGTCCTGGCCCCCCCCCCCCGCCTTGTCCTGCCCCTGATATGTTGTGCTGTGCTGTGGTGTCCGCCTTAATATGTTGTGCTGTGCTGTGCTGTGCTGCACTGTCCCCAGCCCTCACGCTTGAAGCACCACGATAAAGTTATTTCGCACCCTCACATAGAGCAATACCCGGCAGGTGTATCCACGGCTTGTGGGAGGTCGATGGATACGGGTACGCACCTCCATCGCCTGAAGCACCGTTGCCGATGCTGTTCTTTGACAGCAAGTTGAATGCGGGCCGAGCGCCCTGGTCCACGACCATCTGATCCGCGTGCTCTCCATCAGAAGATGCCTAACCGAGGTGGGAAGCGGTGTGGGATTTGGCGGGATGGGGCTTCAAGCTTGAAAGATATGGAGCGGGTATGGAGGTTACGGGAGGAGTGTTGCCGCTCCTCAAGCAGGACATGCAGCATTGGGGACCAGTGCACGGGCGGTGATGGCCGGACGGTCAGTGGACCTAGCCAATCCAGGGCGTAACCCGCTTCCTGGATGCAGAAAAGCGAACGCACACCTGCACATGCTCATGAAACACATGCTCATGAAACACATGCTCATGAAACACATGCTCATGAAACACATGCTCATGCAGCGCATGCTCATGAAACACATGCTCATGAAACACATGCTCATGAAACACATGCTCATGCAGCGCATGCTCATGAAACACATGCTCATGCAGCGCATGCTCATGAAACACATGCTCATGAAACACATGCTCATGAAACACATGCTCATGCAGCGCATGCTCATGAAACACATGCTCATGCAGCGCATGCTCATGAAACACATGCTCATGAAACACATGCTCATGAAACACATGCTCATGAAACACATGCTCATGAAACACATGCCAGCAAACACACCTCAGCGTCCGAATTATCGTTGACAGCGACAGATTTTGACGCCAGCGCGCGCAGTAGGCCCACGGGAACCAGCCTGAGAGGGGACGGCAGCGAATGGGTGAAGGGCCAGACGCGGTGAAGGGTGAAACACGAAAACCGTTCTAACATTTCATGAGATGCAGGTGGTGGCACGGAAAGCAATTGTGCTGTCCACAGACATAGAGCTGATACAAAGCAGGACGGACAGAGGCACCAGGATAATGCAAAGGGCCCCAACAGGCGGAACATGGCGGTGGGACCTCTCTAAGGACACCAATACATAGCACATCACAGGGAAGGAGGAACCTGGACGTCGCTGGCATTGGGGCTCCTTCCGATGGCATCCTTACTGCGCGCCGGGGGGCTGCCGGGCAGCTCCAACGGATCGAACCCCACCGACCAGACAGTGGTACTCTTTCCCCCTTAGCATCAGCCAAACCACGGGAACTCAACAAACAAAACTGCCGCAGCCAAACCGATCCATAAACCTAGGGGCTGGCCAGCAGCCCCCCGTAACACAAACCCCAAGTCCCATCGACCTCCATCGCCTCAAACTCAAAGCACCAGAAACTCGAAAGCAAAGGCTAAGCCCAGTACCAAATGATTTTCCCATGCCGCAAACCTACATGAACAGCGAGTAGAGGCTGTAGCGCTGCTGCGACACCCGCCGCTGTAGCCACCACATGTAGATGAGCAGTACCACGCATACAGCGCAGCCCTGCACTATAAGTAGAACAAGCTGGAGCCTGTTGACCTTGTTGGCTGAGTGGATTGCTGAATGTGTGAGCTGCAGTAGGGCATCGCTGTAGCCGCTGTACAAGGGAGCCAGGCCGTTGGTCATGCTCCAACGGTATGCGTCGAAATTGGCCAAGGTGCTGTGGACGCTGCCCCAGCTGCGGTGCAGATGCTGGACCTCGGACGCTCTCTCTATAAAGGAGGAGCTGATCTCCCAAAGGGAGGAGTTGCGGTACTCGATGCGGTAGGGCGTTGTGTTGTAGAAGACCGTCTCGTTGTAGATCTTTTTATTCCAAATATCCTGTATGCGTGTTTGTGTGCGTATTTGTGTGCGTGTTTGTGTGCGTGTTTGTGTGCGTGTTTGTGTGCGTGTTTATGTGCGTGTTTGTGTGCGTGTTTGTGTGCTTCTGCGTATCTGGATTTTTTGTGTGTACACAATGGCATGTGCGAACGTTAGTACGCGGTAGAAGGGGAACTCGGTGCACACGAGAATGCGCACGTCATGCGTACGGGAAATCCGCACACGTCTGTGCTGATTTGTTGCTGTCAAGTGCACAAACACGTGTGTGCAAATAAATGCAAATTGGTTCGTGCTTGCGTCCGTAAACCATTTGCCATAAACCTCTGGTGCGGCTCTAAAAGAAAATTAGCCAATGCAAAGGTGAAGGCAGTAATTGAGTAGCCTCGGTATGTGTATGTACGTGTGCTACGTGCGCAGCACACCACAGCGCAGCTAATGCAGGCAGGGCCAATAACATCCGAAAGACGTTTCTGGAGCAGGGGCACCGAACAGGGGCCCCCGACCGCTGCCCCGCCCACCTGCGGGTCGTCCGGATTGTACGGTGCCTCAATGTCTTGCTGGTGCCGGTTGCCGATTTCTGCAGAGCAGCGAATTGGCCCGCGTGGCGCCAACTCATTTCCAAAGCCATTTCAGATAGCGGTGTCGACAGGAAAGACAGACAGACAGACGGACAGACAGACAGACAGACAGACAGACAGACAGACAGACAGGGACCGGATCTCATGGATGTGGTGTGTCATCTGCAGTTGTCCTGCAGCTGATTGTTCTCATGACAACAACGTCCCATGAGGCTGAAGGCTCCAGGTAACATGTCGGCTGCCGAAGGACGAAAAGCCTGGCGGTAAATGTAAATTAGATGTATGCTTGTGTACAGCGTCTATTTCGAAGTTCGCGACATCTAAGAACCCTCCACCCCAGCAGCATCAGCGGCCATTAGTCATTACCCGCATAGATGGCGGCCACCAGGTCTGAGAACTGGTCCAGGTGGACCTTGAGGTTTTCGGAGAGACTGGGCACGGTATCGCTGGTGTAGTACTTTGTAGCTGGATAGATGCCCTCGTAATGGTTGTTGAGTTTCTGGGTGTCAATCGAAGGAGAGGAGGCCGAGAGTTTAGGGTCTGCTTTGTACGGCACTGTACGACATAGACGAATCAAACGTCCTACGCCCTCCAAACGGCAACAAAAGCAATATACTGCTGCTATAGCAGCAGCCAAGGTATTGAAGGCGGCATAAGCAAGGCTACAAACACTTGCCCAACCGCCAACCCCCTGTCACCTGCATGATGATTAGCGACTCATGCATGAGCCTGCTGATGGACGTGGCGTCGTACAGCGTCTCCACCTGCTGCATCTCCCTGTGCAGCAGCACTGTGAGCAGGATGAAGGCCAGCAGGTTTGTCACCAGCTGGGCCACATTGGCGAGCAGCGCCTGCCACCGGAAGTCGCGAGCCGCTCGCTGCACCGCAGGGGACTCGAGAACCTTGCAGCGGGGCGGCGGCGGCGGTGATGTGGGTGGCGGTGAAGCGGGTGGCGATGGCGGCGGCGCAAGTAGGAATGAAAGGGGCAGTGATAAAAGTAAACAAAGAGGAAACGTTGGGCGTGCTTCAACGCACTCTCTAACTGCTCGGAATGCTGGGGCGCCTACGTTCATGGCCCAAAGAGTCCAAGACCCGGGTCATCAGCTTGAGCTTTACCTTGAGCAGCTTCCGGTACCGCTTCCCACGGCGGTAGTCCGCGGTGGGCGTCGACGCATCCAGCACCTCCGAAACCGCCGATCCGCCCGAGACGTCGCTTGCATTTTCATCCCCCTCCCCTTCCACCATGGAGCCCGGGCCCGTCTGCATTTGCTGCTGCGGAAACGGCGATTGTACCTGTCCGTAAGAGTTCCCACCATTGGCGCTGTCTGCACCGCAGCCGCTGCCGCTGCCACTTGTGCGGTGGACCAAGCCCAGTAGCTTGCCACTGAAGCCTCGCATAGGTGACCGCGATCTCCCTCGGGGTGAGGATTTCGAGCTGCGGCCAGGTGGCGGTTTGCAGCCTCCGCTGCTGGTGCGCGCGGCACGGTGTGCCGGAGTCGGGCTGCTCAGCCGGCCGCGGCTGGTACGCCCACCTCCGCCCTCTGCCACCTTCGTCGCCGCCGCCAACCCCGCCATCACCTTTCCTGCGCCAACTTGGCCATCGCTGCCGCTGTCACTGTGGCTGGTGACCGCAGAGGCTCCGCTGCTGCGCGTCAGGTCGCTGACACCTGTGAGGGACTTCCGCTGGTCGGCTGTGCTCGCGTCACCGCCACTGCTCTCGGTGCCGAAGGGAAGCAACGGCGTCGTGGGCGCCAACAACAACGGTCCAGAAGGCAGCATCGGCGACGCCTTGAGGACCTCGCCGCTGCCGGGAGGGGTGGGCGCAGGCGAGCCGGCAGGAGCCTTGGAGCTCGCCTGCATGCAGACCTGCGGCGGAAGGGCTTTCGGTAATGCCAGCGATGATAGCACATGGAACGCGTGACTGTCTCCTGTCGCTGCCGCTGCCGCCGCCGCCGCCGTCGACCCCATTCCGCATTCCGCATTGTTCCCTTGGACCTGCAGCTGGTCCCGGATGCCGTCCCGGTCAATCGCAGCGGTAATTCCTTCCATTGACCGTAACCGGTTTGGAGACCCCACAGAGTCAAGGCTTGCACGAAGCAGTGCCCGGTGGCGGATGAAATGCGGCGCTGGGCCGGTTTCTGCCGCTCTGGCAGCACCTCGATAGCCGTACACCTCCGCTCCAGCGCCCGCCGTCGCCGCCGCCGCCTCCGCGCCTCCGCCAACCATGTCCTGAAACGACAACGCGCCGCTGTGGTCCGCATCTTGCAAATCTCCCACCGTCGGCAGCGACTGCGGTAGCAGCGCACTGTCGTCCTCATTCCGCGCATGAACCAGGTCTTCCACGCTGCGCAGGAGGACACCACGGATGCCCTTGGACGGCTTGCGCGGCTTGAGTACGACATAGGTACGGCTGGGTGTTGACTCCTTGACGACCGCCTGCAAAGTCAGCTCCAGCGGCTCCCCGTCCGTATGGCGGCCCATGACCTGCGGCGATGGTGATCGATTAGAGCTGCTGCTCTGCTACCAAACCAACCGCTCTTCTACCTGGTGAAGGCAACCCCCCGCGGGGATCTAGCTCATGTGATTCGAGTCTTTAAGCAGTGAACTAAAGCACCAGGTAGAGCCAGCATGACATTGTGAACAGTGTATTGATTACTGTCCTGTGTGGTGAAGCTGGGGTATTTGCAATTTGATGTGTGGGCAAAACTGGAGCTGCAACGATGCAGGGAGATCGAGGGGGAGCAGTCATGAGGTTGCCCCTCTCACGCAGTACCACGCCAGGCGGATGATGATCGTCATCATCATCCTACCTCACGCAGGGTGCCGACTTTGTTGGCCTCCTTGGCGGTTGTTTTCAGGCCGCCACGCTTGGCGGTGCCGGGGTCGTGGAATAATCCAGCTACACTGCGGTCTTGGAGCTTCAGGAAGCTGTACAGTGACCTGGACACCATAGAGCTCGTGGGCACACCGAATAGAAGGCCTGCGTGGGGAGGGGGGGGAGGGGGGACTCTACAGGTTGCGCGTAGGGGAAGGGGTTGAGGAGAGGGGAGGAAAGGGGAGGGAAGGGGAGGGAAGGGGAGGGAAGGGGAGGGAAGGGGAGGGAAGGGGAGGGAAGGAGCACAGGTGCGCGGAAAGGGCGCAGAGTCGCGCGGACCTCGTCCCGTATCGGAAAACGTCAACCTGCCCGAACCTGTGGCAATGCCGCGCCAAGCCCTGCGACAATGGCGCCAGAGTTTCCCCATTCTGAACACATTCTTCCCTCCCCGCTTAAACCGCGCGGCCTCTACACACATATGCCGCCCTGCCACTTCCTTGATGCACCGCTTTGACGGCCTTCGTGCGGAACTTGTAACTTGTAATTAAAACACCTCACATGTCATAGCCGATTTCTCCTTTTCAAGCATAATACACTTATTTCGGCTTTCCCAACCGACCCATCAGGTCAAGCGAGCCCCAACCGACCCACCCGGGGGTGCCAAGTCCTCTCCAACCATGGCCGCGATGCAGCCGTTGGGGTCAACCTCCAGCACCGGAGTGAGCAGGTCCGCCCTCCACAGGCTGACCCGGATAACCACAACCCGAGCGTCATCCGCCACTGACGGCGGCAGCTCCACGGTGCTGCCATCACCCTCATGGCGCTCTACGCTGGTGCCACCATCGCCATCATTGTCACTATCAACAGCAACACTGGCAAAGGCGGCAGCTGTAGCAGCAGCAGTGGTGGAGGTGGCGCCGACTGTTACGCCGCTGCCGCGGCCGCCTCCGGCGGCGGTCTCGGGGGTGGCAGCAACGCTGCCGCTGCTACCCTCCTGAGGCGCCTGCAGCGAGGCGCCGGATGACCGGCTCGCATCCATGGTGCTGCTGACAAGCAATGGCAACAGCGGACCTAAAAAGTTCTGTCCTCGAGACGCCAGCCCGACGTCGTTGGGACCGTTAGACGCGCCCTGGCTGATCCTCGCGCTTAGCAGCTTCGTGAGGAACACCGTGGCGCTCGAAATGTCGTCGCTGTGGCGCTTCATAGCGGCTATCTCCATCTCAGCTTCCCTAGCAGCCATCTGCCGCGCCTCAAGCACCACCTGCGAATGGGAATGCGAACGCGACCGGACCGGCGCCCTCCAAGGCAACGGACCTACTACCGGGCTTGCGTCGCTGATACGGAAGCCGCCGCCGAGCCCAGCCATACCCTCCATATCGACAACAGCGCTGTCGGCGGTATCAAGTACGGCAGGTGAAGGGTCGTGGTCGCCGACGGGGGCGCCAGCTTGGAACTCCATTAACAGGTCATCGATGGCCTCATTACGCTCCGCCAGTGGCCCAGGCTGCCGCCAGCCCAGTGAGTTCTTGGCAGCTACCTCAGGACCTACGCGGCCGACAACGTTTTCGTCATTGCCGCCGCAGCTGGGGGCAGCGGCGGCGGCGGCAATGCCGTCGGCGGGATTGCCCGTGCCGCCATCCTCGCCAAGGATGCTGCCAAAGCCCGCTGAAGTCTTCACCCCGCACACGCGCTCCTGATCAGCTTCAACGGCGCCATCAGGGTCATCTGCGCAAACCAGGGCCTGCCCGCCGCTATCCTCGGTGACTGGGGCTGCCATGGCGGAGGTGTTGGCAGTAGCGGCGGCCGCAGTGGCGTTATCGACGCTCCCTTTCCATGTCGGCAGCCGGAATGTCTCCGGCGGGTTGCACGGCAAGAAAGGACGCGGGAGTGGTGGCGGCGACGCGGCGTCGTGACCGCGCGGCGACGCCACTGCCGTAAGCAGCGACGGCTCCGCCGATGCTGATGCCGATGCCGACGGCTCCGCCGACGGCGGCAGGCAATCACCGCCAGCTTTGACACTTGACGAACAAACGGCATCCTGCGGAGCAACGCTGCTCACTCGACTCAGTGTACTTTGCCGATCCTGCGAATCTCGCCGACCTCGCTCGATCGACCCGTCGACTGCTCCGTCTTCGCCCCACAGAAGCGCGGCAGACTGCACCTGCCCTGTGCCGTCGGCGTCCACGGCGCAGGCAGCGGGATTGCTGTACAAGGCGGAAGAAATGGCAGAGTTGACGGAGGAACGCCGGGTGAGGGTGCGCATAGTGGGCCTTGTGCCGCTGCTGGCGGCATCCTCCATCGCGGCTCCGCTGATCACCATGATACCGCCGCGCGGCCCCTCCACTGCGATCCAGCTCTTCCGTCGTACACGTGGCACTGCGGAGCGTCGATCAGGCTGCCGCCGTGTTGACGCTGAACCAGCCTCGTCGACGCCGCCTCCGCCACCACCGGGGCCTCCGCCGCCTTCGCCGGCCGCCAAACCGCCGCTCGCACCGGTGTCGGCTCCAGCGACGACGGCGAGCGACTGCTGATTGCCGCTGGAGGACGACAGCCGGCTCGAACGCCACGTGCCGCCGCCTGCACCGCTGCGGCCAGCCCCTAAATCCGGCAGCTGCCCACTACTTCGCCGCGCTACAGGGCCCCCTCCGGCAGCGGCAGCAATGATGGAGGGCGCAGCACCGGCTGGTGTTGGCAGCGTAGCGCCGCCAGCAATGGACGGCTGTGTGGGCCCGCCTGCAGTTGCAGCAGCGGTGGCGGTGCCGGCGGCACTCTGCTGGCTGCTGGTGGTGACTGCTCCGCTGGCCGAAGTGCCTCTCGCGGATGCTTCGCCGCCCAGCGCAGTTGTATCCAGCGACACCTCAATCTCCATAATGGCCGGGGTGGTGCGCTTGGCCATCACGGCATGGCGCATGGCGCCAAGCACCTGAAGCTCCGCCTCGTCTGTGGGCACTGTGACGCCCACGCGCCAGGACACGCCACTCTGCATCATGGCTCTGCAAGCATTAGTGCAGTCATTCAGGAGGTCAGGGGTACTTAGGGTTTAAGTGTGGTAAGGACGGTAATAGCCACTAGTAGGGATGGAGGGTAAGGACAGGAGCTTCACCTCGCGAATGAACACACAGTGGCAAAGGAAAAGTGGCCTGGCACACAGCCTGGCCACTCAGCCGCAGCGTTCCAGCGGTTGTATAAAAAAGCTTCCATGCAATCAAACATGTTCACCTGGAAATGAGCAGCGACAGTAGCTCTGTGACGGGCACGTTGTCCTCATCCTCGTCCTCATCCCCCTCCAAGCCAGGACAGCCAGGACCGCCGCTAGCTACCCTGTCGGCGGTGCCGCCGCCCGATCGCCGTGCCGGCCGGAGCGTGGTGACGACGTCGGCAAGGCTGCGGCCCAGGAGCTGCTTGGGCGCAAAGCCGTACAGCCACGTGGGCCCGTCGTCTACCTCCGTCACTATGCCGTCAGCGTCGACCGTCAGCACCAGTCGCCGCTCTGACAAGGCCTCCTCCCGCGTACTAGGCTGAGCCTCCACCATGTGCCGTACCTCACCTGAGGGGTGTGTGGAGGCCTGCCTGTTGATGGCACTTCTAGTGGTGTCGGTAGCTGCAATGCTGGTGGTTGTGGTAGTTGTGGTGGTTGTGGTGGTTATGGGTTTCGTGGTGAGGGGGCCCGGGGTGGCGAAATGCAAGTCAACAACACAACACAACACAACGCACCACTGAAGGGCCCAAGGAGGGGGAAAGCTTGGAAAAGACACCGCATGCGCGAGAACAACATCACGGGGCGCTATTGCGCTGTGCTGAAGAGAGCTATCTATGCGCCCGCTTCCCGCTTCAACAGGAAGCAAACCGCTCTCCCACTGCCACCTCCTCCCGATCGCTTTCTCTTCTCTCCTTCCTCCCCCCGCTCTGTGTGGTGGCTCCTAATGTCAGGCTGAAGAATCTGAGAGGTGCGAGTCCTCTCTCTTCCCCGAACAAACAAACAAACAAACAAACAAACAAACAAACAAACAAACAACACCCCGCATCAGCGACTCCTCAGCCCTCACCCGAATCGTCGTTGCTGCTGATGGCCAGTCGGTAGTAGCCCTGCATGCGGAGGGAGGAGCCCAGCACGGTGGTGATGCCGCTGCGGCAGCTGCCCGGCACGATGGCGCCAATAGCAGCCGCAGACGCGGCGCTCTGGCCGCCCATTCCCTTGATCCAGGTGGCGTGAAGGGTGCCCCAGGGCTGCGGCATGATGTCCCCCAGAGGCTGTCGGTGCAGGGCGGAAGGAGAGGTGCCCAGTGCGCGAGCCAGCTCGCTGGCAATGTACCTGATGCGCAACGTAAAAGCCGGGCAGCCGGGGCGGAGACCCTCAGGTTATACGATCTGAGACAAGGACTGGAACCAGGCCAGAGACATTCCACCTCCCCTTGCCCTCTTCCCCAATATATATGTAGGGTTTGGCACTACTGGTAAGGCGCGACCATTGCCCCTGGGAATTTCCGGGATCGATACCCGTCAGGGTCCAAAGTCCAGGGTGCCCCGAAATACCGGGGAAGGCAGGGTTTCGCAGGGTAGCTGCCACGGGCGGAGTTACACCCCCCTGTTTCACACATCATATATATGTACACACTGCCGCCATGCAGCACACTGCCGCCGTCCGGCTCCCTCTGCTCCCTATTATACAACCCTTACCAACCCCTGCCCGGCCCCCAGCTATCGCAACCACTATCGCAACCCACCGCCGCACCTGACTCTGCCGCTGGGCCCCGTCAAGGCCAACAAGTGCGCCGGACCGTTGCGACGCAACGTCAGCTCCACAATGCACTCCACGGGCCCTACACCCAACCGCTTGAGGGACACGCTGCAGTCCACTGGCCGGGTGTACTTGTGGTGGAATTGAATAGACGGCAGGGCCTCCACCATGTGGACGACCCCCGGGTCAGATGTCGGAACCACGCCGGCGGGCCCGTGGTAGTTGTAATGGTTGCCTAGGCCCATGCTCAGTCCCAGGCTCATGTGGCCAAACTTGTGAGTGGGTGGTGCGGCGCCGGCTGCTGCAGTGGCGGCCGCGGCCGCAGCGGCGCCGGATCCACCGGAGGCCAGGGCCTCGGCACGCGCTGCCGCGGATGTGTCGAACTTTGGCAGCACCCTGCCCGAAAGTTCATTGCGTGCAGGGGGATTTGTACCCGCGTGAGTGTGGCATTAGGCAGGGAAGATCCCACGTACAGAGTTGGTCGGGTTGGGAAAAGGAAAATTCTTGACATGTTGGCTGTGGGAAAAGCAAAACTGGTTACTTTGTTGAGTCGTTATGGGAGTAAGGGATGGGTGACTAGGACCGGACTGGACTGCCTAAACCCAAGTACACCATCCTCACCCTCTCACGGCTTCCGCCCCTTCGGGATCACCCCCTTCCCCATCCCAACTACCTGTATTCCCACAAAAGAACACGTGCCGGAAGACACACATGCGCACACACACAAGCTCAGATGAAAAAGACACGCTAGGCTCACTGCTTGAGGGGCTCTGGGTTGGCGATCAGCGTTGCCACGTCTTTGCCGATGATGTCACTCATCTCAAAGCCCATCCATTCTGCAAACGCTTGGTCCATGGCGGTTATGACACCGTTGGGCAGGATGTACAGGTGCGCTTCAGAGGGGTCCACGGGGATGGCCTGGGGGAGGAAGACGGGTGTACAGTGTACGGTGTACGATATCGAGATGTTGCACGGCGTACTTAATTCGTCACTGACCGGGTGCTTTTTCTTTTCGTCAGGCAAAGCCACGGTCTTCGAGAATAACGATCACATTCGCGGGAGTGGTCATGGTGGTCATGGACTATGACTACGCGGTCAACGGACGCAGCGGGAGGTGGAACAAAAGGGCAAAAATGGGTTTCGGAGCGGAGAGAATAACCTGTCGAATTAATGACAGCCCAGAGTAATGCAATCCAAGTTTCTGCCATTTTGGAACTATGAGATTGATACCACCGCCTACTCCTACAACCGTTCCAAGGTCCGTCCTTAGTAATTAGGGGAACATCGCTCCAGCCGGCTGCGATGCCTTAAAACTCAGTAATAGTAAGGCACGACAGCGGATTCCACCACACTTGTCAGTACACTGCCACAACTTAGGGGGCCTTAAGCTGGAACGCTTGACGCGCGCTGAAAGGTTTCTCTTCCTCACCCTCCCTTCCTCCCTTCCACTACCCCCCAGCCCCGGATGCTCCCCACGCACAACACGGGCCACAGGCCTCACCTCAAGGACGCCCATGAAAATCGAATCTGCATTGGCGACCAGCCAGCCAGCCAAATAACCAGCGGGCAGGGTCACGGTCAACAACCACGAGGTTTAGATGTGTGGGTTTTTCCAGTTCATATCCCAGTTACGGTTGTAGTCCGAGCAAATTGTTGGTGGACCAGAGGGCCACAAGGCGCAGTGCAGGAGAAGCGGTCCGGTGCGCATGTGGAGAGGATTGAAGGGGCAGGGGAAGGGTCGAACGGCAGCTCAGTGGGGGGGCTTGTGAGAGGTATGGACGCGGGTAGGATGGAGACCAGGGTAGGTGGCCTGACGACGGAATGGAAAACAGCAGGCGCAGTTCAGGCCGCGAGGACAAGTACCATGACGCGGCAAGGCGATGGCGGTCACGGCTGCTGCGGAGCGGCGAAGCGCCCTAGGGGAAGCAGGCAAGGCGGCGGCCCCTTGAGAGGTTGCCTCGGAGCTTCCTTCGCTGTAGCTTCCATAGTCTGCATCACGTGGCGTACATGGGCTGTCTTCATCTTGGCTCTTAACCGGCTTACATTTTTTCCCTCTCCCTTCCTCCAGCTCCCTCCCCACCCCACAACCCAACTTCTCGGTGGCTGACCCCGCCCCAACAGAGTCCGCCTCCATCCTCGCCCTCCACCCCCGGCCCCCGGCCCCGCCCCCGCCCCCGAACACTCACCCTCCGTGGCACCCGACACCTTGGACACCGCCAGCTTCACCGGGAGCACGTAACGGGCCTTATGCAGCGCGACCACCGTGTTGATAGAGCTGATGACCCGCTCACGGCCGGTCTGGATGTACTGCCGGATGTACCTGTTGTGGCGCTGACTGAAGGGAGGTGGCATGATGATGTTGATGTTCTTGCCGTCCAGCTCGCCCTTACCGTAGCCCAGCAGCGAACAGGCGTTCTGCAGCACCGTCACCAACGTCAGGAGTTATGTACCAAAGTTGTCTAGTTGTGAAATAGTTATTATTGTCGGCCGCATTCACATTTTGAGGGGAGGTGTCGGGTGCAAGGCATGCTGTAACATGCGAGGTCATCAGTGCAGGGGAGCATTATTTTCCGGTGGCATCCGGAGCGCTGCTGCAAAGACATCATCAGGCTTTGCTGGACCCCGTGCGCCCGCTCCCTCCCTTCCCCACACAGGTTTTGGGGTAATATGACTGGGCTGGCGGCCGTTTCAATATTTGGGGCTTCGGGTTCCATTCCCGCTCCCCCTTCCCGTCCACCTTGTTGGCTAGCTGGATGATTCCTGCGCTGTTGATCAGGAAGACAATGTTGACTCGCTCATCCACCCTGTGGAGCAGGTGCGTGCCGGTGCCGATCATGCCGCCCTCTTCAGTGCCCATCATGGCCATGGTAGCCTCGTCCTGTTGCTGCAGATCCTGCAGCTTCTCCGCCTCGCTGAGCACGGAGGTAGTTCAAGAAAAGAAACGGGTCAAGGGAGGCGGACAAAACGCAATGATGATTGATGGACTCCCTAGAAGGCCAGACCTGCCGCCGTCCTAAAGTGCCCACTCCCAGCCCCAGATAAAGTGGCGGAATCCGGTGAGGAGGCCTTTGAAGCGTGTTACACAATGACGATATATATGTGGGGAGGATGTTGGGGAAGGAGGGCACAGCGGCGCACACGCCGATGCCACCCCCCCAAGCCGACCTAAACCTAAAGCCAACAACTTGCAAGCACACCTGAAGTACTTTGCTGCTTTCCAGGGGTTGTTCTTCACGGCCTCCAGGAACTTCCCATAGCCTCGAAGCAGCTTGGGGCTGGACGGGTAGCGTACCAACGCGGCTCGATAAAAGCCCTCTGCCTAGTAGGTGAGGTGGGGGGAATGGGACCCCGGTGGCGGCCGCAGGGGGTTAAGGGAACTGTGAAGAGCGAACGGCAGGCGGTCCGATTGAGGGATAGGCACCACAGGTGTTCATCCGCTTCAGGCCATTCGGCCCGCAAGCCAGTCAGGGGATTCCTCCGGCCCATGCGGAGGATAGCAGAGGTTTGGAGCTATATAACTTGGCAGGGAATTTGCTGGGAATTTGCCTGGTAGATGCAAAGCAGTTGTGCAATGATAATAACAAGAATAGTACTAGTAGTAATAAATAATAATAATAATAATAATAGTAATAATAATAATAATAATAATAATAATAATAATAATAATAATAATAATAATAGCATGTGAAGTTTATGACAAGACAGGCTCCGAGGCGGGGACCCGGTGAAGCGACCCGGGGGGCACCCTCGTCGCTTCAACCCTAGGAAGATGGGCCCCCCGGCTTTACGGAGCACCCCGCATTTGTGCGGGACATGTAACTTGTAATTGGGAGGAAAGGCAGAGGAAAGACGTGAAGAGGAAGGTGGATTAACGAGGATACGGCAAGGAGCCCCGAAGCAGTCCCTACCCGACACACACCCCGGTCCAACACTTTTGGTTCATACGGGTATGTTTCGCGAAAGAAGTCGCGTACGTCTCTTCCCCGTCCTGATCTGCAATGCCGCTTCCCAAACCTTCCTCCCGTATCCTTCGGCTCTTTCTTCCTCTGGTGTTTAAAAAAGTTTTTGGCCCCGCATCCTATTACCGACGGACCGACAGACTCACCACGTTGACGGACTTTTCAATGCGGTGCAACGCCTTGGCCAGTGATGTGAAGGCGACCGTGTTGTGAAGCAGCAGCTGCCAGAAGTTGCGGATAGCCACCAAGGCGGCGCGGTGCGCACGCAGGACCAGCCTGGGGACATAAAAAGGTGGGGAGAAAAGCGTTTGGGTCGGGGGCCCAACGGGTGCGACCAGGATGGGGTGGCACCGCGAAGGGTAGCACGGGTGCAAGAGAGGAGTCTGGTGGGACAAAGCACTGTAACAGGAGTTTAGGCACGAGGCACGAGGAACAGTAAAGGGCAGCACGACCCTCAAACACAAAATCTCTCAGACAGTCACACACATAACCTGGGACCCGGCACTCCTGGGACCCGGCACCGCAAGCAACAACACCCCCACCTGTGGTTGCGCTGGTATTCAACGTACGACACCAGGTCAACGCTGCTCTCGCCAGATTTTGCGCCAGTGGCACGCTGCATGTGCTCCTATATGAAGGGAGGTATGGAACGGAGAAGAAGGGTTGGCGAGGGGAGGGTTGTGGGAGGTGGGGAGGTGGGGAGGTCGGGAGAGTGGACCGTGAACATGCAAGAGGGGTTCCATACATAAAAGCTGGAGGGGAAGAAACACACACAGGAAGTAAAAGGCGGCGGCGGCGATTATGGGATGAATTAAGCGGGGTCCCACCATTTGTGCGTGGACTTGTATATCCGTGCCATAGGTTTGACAGCGTTTGAAATCGCATTTCGTGGCCCTAAGACACCACCATCCATAGGCGGGAACGCACATCGAAACATTGCTCAATGAGGCACCACCGGCATAATGCAGCCGGGGCAGGCGCCAACGGGGCATCCCAACTTAAGCACCCCCACCATCCACCTGCTCTCGTGCAAAGATCGCGAAGCGCTCCATGAGGCCCGGGTTGCACTTCTTGGCCACTTGAAGCTGGCTGTAGCCCGTCTGCGTGGACTCTAGCACATCAATGAGCAGGTTGACGTACGTGATGATCATGTAGGCGTTGCCCGGGAACATCTGCATGCCGCCCTTGATCACGATCTCAGCCTCCTTAGCGGCGGCGCGGTCCAACACTTCGTAGTGCGGATCTGTCCACTTGCGACAGACACGCGCCACGATCTCAACCTGTGCGACGGGGGACAAGAAGTGTACAGCAGCGCACGGGTATTACGGCTTTACCGTTTTCGGATTCTCCCTAGGGGGGGTGGTAGGAGGTCACGGTTTGGGCCGCCGGCGGAGTGAGGGAGGACGGACTGTGTGTGCGAGCGGTGCAGGAAGGAAAGCAACGATATGCGAGCCGACGGGACATGCAAGCCAAATGCGCAGGATGATGTGGACAAGGATGGAAAACAAAAAGGAAGGTGCCGGGATGCTGACTGGTGTGTCGCTTTGTGCGGTGCGACTGGCGACTGACCCCGACTGGCGACATCCCCTCACCCTCACCTGATTACCTTGCACCTTGATCCTATCGTTCAACAACACCTATCCCGAACAACCTGCTGACCTGGGCCCCGCTACCGCCTAACTTGCAGATCCTGTGCCACGAAAGGTATGCACATATACATATATATAGGACACACGATCCTGTTTAGACGGCGGTGGCAGCGGCTCCGCACCGCAGCTGCCTACGCCAGCAGCTTCCCCCCCCCCTTCGCGGAGGAGAACCCACCTCCCGGGAATCCTTGAACTTGTAGATGCGGCGTGCCTTCTGGCCCGGTGGTGCCGTACGGTACCGCGTCAGCACGTACATCGTGAACCATTTCAGCCGTACGTACGACGCAAGCGTGCCGACGCACATGGCGATGCCCATCATGGACAAAAATGTGGTGGTGGCTCGTTCCCGGAAGCGCAAGTCAGCCTGCGTGCGTGTGCGTGTGCGCGTGCGTGTGCGTGAAGTTCAAAAGGCGGCCCCAGCGAAGGCGGCCCCAGCGAAGGCGGCCCCAGCGAAGGCAGAGGCGAGCTCTCTAAAAAGGTGAGAATGGGTTCAACACCCTAAAGCCGCTGGTGACGCGCAATGATGGCTAGGGAGCGGCCTCTCATCAGGTCGTGCTGCCTTCTGAGACTTGGAACAAGGTACGACACCTCGTGCGCCGCTGCCTCGCTGGGGAGAGGATGGTGTGGGATCGTCCCGCGGGTTTTGGGCTACTTGTGGCGGGTTTATGTGCCGTACATGCCCCGTTAGGTATGCCCTGGGCGTGCCCTGGGCGTGCCGTTAGGTATGCCCTGGGCGTGCATGCATTGGCGGGGCAACTGGCAGCCGGGGTTGCGGCGGGGTGGGGTAGGGTCCTGTTTGAGTAAACCGGCCCTGTGTCGCTTTGTGCAGTGATTGTCACGACATGGCATAGGGCCCCCAACACGTCGCTGGCCTGCTTGCACTTTGCAAGGACGGCAATGATGGACGGTGACGCAGCCGGTTTTGATGGCGGTCTGGAGAGCAGGGCCACGGGCCCCCACGGGCCCTGCAGCTGCCGAGCGCTGCTGCAGGCAGCCTTCACATACACACAGCTCAAACATGCCATATGCACGCACCACGCAGCCTTATAGATAAGGTATTAGTCCAGAGCGCAGAGGAATAACAGCAGATACAGGTACACGGTAATAAACACGGTAATAAAACGGCCAGGTGGTTTTGACAACTTCGTTTTGAAGAACGGCGGCTTTGCTTGATTTCCCCTCCCTCGACGCAGCTGACGCACACGTAGGTGACGCACCGAGTCCTGAAAGACCAGGATGACGGCCCCCAGGGCGATGGTGGCGACACAGGCGTTAAGGCCCACTCGGAGGTGGTTGACCCAGCCGAATAGGTGTGGTTGCTGCGAATGAGGGCGATTGGGGGAGACCGAGCGAGGCGGTAGGACGGGAGAAGAAGCAAGCGGGCATTGGAACAGAACGGAAATCAAAAGTGCAACCGCAGCATCTTCAACCGTAGCAAGGATGAAGATGTGGATCCTTGCGTGTGGATGATGCGTGTGTGATCGCGTAAGTGCACACGCAATTATACAATTGCGCAAAATCAAAACGCAGTGTGAGGGGAAAGGAGGTGTACTTCCTTTGGCAAAGGTTTAGAGGAGTCCACAGACAAGCAGGTGTGCTTGCGGGTATGCTTGCGCCGTGTGTCATTTACGTCGAATCCTGTACAGGTCCAACATCTTGCAGATATTGAACGTCCCCAATGCCCCCAAATCTGAGATCCCAGGCAAAATTGCGCTTCGATTAAATCCGGAAGGTAAGCACTGCACTCACCCACTTCAGGTAGATCCACGTCAGGTAGCATGAGAAGGCGAACTGCAGGATGACCTTGACCTTCTCCCAACCGACGCCGTACGACACGACGGTCATGAGGAACTTCACGCAAAATGCACGAACCTGCGACCGGCAGGCATGTCACGGAATCCCATGTGTGTGGCATTGTCCACAAAGGAGAAACACCAAAAGGCGAGGCGAAAGAGGAAAGGCTACTTCCTTCCGCGAAAACAGGCAGCGGTAAGGAAATGGCAAGCGAACCCTGCGGTAAGGACCAGCGCGAGCTGCTCTCGAGCGTATATAACCCCCTGAAGCCGCATGTAGCTGTACCAGCTTTATGGGCCTTACGACGCCTCCCAACCCCGGGGGCCCCGCACCCACCTGGACACTGCTATTGGCGGTTGCATAAAGGTTCCTCGTTGTAGGGTTGAGTTCAAAGTCCTGTTGGCGGTTGCGGTACAGCACCGGTGCATAGAAATATGGGGTGATATGATTGTGGTGAGCCGTCAATGGGGAGACGCAGGCCGAGCGTGGCGCCTGTCGCAGCAAGAGAACGAGGAGGCCGCCTAGCAATCCGCCTCGCAAACCGTCCTCCATGACAGGACTTCCCTCCTCCGCCCTACACCCCTCCTACCTGTAAAACTCCATAACCCAATTTCACGGGAGCCCGAACCTGAGTCCTGACCCGACTATCCAGATCATTGCCTCCCCCAACCATGCCGTTGCTCTTCCTGAAACCGCTTGCCATTGTCCTTTCCTCATCCCCCAAAATCATCCCTCCACCCACCGCCATAAGGTTGAGTAGAGCCATGCACAGATACGCCGCCATGGCCGCCCCCGCGGCGCTCATGTGGGCCACGTGGGGCATGTTTGTGCACACTGCGCCACCCGGGCAAGCACACGCACATACACATGTAGACACGCACGAGCACGCACTTATGTTCAACTCGGCTTGCTAAGGGCGTGTGCACACAAACACAAAACAGCGAGGAGGGTTTGCGTGGGGGAAAGCAAATAAGGTCCGGAAAGGACCCCGCAGGGCGGGTAGAGTGGGTTGCTAGGAAGGCGGAAGCGCGGAGCACGCGGCGGCGGAAAGGTAGGTGGGTACTACCCTTCGCACGCACACGCACAACCAATGAATCGTTCAAGTAAAAACACAATGAAACAATCCAACAACCCCCAGCGACTGAGCCAGGAGAATCCCCCGGTCCTTGCCTACTGGACCAGGACATCCTCCATGCATCCCATGCTTTATGCCGTCGCACTTGACTTCGCATCAAGAGCCACCGGCAAATTACTCTTGAGCCTCTAGGCTTCCTCAAATTTCTATCCTCATATTTTTAACCGTCAGCTCATTGTTATATCTGCGGCACCTCAGCATTCAGTTACAGGCCCCTCCCGGAGTCTGCTGTTATCCCCCCTGTTGCTGCTGGTGCTGGTGCTACTCACCCGTGCTAGGGAACATGGCCAGCAGGTTGCGGTCAGCCTTGGGGAAGCCTATCCAACGACCTGCGGGGGCGATTGGCAGTCACAGCGGTTGGTCGCGCGGCGCTGCCGGGTTGCAGCCTTACAGATAGGAGGAGGTATAGCCAGGACAAGGGGCAGTCTGAAATGGGCAGGGCGGCTGCCGGTGCTGCAATACGGCTTAGGACAGGTCACGCAAAACCGTCCTCTTCCTCATTAACGCCTTCCGGAGGCTTGAAAAAGTATCGACGTAGAACGGGCCCGGCGCCTCACGCACTTCCAGCAGTCCTTCATGCTCCCCACAACGACGCTGACGAACACGCCATGGAAGCGCAGCATGCCAAAGCAAGGGCCGGACATGAGCAGCATTGGAGCCTAGCCATGGAACGCAAAGCTATAGTTGCATGGTCCGTTAAGCACATAGCGGCGCAGTCAGCTAAAGCCGCGCGGTAGGTGTTAGGCTTACAGTCAAAAGGCAGCTGCAGTAGCGCCAATGCGGCCACATCCAGGATGTGGAAGAAGATGATGGCGTACACGCGGAGCACCTTAATTGGCCTGAAGTATTGGAGAAACGTTGGATGGAGGGATGGATGGAGGGATTGATGGGTTAGGAAAGGAAAATCAGACCCGGGCAAGAGCTGAACGCGAGCAGCCTAAGAGAGTGGGCGGTGGGTACTGGGGGGAACAAATCAATGACCAACAGGCCGTGGGCAATGGGACCACTGAATAGGTCGTTGGACGGACGCGGCAGAAGCAAAGGACATGCATCAAAAGCCAGAAGACCAATGAAGGCTGGGCAGTAGGACGAGTGGGCTGTGAGAGAGCAGGGAGAGAGGATAAGGTCAGGTTTGAAAGGGTAACCCTCTTACCTTCGTCCTCCCTCCCATCTCTCCCGTAGCCCGCAGAGAAGGGAGGCTCCTCCTCTCAATATTAGGCCGATCCATGTTGTTTATGTGGACTATGTTATACAGAGATTGTCTGAATATTGTACTTGTAATAAACTAAAATTACAACCCAAAACAGGCCACACGCGGGAGCGTTTGCATTGACCTCAAAAGCCGGCAGGTCAGGTGCCATTCCCTCCTGTGGTGGCATTATGCCCAGGCCCAAGCGCCAATGCCCTTTCCCAGGCGGTCCCATCATGACAGGAACTAGTACTGCCCTGGCATGCCTGCCCCGCGGTCCGCACCCACCACACGAAGGGAAAATTGCGGTTCTGAAAGCACCATGCCACCCATGCGGCCAGCGCCAGTGCCGCGCCCAAAAGTGCAATCATAATGTAAAGCGCCACCAGAAATATCGTGTAGCCCTGCGGGCCCGGAAGGTGGGCAGACGGAAAAAACGCAAAGGTTACACACTCCACGGGGGCTTCTTCGTTTGTTTAAAGACCACACTCGGGGCCAGATGGCCTTCTCGCGCTCTTTGGTCCTTCCTGTTTGGGTGTAGACGATGCCGTGTCTTCTGCCATGGCGCTTGGGCCCTTTGATATCGTTTTCAGGTACGGGGAACGCATCCCACGACCATGTAACACAAACACAGACATATTTTTCGCGGAGTGACTGATGCATCTATAAGTTTTCATGAATGTCCCTAGGACAGGAGATAGGATAGGACAGGACAGGACATCCGCAAATCAACGCAGGCGCACGCGTATGTGAAGGCTTTAAATGAAAACAAGCCCGCAAACACACCACGCTGCTAAAGATTAGTAAATAATGGTATCCTGCCGGGTCCTTTTGCAACACACGCGCCGACACCTCCCCCAACACAATCATCCAAACCCCAGTGTAGGACTATGCCATCAGACTTTCAAATGTACTCACTCACTCCCCCACCCACCCCAACATCCCCCCACCCACCCGGGGCTTAATGAGGTCCTCGATTTGCAGCACCTGGAGCACCTTCCACAGCCTGTAAGGGGGAAGACGGTGAGGACAGGGAAAGCGCGTGAAGCAGCATCGGGCATCAGTCAGCAATGGACTCGGATGGCCTCAAGCGGCATCGCCCAATCTGGCATAGGGATGCAGGACATGCAGTGCATGAAACGATTAACGGGCTGTTTATTGTAGAAATAAAGACTAACGACCCAGCTATTTAGCTAGTGCTAACTTCTACTAAGTAAAAAATATAGACATATTTAGGGCTGAGCAGTCACGATCAAAAAACCATCGAGTGCAGCACCCTAGTCACGGCCTCGACTGGGGCATCTGACCAAAGCCCAAGGCTTGCGGTGGTCCCCATAGTGGACTATTGGCCTTACATGCGGTAGTGCCTTCAGGTGCAAGAAGGCCGGATGCCCGATGATAATATCTCGCCCAACAGTTCACGTATGCTTTGTATGTGTGGACCTAAGGACCGTATGCCACCTCACCATAGACCCTTCTCGATAACCCATCCGTCTCTGGTCGTGAATACAACAGTGAAGAGCTGGCAGAAGTCCAATGCCAGCCTGCATGCAGGTAAAAGGTAAAGCGCATGCACAAGTGTGGTGCCAGCTTTCATGACACATAGTTTGACCTGTGGTATGTATGCCATCAACGCGCAGCAGCCCAACGCATGAAACGACCCATACATGTATTCGACATAACCTTAGGCCAAACAGTGTAGGTGATTTCGTCAATGCTGTTGTTATCCAAGATACAGGGGCCTTCCGTTTACGGCATGCGGGTCCTTTGTGCATAGTGCGCCATACTCTGGCCCCGGAATTGCTCTCCGTGAAAGCTTAGGGTTGCGACCCCATAACTGACAATTCTATTCATGGACTGATGGATATGATGTACCTCGCCGGGCTACTGCATGAGTGCCGGTGGGTTATCTCTCTTACTGGCTTATTTGATCCCCTTACTTGACGAGCAGGAAGCGCACGCCGGTGTTGTAGCGCTCCTTAACGATGGTGAACAGCACGCCAAAGACCCCCACCACGAAGCCCTGTGGCCGTGTTCGGGAAATCAGCGTGTTGTAATGATCGCACGGTTAGTCTATGCCTGTGTTGGAGCTACAGGAGCTCCCTTACAGCTGTGGTGCTCGAGCTGCCACATCAAATACGTCATTTGAGCTACTACTCATTAGCAGCGCTGCTTGGTGTGACGTGGCGGCCCTTAGCTGTCTAGGCAGGGTCCTTGTGGAAGGCCCCAAGCCCCGGTTGTCGCCCCTTGATGACCGACAGGGATTCAACTAGGCGTTGACATGGGAATATGCCGTGTGAGGCACCGAACGCACACCATAGGATGCGGGTTCCTTCTAGCCGCTCAGATCAGTAAAACACACCATTGGGTTTGCTGCATGTACCGCGTGCGTGCGTGCGTGGGAGCGTCGACAAGTCCTCAGATACGATAACTCAACACCAAGAAACAGGTCAGGCGTTACATTGTGCAGAAATATGTTAAAGAAAGCGCACCTCGCCCAATTCCATAAGTTCAGACGTTGCACCATCTTCGAGCCTGCCATGTGTGACGGAGCGGCAAATCTTACAACCCAAGATTACGAGGTCAAGCCAGGTATGCTAAACTAAATATGTGTATAAGAGAATAGGGTAGCCACATAAAGGCGACGTGCGTGCTGGATGGGGACGTAGAAGCGCTTTGGAGTGCCTACCCGAAGTTCCTTCATAAGAGGATTATTATTCGCAAAGTAAAACCCATATGATCAGAGTAATCCAAGCAGCGAATGAAGTACGTAGTAAAACGTTCTTATGCAAATAGAGAACCGACGGCATACCTGCTTACGACGCTTTCCCTGCTAGGCGCTGAACTGAAACTGCTGACCGAGTGGCCGCTCTGACTCCGGTTTGTGCTCCCCGGCATTTGGAGGGCCCGTTTGCAGTCGTTTCAGAAGGACCGGCCCGCCACCTCAAGTCTAGATACTCCTTAGCCACTTCACTTTTCAACAATTTACCTCCGCCTTTCATTAAGTGACGCAAGCCCTGGACTATCCATCCGATCGATGCATCCTAACCTCCGTAGGGATGGCGAAAGAAGTATTATACTTATAAGCACTCATTTTTCAGGTTACCTTGCTAGAAACCTTTTGGCTTCTCGGTTGACAACTCATCGTACAACGGATACCGCGGTACTGAAGTCTGGGTTCCGGTTACAACACCCATTCTTGGCACTAACAGTGCACTCAATTCAACATGAAAATAAGAGAGTAAATGATCAAAGAATTTTGCCATTGCAATCCCTCATTGTGAACGTGAGCATGGTTCGCCGAGAAAATTGTTCAGGGCAGTTAAAAGCCTCATATTGATGGTGAAGGAATGGTGTGGTAAACTTAAACCTTCTTTCCGCAAAAACCGTGGAAATTCCCCATGAGTTATTTCAATAAGGGTGTGAAAGCAGTCCGTTCGTACGCACATTTGGGACGCCATATCTACCATTCATTCTTTAATCCTTGCGTGGAATGGGAAGTATGTATCGTATATGCATTAATATACATTAATACTATGTAAATCAGATGGCTGAGGTGAAACGCATTACGTCGGCGCTCTACCGTTTAAGCAGGGTTACGGCTCAATCAATGCCCTCGGGTGAAGATTTGTCCTGTTCGTCAGCCGCATTGCATGTTCGAACTTGCAGGGCAGACAACAGGCGAAGACTGTAAGTTGCCTCGACATTAAGCGCAGGTAGCACTTGGTGATACGTGCAGTCTTCGGCAAGTCTGCTTCTATCCCGGTTTTCGTTTCCATGCGTGAACAGAACAGGTGTTGGATAAAATCCTCCCCTTCGAATAAACCATCTTATCCCGAACGGCAACTACGAAATGGCTTAGTGCCGGGACCACTTGCCTGGTACACGGTTCTCCGTATGTTAGGGGCTGAGGCAGGCAAACGTATTTTTGCCATCCATCTAAAGTTTTCATTGTATACCTTAATCGATCCATAAATCCAAGGTACACATCTCCGTACCCATGCAGTGGCGAAACTAGCCGCTGGCTTTTTGATAATTTGTTGATCAATGTACATCGGTCGATCACGCTGGGCACAAGGAAAAACTTCCCTGTACGACAGTCGTCAGCCACAAGATATCGCAACCTGCTCACTATTATGTATGGGTCTTACCCAAAATCCGACACCACGTCCAAGCCATCACATGCCGTTGAACGTACACACTGCCGTATCGAACGTCGCTTAGGCCGCGTACCCTAGCACCCTAATACCCTTAATGGTAAAAACGGCATGCATGCAGTCGCCTAATAATCTGTTTTAAAATAGAAGACACATAGAAGACACATAGAAGACACATGCGCCTTGTACATGCGCCTTGTACACCGAAAATAGTCCCCTTCCACCGATACCCCATCCCTGCTGAGACACACTGCATCCTGCATTACGCAGAATGAGCCCTTCCCATATCCAATTTCAGCAGACATCAATTCATCACGGCTTGAGCTGCAGCAGAACGTGCTAATTTAGGGATCACCGGGGACCCATTGACCATGCGAATTAGTCGTCCAGGATGCCCAAATGCTTGCCACTGCCTGACTTGCGGCGTTTTGCCGTGGCATCGCCATCGTCACTCTCGCGCCGCCGCTTCGTGCTGGGAACGGGAAGAAGCAAGGCAAGCACCAAGTCGAGTCAGTTAGATGTAAATTGTACGCGTGTACGATATACAAAAAGCCAGCCCACAGCCGATCGAGTCATAAGATGCTTGGCGCGTACCTGTCCTTCGATGCAGCAGTCTTGGGATTTGCCGCCTTAGATGCTGTCGTCTTTTGGTCCACTGCAAGGCAAAAGTCCAAGGCAGCGAACAGGTTAAACAACCAAGTGCAGACCGGCGATAAGCAAGGTCTTATGGAAGCTGTGCTGGTACGCCTAAACAGTGAGGCGCCTGTCCAACACCAGCTACCTGCAGGCCCAAGGAAGTACAGAAAAATGCGAGAGCAGGTTTCCTGTCAATACATAGGCTTGCCTAAGAAATGACCTACCCTCAGCCTCATCCGGCTGTGCCTGTGTGCGGGTACTGCGTGTAGATACACGCCCACGCGTCACGCGCGGCTCTCCACTGTCCGATGGCAACGGGGTAGCGGCAGCGGCCATAACGCCCACGGCGGGCGGGGCAGCAATCCTGCTTGATGACCTCGTTGCGCGCGTATATTTGCCTCCCGTTTCGGCCGTGGCGGTCGTGGCCGCCGCTGCAGCTTGCTGTTCGGCCCTGCACAGACACGAAAAACACAGATTCAGATGCGCTGGCATGACTTTAAAGACGGCTTAGGTTTGCTGTGCTTGGCAAAACCTGTGGCATTAGTACAAACAGATTTAGTGTTCACAGTGGAGCATTCCAAATAATGGAAGCAGGGTTACCCTCCTTACTATGTGTAACATATCATTTCCCTCCACACCTGGAGTCGCGACTAACTCGACTGCGTGTCGCGCGAGCCGGCGATGGAGCAGGGATTGCCGCGTCTGCAGGTGGGGCCGCACGGGAGGTAGTGCCGGGACCTGGCTGTGGGAGGCCGTGATGCTCCGCCTTGGCCTCCTGAATCGGCTTCAACGCTGCATCGCGCGTTGAAGTCGCAAGTGCTGCTGCCGCCGCCTGCGTCCCTTCACGTGCCGCCACAGCGGGTGTATCACCCCGGCCAGCACCCCGCCCTGTTCCTCGTCCACGCCCACGGCCGCGAGTGCTTGTAGCCCGGGCGGCTGATGCCACCGTGCTCCTAGCGGTAGTCGCACCAACCCTGCGACTGCTAGTTGCCCGGCTACTGCTGGCAGGTGTGTCATGGGACACCTCGTTAACTTCCTCCAGGGGCGCTGAGCAGTCTGGCGGCGCCAAGCCAGTCATGGGGCGCGGGCTACCCTCGGGGACCGACCCGACTGCAGGTGCGGACTCACCCATGGGCGCCGAGGCGTCCATTCGTGCTGATTCATCAGCGGGCACCGAACCGGGCGCAAGCACTGCGGTGACATCAGCACCATCCGCTGCAGCCACCGTTGCTCCCGCAGCACCATGCAACGGTGAGTCCACAGGAGTAGGCCTGCAGTGATAGAAACGATGTTGCTCTCAGTACCATCCCCTGATTACGTTTGTGCCAAGGATGGTCATGAACTTGATATTAAATGTTTCCCAAGGCGTCCCCGTCCTTACTGTTTGGAGCTATTTAGTCTAGGCGAGGATGCCTTCACTGCTGCCAGCTCTTTCTCCATAGCACGGATGCGTTCATCCGAAATGCTGCGCTCAGCTTGGAGGTCTTCAAGCTGCACGCGAAGGTCGTCCAGCTCCTGTACAGACCAGCAGAAAGAAATCATTAGGAAAATGGGACTAGCAATTGAACCATCGGGTAGTGTATTCCCTTCCCTGGGGGAACGCATGATGTATGCGCCCATGATTATGCGACTCAAGTGGTCGGACCGAGCAAGGCTACTTCCTATTTGAACTCCCAGAAGGGCGCCGCTGACGAGTTCGTAATCCCTAGTCAATACACACCTTCCGCAAGTTGCTGAGTTCATCATCTCCCCCTAGGCGGGTCTCGTTTGCAGGGGTGGCCATCTCGATAACGAGCTCCGTAGCGCTCATGCGGGTTGCCCTCGCGGCCGCAACCCTTCCTGCAGCAGCAGCACCACCACCAGCGGATGCAGCATGCTGCTGCTCTAGAGCCTCCTGCACAAGCCGTAACTCTTCATGAAGCTTCTGGACCTGCACTTCTAGGTTTTCGCGCTCCACCTTTTTCTGTTGCAGAAGTTCCTGCAAGCCGACAAGCTCCACTCTGTCAGTTTGCAATGCCACCTGCAGCTCCTTATCTTGGGCCAAAAAGGCAGCCACTTGCTCATGGAGGACCTGAAAATGAAAGGTGAGGAGGGCCACTGATTTAGACCGACTCAACATGCAAGAGCTATACGCTATCACCCACCTGTAAATCAGCCTGGGCCTGCTCAGCTCGGTGCACTGCTGCATCCGCTTCAGCCCGCATAGAGGCGGCTGCCTGCGTGGCGGCCTCCTTCCTTGCGATTGCCTCCTCCTCTGCTAGCTTTACTTCTGCCTCACGCGCCTGAAGGTCCGCAGCGAGCTTCTCAAGCTCCAAGGAACGTTTCTCAGCTGCGGCCTCCCGTGCACGCAATTCGGCCTCCCGCTTGGCAGCCTGATGTTACGCGTGGACGAAAGGGGATGACTTGTCACGGATAAACGTTCGTGCACGCAAACCCATGATACTCATTTCTGAGAACCCTCCCTTTAAATTGTAAACACCCACCTTACTCCCTTTCGGCGCGTTTTCGCGCTCCGCCTCCTCGCGCCTCTGCAGAGCCGCTTCCCGGTCCTACGATGACAGCAATCGCAAGACATGACAAAGCTCTTTTAGCAAGGGTGATACACAGAAATACACGGTAATCCGGGACCAACCCAAACAGAAACATGGGGCGAGTGAACAATATACGCAGTGGTGCTTTTGTGATATGGGCTGCTCTACGCAAAGCATCCAAAACTTTTGACGCTACATCGTCAAGGCCCGTGCCCCATTTGGATGTGAAATTCACAATGCAAATGCACGTCTACATACTCAGCTTCCCAACCTCGCACCTCCAACGTCTTGAGCTTCTTACTGGCCTCCCTGTCCAGGTCGGCTGCGTCGCGCTCCCGGGCAACCAAGGTAACCATGCGGCCCTTGAGTTCATCTTCCTGTGGTTTAATACGTGCCTCGCGGTGAGCTAAGTCTTCCGCCACCTTCGCGAGCTCGACTTGCCGCCGTTCCAGCTCTTTGGTGCTCTCGTTTAACTGGGCACATGACGGGAAGCATAATCATACATTAGTGCCAAGCAAGGCATGCACAATCCCACTCTCCGTTGTTTCATCGCTCTAAACATGGGTCGCAGGAACGCGCACAGCAATCGTATGCAAACGTTCGCTACAAAGCATGATCAGGGAGCAGAGACTGGAGCACCGTACTCGGGAGTCCCGTTACCTTTTGTGAAAGTTCGCTGAGTGCTGCCTCCCGCTCATCAAGTGCATGCTTGCGTGCCAGTGCTGCCTCAAGCTCGGCCACCACCTTCTGGTTAAGCTCGTCCACCTGCACCTTCTCGGTTTGCAACGCTGCCTCTGCTTCGGCAAGACTCGATGCACGCTACGAAAGCAAGATAGGTGCTCGGTGTCAGCAATATTATCGGTCATCAAAAGAGTACACGATAGCAAAACATGGTTGAACCACAGTCATGCTGCGGCCTTGAGGCGCAAGCAACACCTTAATTTAGCATCGAGACGAACGGCATCTAATTAACGTGTACCTGCCGCGTTTCTTGCAAAGCGCTATTAGCGTCCTTTGCAGCCTCCTGAGCTGCGGCAGCCTCCACCAAAGCTGCAGCCATCGCCCCTGCAGCTGCTGCTTCTCGCTGCTCCAGGTCGAAACGCAAATTATCTGCCCGCGCCAACAGGGACTCGGCAGCTTCCTTGCACGCCTACCGGTAAGCAGCAAGGGTCACAGCATAAACGCAAGAGCGGGAAAGTACATGCATGCCGGTGCCCAAAGAACAGTTCCACCCATGCTTGAAATCCAACTTCACGACAATACGCATTCCCTTGCCGACCTTGAAGTTCGCCTTATCAGCTTGCAGTTGGGTACTGAAGTCCTCCAGGTCGTGGCGCTGTTCATCTAGACGAGCGCGCTGCTCCTCCAGCTCGCGACGAGCGGCTTCAAGACGCGCCAAGTCGGTGTTGACAGCGGCAGCCTTCTCCTCAAATTGTCTTCGATTTTCCTCGGCCGCAGCCTGGCAACAGCGTCAGGTCATACAGAGTTCGGGAATTGTGCACCATTGAACGGCCTTCCTTCAGGTAGACGACCCCTTGGGTCAGCAACACTTCAACCTATGCTAGATTACCCCTAAGCACGTCGAGTAAAAGCTACCCAACCAGAGGGGAAGGACCAGGCAAAGAAGCAAACCCTCAACATTGCTATCGCGCAAAGTGCACCTGCTCCTGGACAATTCTTGTCTCGACATCCTGAAGCCTCGCGAACGCCGTCTCCAGGTCAATCTCGCGGCGCTGCACCTCATCGTTACGGATTGCGAGGGCTTTTTCCGCCGAAGCCAGGTTCTGCTTCTGTAAGGTCAGCTCTTTCGCGTCAGCGTCCAGCTGCAGGCGACCAGGAGACGTGATGAAAGCTTATATGCTTTGGCAACAACAGCAAAATGGAACGTGCCTGAACCGAACACGTAACTGCAATAAAGCTGACACGGGAAGCACCCGTACCAAGGCGAGCCCCAGGGTGCCCCTCAACGCTGATCCGCCAACAAGACTGACGGGCACCCGAAGCCAACGCCACAATGGTACGCAGGCCAGCCTCAGGTCGTGCAATTCACGCACCTTCGCTTCAAGCTGGCGCAACTCTTTGAGCTTGACATTATACTCCATAAAACGTTCTTCCAACAACGTCGTCTGGATGCGATTGTTCTTGGAGACGAGATCTACCTCGCTCTTCTCCTTCTCAAGAGCACGAGCTAGAGCCTGATTCGATTGGATTGTCCTCCCCAGCTCCGCCTTTGCTTCCTTGAGCTGTGGTACCATGACATGCGCGGGGACGGAGTCATGTTGCACGGTACAACGAAGGATGAATCAAAGCTCATTATAGAACGCGTGACGCCTCCCAAGCCGCACCTTAAAATCGACGTGTGAATTACATCCCCGTGTAAGCATCCTTGCAAGCGACTCCCCTGAGAAAATATACCGCCCGGGTGCTATATCATTTGCAAAGCGCTTGCAGACGCTAGACCGCTTCAAACAAGTACCAAAGGATACATCCATGACAACCCGGACGCCACACAATTGGAATAAATCTCACCTCAGCCTCCCGCTTTTCCAGTTCCGCCGCCTGCACTGCCAATTCCGCGTCCTGAGCAGCTTGTGCTGCCGCCTTCGCGGTCGCTGCCGCCTCCAGTGCTAGAACCGCAGCCTCGCGTCTGGCCAGCTCAGCTGCTTGCTCTGCCATGCGCTTAGCCGAGACGACTTGCTGAGATTCGCGATCCAGCAGCTCGCACTTAGTGCCCTTGACACGCTCCAGCTCGGCTGCAAAGTAGTCAACGAAAGTAGTTGCGAACGTGGTTGAGGCGCAATTCGGCACGCAATGGTCAAGAATCACTACGGTTACCTGAAATTAAAACCATTGCCAAAAGGTGCGCAAATCCCGTACTGATACAGATAGCTACAACAACTACCAGGATAACCAATCCTCAAGTGCAACTGGCACGCACCGGATATGGCACGCTCCTTGGTGGCAACCTCTTGGCGTTGCGCCTGTAGCTCTTGCATCGCCCTGCAGAAGGCATAGGAGACATGTATCATGTAACCAAAATCTTGGATCCCTCCACATGCCTTCACGGAACGTACGACACAGCATCGTAGAACGTAAGTAGAACGCTAAACTCACGCGGTGAGCGCCTTTCTCTCTTCGGTCATTTGAACTTCCAGCGATGCGATGTACGCCCGCCGTTGTTCATCGTTTTGGAGAGCTTCCTGTAACAGCTGCTTGACGCTGACGAGCTGGTCCTCAGCAGATTTCTTCTCAGCAGCCAGCGACGTGTTGATCTTATCCAGCCGCTCCCTGAGGCGTAGTGCATGAGCTAAGTGGATTAATACGGCGAGAAAGCCACAGCCGCCCCTATCGGGAGTGTTACTGCAGAACGCAAGAGTCAGGACTTCTCCCCGGCCCCCTGTCTGCCCACCCTCCAAATGGTTGGATGTAAAGCATACGCCCCTGGCTCCGTACAAGCAAGCCTTCACGTGAAAAAAACTATTAATGCCTCCGACGCATCGAGGACATTCGTGGTACCGTACTACAACCGTCCCAGCACTCTCAACCCATGTCCGATCCTACCGTTCGTATTTATGGTCGAATGCGTAAATCTTCATGTCCCGAAGCTCCCGCTCCTTATCGGCCAATAACTTCGTCGCATAGGCATCTGCAGCCTCCGCCTCGTCCGTGACACGCTGCAGCGGTGACAAAGTCCTGAAATTGACACTTGGTGCAACTTTACATCGCCGCTTATAAATTACCTTGTGAAACTCATCGTAGTCGCGAAGACGCTGTTGAAGTATCTCGACCTGCGAAAGAACTTGACCGTGTCAAAATTGCAGGGGGTTAAGAAGCTTCGCGCCGCCAAACGGGTTTTACCTGCTCCTTCAACCTTTTATTTTCCTGGAAAAGCTCGCCATTCAGCTGAGCTTGTGATACGCCAGGGCTTAGGAGGCCTTGCGCCCTGCAGATTAAACGAAGCCGCCAGACATTTAGATAGCCAAAAGGAGACAAGGAGTCGAAATAAGATATAGTTACCGCATTCTTTCTGTGACACTATTAGGATGTCGCAAAGGTGTTAGTTTCATTCTCCCCCCCTACGACTGGACTGTGTCGGTCGAAAAGTCAAGCCAAAGACCTATGTATATGCGAGCCTTAGTAGATGTTGCATGCAAAGAGCGGCGTGGGGGGTACCAAAAGCCAAAAATCGTCGTGTTTGGGACACAACACCAATCAGTTGCAAGCAAGTACGGCAGGTACAACTGCAAAACTCTTGCGAGCTAATTGCTAATTGCTCAATGAGGCGTCCTTTAATAACTTGCTAGCACCAAGTTTTGCGTAAATTGATGAAAAATGATAGCATCTGTCCCGCTTGCAGTAGGTCGCGATTCACTGTTTGGAAGGTCAACATTTCGACACAGCAGGCTGCTAGCAAAGGCACCGTGGCGCATCCATGAGATTAGGAATCATGCAACCCTTGAAAAAATCCTTGCTCATGCGTCGACTTCAAGCGAAAGAAGGCTCTGTGTTGCGGCTGCGGCGCCGTCAGGTCACATTTGGGAACTGCGGGAGGAACGCGGTCTCTCATTCGTAACAGGTTAGCAATTTACCGTGCTTGAGGCTCCAATCCTACGATAGATACTGTACGGTTGGAGCTCCGACCCCTGGGACGCGTCTCCTTGAAACTTTTGAAGTATTTGGGTTCGGACGGTACCGGAAAGCCGCGAGCACTTGCCCTGGCGCAAACAAGTCGATTGCCCTACAACCAACCTTGATATCCTTGGATGAAACTGTGTATTTGTCCCAAATTCGCTCAGGCGAGGCGTTCTACCGCGCGGAGAGTTGCCCCGGCCGGGACTTGGCCGTGCTCGCCGCCGCGCTTCATCGCGAACGCACCGGCTGCCTGCGCGTGCTCGATGTCATGGCTGGCAGCGGCATGAGGGGTGCAAGGTACTTTTCGCAAGTGCGTCTCTGTATCCGCCTTACCCCATCCACATTAGTGTTAGCTTTGTTGCGTTCACCTTTCAACATAAGCTTGCATGTATAACAGCTACAGACACAGGCTGCGTCTCAAACCCCCGGCGACGGGCATGTTTGTGCAAATAAACGTTGTCAGCCGCCACTTCTGCCCGCGTCGGCAGCCCATGCTTCCTGCATTCCCATCATACTTCCTGTCCCCCACCGTCCTGCCGATGCAACGGAAACAGGAGCAGCACGCAAACCGTCCAGGCCGCCCAGCTGCATTCCTATGTCGCCAAGCGCCCCTGGATGCCTTCGAAACCAAAGGTCGTATTCGTAATGCAAAGGAATTTCCGTTACCGTCAACAAATGCCGCCTTGTGCCACCGGTCCCTCTAGCGCATCGACAGGCCGATGCCGATGAAGTCTGGATCAACGACGGCAGCACGGATCTGCACGACGCCATGGTCTACAACATGTGTACGGCAGCTGAACTACCGGCGCATGCTGACGCCCAGACCGTAAGCGGTGCGGTAGTGGACGCCATGGCGGCATTCCAAGCTAGGGACGAGGCGCCCACGGGACCATCACCGGCTGCGGAGGCAAACGATGAAACTGCAGCGAGCCCGGGAACTTCCAACCAGTGCGTTGTTTTGGAGCAGACGTTGCGGGATCTGGTGACGCGCTGGGAAGGGCAGGCACAGCGGCTCCGGTTGGGGGGCCTGGCACGCGACGTATGGCAATGGGATGTGCCCCGGCTGGCGAGTGGCTCTGGCCCTGACGAGGCGTCGAAGGCGACCCCGCTGCAAGGAGCTGCAGCAGATGCAATCAAAGCATTAGTGGCGGAGGCGACCACAGCTGACCCGGGTGTTGGCCACTGCGACGACAGCACTGCCAGGGGCAGCAGCTCAAGCGGCACAGACAGTCTTGCAGGAGCTGGCAGCAGCAGCAGTAGCTGTGACGGCGACAGCGAGACCGGGAGTGGGAGAGGGGCGCAAGGCGGGGTGCAGGGAGCGGAAAGGGATCGACCGCCAGGCTCTTCAGCTCGACGGATTCGCATCTCCCACGCAGACGCCAACAGGTGGGACCCCGAAGCGCCACTGCCGCACAGTGAGTCGCTATTGGGCGCATCGCTTTGCAAAAGATTGACGTTCGGCGGCAGCACACGGTCTTTTCATGGCCTTGTAATCCACTTCTTAGGTAATATTTCCGCCTTACCGACTAATCGCTCGGGGGCCTGCAAAGCGGGGACCGAAGAGCGAGTCCCATAGTCCTGCGCTTTCGCAGGCACCCTTTACGCTGCATCATGTCTTCTGTCCGGGCCCCCCCTCCACGCAGGCTACTCACCAGTTGCTACATGCGCGAATTGTACTACGACGTTGTTGACGTCGATAGCTTCGGCTCCGAGACCATGCACTTCCCTGCAGCAATCGATGCCGTACGGTACGGTGGGCTGTTGTATCTCACCAGCACCGACGGATTCACCAGTAGTGGCAAGCGTCCGGCGCGCGGCCTGGCGGCGTACGGCACCTACGCACGGGCTACACCCTGGGCAAACGAGCAGGTGAACGATGACCTACTGGCGCGAAACAACCGTTTCTTGGGTGCACGTTTTTATATACTGTATTATATCCTGTCTAGGCTTTCGCTGGTTATGCTCTGGGCATGAGAAACATGGATCGAGTGATGCGCAGTTGCCTATCCATCCTCTTTTTCTATCTGAAACGGATCGGTGTCTTACTTGGTCCTCGGCATGCTGCAACCCTTCCCTGCAACTTCCTCCCACTCAGCTCAGCTCAGCTCGTCTGGCTACATTAATTTCCCTTCAACTCTGTACGTCGTCGTCCCATCGTTCGCCCTCCCATCCTTCTCCACCACATCCTTGCAGGGCTTGCGCATGATCATCGGCGCAGCGGTACGTGAGGCAGCAGCCAGGGGTGTGACCCTGACACCCGTCTTCTCGCTGTACTCCTACCACGGCCCCGTCTTCCGAGTCATGCTCCGTGCAACCCGCAGTGCCGAGTGGCACGTTCGCCATTACGGCTTCATGGGCCACTGCTTCGTGCATGGCGACAACTACACAGTCAGCTGGCCCGACTTGGGCACCGCCACGTGCAGATGCGAGACCCGGGGCCGGCGGCCGGCTCCTGGGTCTCCCATTCAGTCGTCGCCCCCAGTCGCACATGCTAGCAGCCTTGACAATCCCCCGCGCCCTAGTAGCTCTACCACCGACGATACCGGCAGCACCAGCGGCTTAAGTGGCGAGGGGATCCGTCCAAAAAACGCAGGAAGGAGGAGAAATGGCGCTGCTGAGGGGCCGGTAAAGGGCGGCAGGCAAGGTGAGGGTCATAGGGCCCCGCAGCCTGAGGAAGCGGACGGGGATGAAGGAGGACAAAGAGCAGGAGAAGGTTTCGGAGCTGTGGGCGATGGCCCGGTGGCCAGCACCGGGACGCCGCTGGTGCTGGCAGGGCCGCTATGGACGGGGCCGCTGCATGACAAGGCGGAGCTGAGGGCGATGGCGAAGGAGGCGGCCCGTAGGGGCTGGGCGGGCTTTGGGCTGGACGAGACTGCTGCGCCCCACCTCCAGAACCGAGTCAAGAGCAGGTGTGGCCTTGGGTCGGATTGGTTTGGCTCGGCTTGACTGAGACAGTGCCAGGCGGGGTTTAATAAAACGGATGGCTTGTGCCTTGTGACGGAGGGAGGGAGAGAGAAGGCGGACGGCTTTCCTAGGCGGCAATAAGCTGGACACTGGCACCCTATATCACGAAGCTGCTACATACGCGGCCAAAAGCGGTGTTTAAGCGACGTCAAGGGGGTGGCTGCCCATTGACTAGGCGTTTGGACGTACACAAATGCACACTTGTGCACAAGTGCATCGCCGACGCACTTTGGTAGGTTGGAATCTTTTGCACCCTACAAATAGCAACCTGGCCAACGACTGCATATAAGTGAAAGTTGCCTTTGCCCTATCCCTCACGACGATTGCGCCATGGGGACCCTCCAACACACTCCCAAGACCACAATTCCCGCAGACACCTTTTTCACGTCTTGCTTTCCGTCGCACTTGCAGTCGCAACGTGCGGCCGCTGGAGGACCTTCTAGAAGTGCTGATCGAGGAAGCCGATCCGCGCCTGCCGCCCGGCTTCTTCTCCATCGACGCCTCGGTGGCGCGGCGTCTGGCACGGCCGCCTCCGCGAGACGCCCTTATCACGGTGCTGCGTCAGGAAGGCTTTGCCGCGGCGAGGTGCCATCTAGAGGTCTGCATGGGCATTCGTGGAGAGCGGGATAATGATGATCACGGGGGGCGAAGTCTAGGAGAAACCACTGGGGCATGCAACGGAGGTGTGGGTAAAACGGGCGCGAGGGTGATGAGAAAACGCTGCTGCTACTGCTGGTGCACGGCCGTGCCGAGACAAGCACCCTACCCATGCTGCATAGGTCTGCTGTTGCCCTACGCCGGGATGCTCAGCAGTCGCACTGCCCTCGCCACCCGGCGCCTCGGCCCTGCGTAGGTTACCACCCTCCGCCCTGCTTCCCCCCCAGGTAAAACAATCACTCTCCCTCCACGGTGCCGGTCCTCTGCTTACCACAGGCTCGAGCCTTCCGCACAAATGCGTGCATGGCTGACATATTGCGCGTTGCGGAGAAGCGACTGGGCATCCCGCAGCGCCGCCAGCAGCGGTGACGACACCCAGGAGCCTGTCCTGATACTGCAGTGGTTACTACCCCGCGCGGTCCCTTGACCTTCGGGCTCAGGACGAGCTGAGTTGGCATGGCGGAACCCCTGTCCGCCCCCTACTGACCGTCTTTGGAACTGTTAGCCTGCGCACCCTGGACAGCTGTCATATACATGGTGCTGTGTCGCAGTCCGGGAGTGCGTGCCGTGCTCGTCAATGAGCACAGCAACGTTGTCATGGAGTAGGATGCTTTCCGCGCTGGGAGCGATCCATAATGGCTTGGAACGCGATCTATGGGCGGCGCAAATTGGCCCTTAGCTGTGAGGAGGAGAAGACGCGCCTCGCCTCGTTCCAGGCAACCACGCAACCGTTTTTTCAAGGCCGACGTATCTTCAAAGCTTCCCCCTACACTCTCCACCAAGCAGCAAAAAACCTGCGAAACCCCTGCCTACACAACGTACCATCTATTGAGCCTTCTCCCTCTTGAAGCATTTCTGGGACATCAAATCTATGCAAAAAATAATTAAAGCGCAGGCAGCAATCACATCCACTAGCACGTTTTCACTACATAAGACAACCTCTAAATACTACCAATAGGGTAATTGAGCATCCCCAAATCACCGCTAATAGCGCTCCTCTCTACCCTAGACTCTCCCCGCGTCTGCGGTAATCACAGTTCCACGCGTTCCGTGAACAATCCTGAGCACAATTCCGTCAGTCGCAGACCTGCCAGTACAGATATGCACACAGCCAGGAGCCCAGCAGTCAAGAGCAGAGGTCTCCCATGGTCTAGAGAAAGGAGCAAGCCGATGGTGGAGAAGCAAGTGTCATCGACTACCTACCGTTGGCGCTACTATGATCGGCGCTACTATGAAAATCGTTGCGACAATTAAAAAAAAGGAGTTGCAAGGACCAACACAAGCGGCCATACACTGGTCAAGTTCGTGGCTCCTATGCCCCCCTTCGGGGTCCCCGTGCACTTCCCCTCTTCTTTTGTAACAACAGCACACAACGCCCCTACACTCCTACACCCTCAGCATTGATACGAGCTGGCTATTCCGACTTGCACCGCCGCGCTGGCGCCCTCCCTTGCCATTAGTTCGTCTTATCCTTTCTTACCAGTGGCATTTTTAACTGTGGACACCAATTACACCTGGGGTCTTGTTCGAGCCCGAGACCGACCGTACTTGCGCCCTGGACCCAGGCCACCGCCATGGCAGGCTCACAGAACGTGGGCGCGCATGTGTCGAATCCTCGATTGGCGACCTGGCATTCTAGTCCGATGTGAAGAATTGACGCCGCAGCAGGCTCATGTCGCTCTGCCAGCTGACGCCGCACGTTGCAGCGGCTGAGATGTCAAATCGGTGGGAATGACTAGTGCCGATGGAGCCTTTGGACCCAGACCCAGCCGCGCCCGCACGCCACGGTACCACACCATCAGCTCAAAACCCAGCATGCGCGCCTCCACCTGCATATTCGCATGCACATACATACAAACAAAAGGCTAGTTCTCGGCCTCTTCTGACGTAGGCATATGCTTCATCGCAGGTTAGGAGCCGTAGGGATATGGCCTCAAGAGGCAAGGGTTGGTTGGAATACATTGTCATGCTTGTTTCGACGTACGCTCTTCTCACGGCTCCGTAGAACGCGCAGACTGGCGCCATTAGGGATAACGGAGCGATGGCATCATGCAATGCAATGCCCACCTGCAATCGCTCCAACGCCACAGCCAGCCGGACCAGCGGCCCTGGTGCGCCACGCAGTCGCTCCCGCGCCAGCGCCGCCGAGCATTCCCTGGCCGTAATCACAAACGTATTCACCGGCTCTCCCAGCGCGAAATCAATAGCGCGCAGGCAATCGTTGGTCTTGAGTAACAGCAGCAGCGGTCGCGGCATGCGCTGCAGCAGCCCAGTGATCTCTCGGCTGTACGTCGCCATGTATTGCTGAGCCACCTGGCGTGTCTGGTGGCTGCGCTGCACCGCCAAGTGATCGGAGCGGGCATCCAGGATCTGCACGTGTGAATGAACGGACCCGCGGATATAGATGGCGCAGGTGAATGGATCGACCGGTTGACAATGTAGGAGGGTGGCGCGGGAGGAAGGGGAGAGAGACATGCATAGAGAATGTGCTTTACCAGAGTTGGGAGATGTTGGGTTTGCTTACGCGCCCCGTCTGACCAATGAACGGTGCCAAAGGCAAGGCAACGACAGAAGCAACCGCAGTCAAACACGCGAGCAGCCGACCGGCCCGGCCCGGCGCAAGCTCGGCCCACCTGGTCCCATGACCTCTGGGTGAGCATGGACGCAAAGATGTCGTAGGTGTCGCCCGCGTTCATGGCCGCGCTGTAGCGTCGGATGCCTGCCTCGTCCGCAAAGATCAGGCTGCGCCAGAGGGCCGCATATGCTAGTCGGAAGGAGTCTGTGTAGGACTTGTACAGCCCGTGATCCAATAGCACCAACTGAGCATGGCCGTCCTGTGCAGCACGAAAAACACAAAGGAGAAAGGAAAAAGACTCAAAAGGAAAAACTGAAAAAAAGAGGTGTGACGCTGACGCGATATGCCCGTCCTGCAGCCGCGGAGAGATAATACAGTGTTGGATCTCTGTGCGTTTTTTCCGGTTCTTCCGCAGCAAGTTTTGCGTTTCCGTGGCCCGAGTTGGCATCTGTTGATGAGAGGCAGGCAACCCTGGTGCGAGTTGTGCGTGCGCGTGTTATACACGTGTTTTCATCGGAAGGTAACTTTTAATACGCGGGTGGCATGCGGACCTCACACGCGAAGCTTCGGGAAGGGAGCAGGTAATGCACAGCCTTGGCCCTGTAAGCGGGAGCGACTCCGACTGCCCATGCCTAAGGTAACGTTTCGGAAGGGGAACCATGTCAATGCCACAGCCTTGGCGGAGTGACCGGCCCCCTTTCAAAACGCATTCATCTCCCCAGTCCCCCTCCCGGCTCTTCCCCAGCTCCTGTCCTATACCATAAACCCTCCCCAGGGGGAAAAACAGACTGCAGGAGTCCGCAGACGGAAGGATATACCTTCTGACAGACGGACTGAACAGATCAACAGGGGAACTCACCACCTTGCGAACCAGCATGTTAGCGGCGTGGGGGTCGCAGTGGACGTAGCCATGAGCAAAGATCATCTGATTGAATGTCTCCGAAATGAGCACCATCACCTCCCGCCGCGACAACCCTAGCGCCGCCAGGCCCGCGGTGTCGGTCACCCCAACGCCGTCAATGAACTCCATGGTGAGGATGCGGTGAGAGCTGGTGCGGTAGTCAATCTGGGGCACGTAAACTCTGACCCAACCCACAAGCGAACAGGGCAAGGCCAAGAACAGTTAGGAGACGAGTTGAAAAGGTCACATTTAGTGAGGGAAGGGAAGGGGGAGTGCCAATGCCCCGACAAGAGTTCCCTGTGGGTGAACTTGGCCCGTTCCCGCTCTACTCCATCCTTCTTTTGGAACCACCCTCTCCTAATCTCCGTCTTCATCTTCGCTGCGCCCCATCTTCTCCGGTCATCCTTTCCACCTCCTATCCACAACTCGCCACTGTAATCGCATCCTCTCCAGTTCCGTTGTTTCACCCCATGCCATCGCAGCCCAGGTCCGCCGTCCTGCCTTCCCTGATACACCAGCTTAGTCTCGTGACGAACCTTTGCTCATCTACATTCAAAATAAGCTAGGTGGAAGTACAAAAGCCCGCTCTGGTAGCTGGTGCTTTGAATGTCGTCAGATGCTCCTTTGATTCTTTTGTCATGTGATTCACCACCACCACCACCATTGCCGTATACCTGCCGGCATGCCATGCGCCCTGCTGTGCTGACCGCTGCAGGTTAATCCGACACCGTTCCGCATTGCTGGCCTCGTGGCGGAAGTCCAGCTCCTGAAAGATAGCCAGGAAGGCAAGGAGGGAATCAAGCGAAAGCTGAAACTGACGGAGGGACAAGGAGGATAAAGGGGTCACAGGAGTGTGATATAAGCATCACAACCTGCATTCAGATGTGGGAAGCGGGCGAGCATGGGGAAAAGGGAGAGGTGGGCGTAGCAGAAGTAAAAGCGCAATACAGGAACGGCGGGAGAGCGGGAACCGATGGCGGCTGCAGCAGCGGCCGGGAGTGCAGCTGAAGGATACAGATGTAAGAAGCGCCTGTTCAACTGCCGACATCCGAGACACCACACGTCATAACGGGTATGTGTGTGTTTTGTGTGTGTGTGTGTTGGGGCCCGGGGAAATATAACTATCTCACTCAAATCTGTTATACAAAGTTGCGAAGCCATAGCGTCATAAAGCAGGGTCCGTTGCATCGGGTGCGCCGAAACAGAAGTTTTAAGAAGTGAGCAGGAGAGAAGCGGTTCGCCTGCAGCAGACAGACAGACATGTAAGCTGCAGGCATGGCACAAGCAGGCGCACAAAGATGCATACTCCGGAGCTGGTGTTATGCCGAAAGGGGCCACAAGCCGACACTCTGTCCCCGTACACTCCATGTGCCACTCCAGGCCGCAGGCAGGCTCCCCTTCGGCCGCATCCTACCATACCCTACCCGCGGCAGGTTCTCCTTGATTTCGTCCACCAGCCAGCCGTAGTCAAAGTCCGGAAATACCCAGCGCACCGCCGCCACCAGCGCCGAGATGGTGGCCACATCCGCGGCGCAGCTCTCCCTCAGGCCCCCGTGCTGCACCTTCACCGCCAGCCGCCGACCCGTAAAGTCGCGCGCCTCATGAACCTGACCGGGCGGGGATGATTAAGCGGCAGGATCTTTGGAATCCAACGCAAGAGTCGAAGAGATGGCTGCAAATGTCCCAGGGCGGGATAGGGAGCGCCGGCCTTAAGGTATTGGTATTGCAGAAGAACGAAACATCTGGTGACATCTAGTGAGCGTCATGGCGGACATCGTTAGGTGTAAACTTACCGGGTGTAGAGGATTTTTCATGTTGTTTCCGTTCCATATCCGCCTTCTTCCCACCCTATTCCCTCTTCCTGGACATCTTTCCAGTCCCACACATGCCCAGGCGAGTCCTCCGCGGTTCCTACCCACCTGCGCCAGTGACGCGCTGGCAATGGGCTGTGGGGAGAAGTAGGCGAAGAGCTTCTCTGGCGGCGCGCCCAGGTCCTGTTCGAACGTCCTCCGCACCTCCTCCGGGGGGGACACCGGGCAACGGTCCAACAGGTGCTCCCGCATCGTCATCACGTACTCCTCAGGCAGCAGATGATCCTGCAGAGCCGTTTAATGCAGGATGGGGGTCGTGGCAAAGAATGCATTAAGCATGATCGGAAGGCATCGCATGCATTAGGAACGCGCACGCAGAGAACGCACCCAAAGCGAGACACCTCCCGATACTCCCCACCAGTTGGCCAATGTGCTGACCCAATTTGGTGTAGACGCCGCCGTTTGCGAAGCACAGCGCCAGGAGCCGGTTCGCGCCTCGCTGGTGGCACTCGCGCAGTGCCGCCTCGCGAGCCTCCCCTGTTAGTGACCCGAGGGTCAGCTTGTAGTCTGTGTGAGACAGGGTGGGAGCCAAGGTAAGGAGTGAGCATCGCTTAGCTCTACGGGCAGTAAAGCCGGGAACAGGCCCTGCGTTGAAAATGCCGACTTGCTAGCCTCACAGCAGCTCGCACAGCATCTCGGCAGTTTTGTTAGTGCCACAATCTTCAGCAAAACTTTGGGTGAGGAAGCGGGTGTGGTCTGCGACGTGGCTTGAGCCGAGGCATCCAAACGGATTATCGAGGGCACTAAGCGATACGGCACGTACCAATTACGGTTGCTGCCGCCGTATACACATCGCGGGATAGGCGAACGGGTGTCAGGTACGCGGCGCGGAAGTCCTCCGCCGTGGGCTCGTAAACTAGCAGCCCCCCGCCGACGCCCACCCCCAGGCTGAGGCTCAACACTGCACTCCATCGCTTCGAGGACCGGCGGGGGCTGTTTGCGGCCGCCGATTGAGTGCCGTAGGCAAGGCAACGAAGGCTGGCCGGAACAAGCCGCCCCAGGCGGCTTAGCATTGGATAGATATTGTCACAGATCTGTTGCGCAGCACAGGCACATACCGTTAATTACCAGAGCAACGTTTCACACGTGATGAGCCTTATGTCTGGTTAAAAATTCAGTACCCAAGACGATGTTCCGCTATATCTACCATGAGATGTTGGCGTAAGTCATTGCGAGACAAGAACGAATTGCGCCTATCACTCAAAAAGACAAAATCGCCGTCGTACGGTTGCCCCTTGGCAAGCTTTTCTCGCCATCTTGCAGAGCGCTATTCATTTTGAGGAGTGTACATACGTTTATGTTTGTGACTTGGACTATTAGGTCTCCTGGTGGGTGCCGCTGACCGCTTGTCGAGGGTCGCGCGATCTCCCAGCAACTTTGACACAAGACTTTTTCTGACCTCCTCCTACAAGCTCTCTTCAACAAAGCCAGCCATGTACGGTTATGCTACAGGCTATGGCTATGGTGCAGGCGGTTATGGGGGTAGTGGCGGATATGGGGGCGGGGGTGGCTATGGCGGAGGTGGCCGTGGCTATGGCGGAGGTGGCGGCCGCGGCTACGGTGGTGGTGGAGGTGGCCGACCTTATGGCGGTGGTGGCGGCCCACGCTCTGAAGCTGGCGGTGACGACTCGTACCAGGAGGGAAAGCTCATCTTCCCAGGCCTTTCGGAGCACACGACCAAGGAAGGCCTTGAGCAATATTGCTCTCAGTGGTAAGGATGATGCTTCTTATTCCGCAACTTGCGGGGTCGCCTGGCAGTGGTCTTAACAGCGTTTCTAGTCGCGCCTCTAGTCCTAGCCTTTCCCGAGGCTCTAGGCCCTAACATGCCGCTTACATGTTCTTGCCTTCTTCTAGGGGACAGGTCGAGGAGTGCATCGTAGCAGGCGGGGAGGGCGTAGTTAGGTTCTCGGACCCAACGTGCGCTCAGAGCCTCTTGGACTCGGAACATGTTATTGATGGTGCCAAAATCGAACCGCGGGCTGCGCTGCCCCGCGACAAGGCTGGGACAGGAGAGAGATGTCAAAAGATTTTTGTTGGGGGAACCGTAAGTAGGGTAGCTTGGATATCGGGTTGTCTACGCCGGATCATGCGAACTCTGTAGGCGCCGGCTTCAGGGATTGATGCTTTGATGTGGTGTTTAACCTGGTACAGTTAAGAGATGCGTAAAATTGCAGCAATAGGCTGAGTGCCCCATTTTGTGAACTGCCATGTCGGTGCTGAAAGCCTCCCAAACGTTTTCTTGTCTTTCCACAGGGAGATATTACGGACGAGGAGCTGCGCAATCACTTCTCTCAGTATGGAGAGATTCAAGACTCAGTGGTACGTGTTGGCCGCCCCTTGTGCTCGCTTAGACGTAAATATGAAAGGTCCAAGGCACCCTGCTATGTGGTGGTGTTCCTGTATACTATTCGTCTAGTTGGATTGCTGATTTCCGCTACGTTGAATTATTTTGGCGCTTTTTCGCCCGCCCATGTGTTTGTCACCAGATTATGCGCAAAGATGGCGTTACACGCGGCTTCGGATTCGTCACGTTCGCTGATCCCATCAGTGTGGAGAAGGTGTTAGTGATGCGCCAGGTTATTCGTGACAAGACCGTGGACTGCAAGCGGGCAACACCTCGGGAAATTACCCCAAGTCCCGGCGGTGGCGGTGGCCGCGGCGGTCGTGGCGGTGACCGTGGGGGCTATGGCGGTGGTTATGGTGGCGGCCGGGGAGCCGGAAGTTACGGAATGCGCGGTGGTGGAATGAGCGGCAGTGGTGTTGGCGGCGCTGCCACCGGTGGCTACGAGGAGAGCATGGCTGACGGCATGGGTGGTTACGGCATGGGAGGTAAGTTTACTAGCAATAGCAGTTTCTTAAACCCTTCCTGTATAAGTTAAGAACGTGTTGATTACCCTGGAATGTCTCCGCCGAGTTGCTTTATTACTCGACATCGCCAATATCTCGGCACGCCTTGCAGGCTATGGGGGGATGGCTGGCATGGCATATGCACCGGCCATGGCATACGGCGGATATGGCGGCTATCCAATGGCATACGGTGTGATGGGCTATGGAGGCTACGGGCGCCAAACGATGGCGCGGAACAGTGTTGGTCAGCAGCGCTTCCGCCCTTACTAAACCCAACGGGCTGCTTGGGTTTGCCCAGTGTCAGACAAGTTCATGACTTGGTTGGCGAACACAGTGTACGATTGATCAGCGTTTGGTTATGAGAACTCTGGAAACGTGCGACATGCGGTTCTATCTCAGCCCTGCATTGCCAGTATTTGGCCACATGGCTTAGAAACGCGCTTCAAGGGTTGCTTAGGATTCGTGGTGGCGCGTGCATTGAGGCTGGAGACGCATGCGCTTAGAAGCATGTTGACGATGTGCACGGACAGGGCAGTGTCAATCCAACGGAACTGTGCGAGTGCTGCGCTGAAGCAGGTGCGCCATCTAGTGTCGCCACACCGGCATTTTAGTGAAGGCATCCTTGTGGAAAGTGCTTACACTCTTGGACTGTCGCCCCGGACGGTACGTGATGGGGTGGTGTGACTGCATTATTGTGTTGTTTTCGTATGTACTGGTCATGTCCTGCGACCGTTACCGTGCATAGAACTGGTTGCAAGTCGGCCTGAGCGGTCTGTAGTAATGGGCATGGAAAGGGGATTTTGAAGTCCTTACAACCTTGACCAAGTGGACATGCACAACCTAAAGTACGGTTTCATGTTTATAAATTGCGCACACGTTTACAGGCTCTCGACGTAATTGGTTACGTTATGGCAACGGATGTAACTTTTGAACGACTTGTTCACGCAGCTGTGTCATGTGTCCATTCGCCGTTATCTGAGATGCTAAGCTGCCAAGCGTGTCAGCTCGGAAATCACCATAAGAAAACCTTTTGACGAATTCGGCAACTGCTCCAGGAGGTCGGTCACTGCCAGTGACGTATGCGTCCTCCCCAGCTGTGTAACCCGCATTCCCTGTGAGTGGCGACGATTCCGTGTGGTCCTGGCGCGCTATAAGGCCCAGCTGCTGTGCTGCCATTAGCAGGTCCATGACCGTTGGGAAGGCGTGGCCTTCCGTGATGGGAAGCCCGTCAGTGGTACGGCTGGATGTGTATACACGCGTTTGGGTTGTGGGCATCCTGCAAGCATGCAGATTGTATCCATGAACGAAGAGATTTCACAGTCAGTAAGGGAGGGCTACCCTACGCATTGACTATCACGCACAGGCGAACGCAAGCTACTGTTCAGCACGAGCTACATTCAAAAGGCCAAAATCGCGCAAAAGGCATCGGATCGTGCTTGCACCTTGTGTTTACCGCGGGTCCCTTTAGCAGTTCCACAGTCATGAAGTCGGGCCCGCCCTCGACAGCAATATCGTCAAGGTCCTCTGACACCCGTAGCCGCATGGCAGCGTACTGCTGCAACACCCGGCCATGACGTCCCTGCGGCGAGATGAAAAGGCACACCAGGCGAAATGACATATCCTGCACGGCGTGTTACTGACCCGAAGCGAAACCGACTAAGCGCGTACCGCTGTACGGCTCTGGCTAGTGGCAACCGGGCCTACGAACGTCTCTCCAGTCCGTCGCCTGCCTGCCTGCCTGCTATCACCTGCATGTCGCATCCCACGACAACATGCACCAGACTCATCTACGTAAGGCAATGGGACACTTTAGACTTAGCATGACTTCCGGCGCAGTGGCCTGAGCTTCTGCACGCAACATACATGCGTCGCCCCTAGACCCCTAGAGCCATGGTCCTGGGCCCCAAGTGCGCATCCCGAAAGGCGGTACGTGTACGCGCCTATTTCTTTGCCGCACCCTTCCTCCATTTCCACGGATAACAAGTGCTGCGCTTGCCTTATCGCTGTTACACACGAGCACTGACGGCGCCGGCCACCGCTGCGTCTTGTCTCGGCTCTCGCCGCCGCCGCTGTTGCTGCTGGTGCCGCCATTGACGGGGTTCCCCCTTCGCTGGGCTTGCAACATGAGCAGCCGGCCAGAGAGCTGCCTCAGGAAGGTCGCGAGGCGGCGGTTCCGGAGCGCCCATGTGGTAGCGGAGTCGGCGGGTGCGGCCGCATCCACGATCCGCGTCCACGAGTCCACCAACACTAAGCTGCACTCCGCCTCCAGGCTGCGCAGTACATCCAGCAGCACCGCCGGCTGGGCCACGGACGTGCGCGCGAACCTGTCCCGCCCAGTCAGACCGCGTTCCTGCGCAGCTGCCGCAGGGCCATCCGTCCGTCCACACTATACTTACGAAAAACGAGGACAGCCTGGCCGCGTTGAAGGCCATCGCTTCATTTGTCCACGCTGCCCCGGTCGAACAAAAATGTTTTCGGGGGCTTAGGAACATTTAGCGGACGGTGGGTTAACCTGCATGGCTTTGGTGTCTGGCGTATGCCTCCCGTCACAGAGATCAGCCGCCGCGGGGAATGGAAGATTGAGCTAAGGGCATTAAGGTGTTCTTGGGTGTATGGATGGGTGGGTCGCAGGCTCGGAGGTCTGCCTCCAGGTCTGCGGTACAAGGATGCCGTTCAGTGCAGGATGCACTTCGCCAATGATTCGACTCATAATGCCGCCGAGGAATGATGGGAAGGGATGGATGGAGGGGACGGCGCGGAGCAGAGGATTCAGGGCTGGATGTGACTTTGCCGAAGATACGGCAGCCGGTTTGGAAAAGTTTGCAGACCCACCGCGCCAAAGTCAAGGCAGGCGTGGCCGCTGCATGCAACGACATTCCAGCCTCGTTTGTACGCGGCTGCCGCCGCGAGCCATGCTAGCTGCCAACATGGCTCCACAGACGGTCCATGTATCTGAAGCAGTCGTGGCAACATGCGGAAAGGCAGGGGCACGACTGTTGCGCGCGGGCAGGCGGTTAGTCATCCTGGGTCGATGTGCAACTGCTGGGTGGCTCACCACATACCTCGATAATTGACCCTGCAGGATATCCCCCCCTTGTGAGCGCGTCAAGCGCTCTGCTGCCTGACGGATGCGCGTGGAAAGAGCAATACGTTGCACGCAAGTTTGGGATGAGTTTAATGGTACGAATCCAGTGCACTGTCGTTTGCAAAAACATCACACGAAGCGATTATGATAAAGGAAGGAGCTTGCGCTCGTTTGTGCAGCGGTGGTTGCAGCTAAGCTGCGAAGCCTTCACAGTCTCGGGATTTCAGGTGTACGGCCAAGTCGCTGGTTATTTCCAATCGCGTCGAGGCGTTCTCAGGACCATCAAACATATTTGTTGCAGTCTTGCTCAAAATTTCTACTTGATGCAAGTGTTTAGCTTTATCTTGATCTCTTGATCCGCCTCTGCCGGAGGCGGCAGTATGAGCCGAACTCAACAGTGCTCTTGGCTGCCGTGCGCCTCGCGGCTACAAGCAGGCAGGGCAGGGCATGGCCAGGCAGCGCCGCTTGCTGCAGATTGCACGGCGTATGCTACCCCTGAGGGGCAAGGCCATCCCATCACAGACAGACTGGGAAAAGAAGAGGGAGCAAGCAAACAAGCTTCTATACAAGAAACATGGAATTCCGAATATCGTTCACCTCGGCCACACCCTAGCTGTTCAGTCATCGTTTGGCGGCAAAGATCGGTAGGGGTACTCGCCCTGACCGTTGATGAGACTAGCTTTTAAGCCGAAGAAACATATCTTTTAAATTTGTTGCGTAGTGCATCGTCGGGGAATCCAATTGCGTGGCCTGGCCTGCCTGCTTTCTCGCCTGTCGGAATAGGTCGCGGCGGGATTATAGAGGTAAGTCGCCACTACATAACGGATTGCTTCCTAGTGCTTGCATCTTATGTACTTGGACACAGCAAAGGTACAACAGAAACGTGAGTTGGAAATTGTCGGGAAAGCACTGGCTTTCGATGCCGGATCCCGTCTCACGTTTTCCTGGTTTTGTACACATTTTGCACCCTTTTGTACGCGATAGGTCTGCAGCCCTGGTCACCTATGCCGCGACGTGGCAGCTCAGATGGCGTTGGCAGAGGCCAGGCACGGCTCGGTTCTGTGGATGGCAATTGGACCCCAGGCGATGGTCTTCGGCAGCTCCGTTCTGCGGGAGGTGCGCGGGACTCGTAGGTGCTTTTGTGCCAGTTTTACGCTGGGGACTGTTCCAACCTCCAGATATGACCCATGATGTCCCCAAGCAAAACCCTGCCCACCTAAGCATCGATCAAACCAACCAGACCATGTTTACGGTGAAGGCCGTTATGGGTGTCACCTTCCCGTCCTAGCCACACTGGTCCTTCACTATGGGGAATCCTAACGGCCTCTTAAGTACGCCCCTACATGTACTTGCTATTTTGCGCACGTCAGGTGCCCAACTTGAGTCTTCAGGTCAGGGCGGTCGATACCGTCGACGACTCAGAGGTTGCATTGGAGAGCCTGCTTCGGCTGGTTCGACAACAGACGTACACCATGGTAGTACTGGACCACGTGGAGGGGCTCGCCCCGCCGCCGCGACCACTGCCGCATCCTGCAGCCAGGGGTATGGCACGCCTGCCACCTGCGCCTCCGACGGTGGCGGTGCAAGGTGGGGCAGCAACAGCAGGAAGAATAGATGCCTCGATGGCGGCGCGGGAGCCTGCCGTCGTAGCAGCGCCAGTGGCGAGGGGCCCTGGTGCTGCAGCGCTGACAATGACGGCTGCAAAGGGTCAGCAGCACCAACAACTGCAGGTGTATCAGCGGGACAGCCTTTGCGCGTCGAGCACTGGCTACGGTTCGTCCACCAACGCTGCGTGGCACTATCAATACCACCACCATCGATCCCCACAACCACTCGATGCTGTCTCCTCTCCGCTCAACCTCAAGGTGAGAGCTTTTCGCTGCCACGGACATACCCACGACCCTTGCCTCGGCTGCAGCAGCCAGCCTAGCACAGCATTAATGGCGTGCAGAGGCAGCCATGAAAGAACTTCAGTGATCATCCTTACCGGTATTTTAATATGATGGCGCGGCTATCCTGCCCTTGAAAGGTGCTGTCCCCTCTTAGCATGGCCCCATGATGGGTGCACATGCGGAGGCCTTTGGCCTTCCCGCCCACGTCTTCTACCCCAAAACTCAATTTTTGCAGTTTCTACACAACGTGCTGCCGCTGCTGATAGAGAGAACCCTGGCGGATCTGTCGGCCAGCTGCGGGCCCGACCTGCGGACAACCACCCTCGTCATAAACTCCTACCCATTCACCCACCCATACCTGTGGAGAGAGCGGATAGATCGGGTGAGGCAGCAGCGGCCATGATGGGCCTGGCCTTGTCCGGTCCAGCTCTGAGTGGATGGTGGTATGGGGGGAAAGACCCTAGAACCGCACAGCGTGGACGAAAGGATATTGCACTAGCAGTAGTGGTGGTTCATCCCTTTTGTAACCTTTGGATATCCGTGTCAAGTGCCTGCATTTTCCCTTATTCCGGGTCCATTCAGGTGGCCTCGGTCTCCAGCAGCCTGGCGAATGCTGCGGGGGTCGGCGCCCGAAGCCGCTGGGCACGCCGCGCCATCCTGCGCTACGCTGCGGCAACCTTGCATGTTACGCCAGAGGGGGGCGAGGCCGCCGCGGCGGCGCCGGGAGCAGCCACCGGAAGCGCGGCTGGGGCGGGAGCTGTTGCTGGGGCGGCGTCAGGACAGGGTGCCCCTGTCCGCGTCCTGCGTGCGGTGCTGTCGCGCGGGGGCCTCACGGGGGAGGAGGACGGACCTCTGCGCACTTGGTGAGTGGTTGTAAGTTATTGTAACTTTGTGACCCATTGTGGGCGTGGGGGCTGGAAGGCACCCAGTTGGTAAGGCGGATCCAGCTGGCTAGGGTTGGGTATGGATGGAAGGACGGTCAGCCGGGCGGTACCTGGCACGTAGAGGCGAAGGAAAGGGGTTGCAAGGCCCATGTCGCGTTATCTGCTGTGCCTGCGGGCTTCTGTGACCCCCTGCTGGGATCTGCATTGTCTCCGTTGCGGTAGAGCAAAGAAGTACGAGAAATAGCGATAAATGGTTCCAATGAAGGGAAGGGCTGGGTCGGCGGTTTAGTTGGAGAAGATTCAGGGATGGTGTTGCGGACAGGTTTCGACCTGGAAGATGGTTTCGTGAAGTGCGCACTTCCCACTGTCCAGGTCCCGGTGTGGCGTTATCTTTTTCTAAGTACCTCATCCGCCATGAAACTCCCCTGTTCCCCGTTTGCAGGTCGCTCACTACCCCCGTCCGCAGTGCGTTGCCGTCGCCACCGCGGCGTCTGGGCGGTGCATAGTGCATGCCAAAGCCTGTCGTGATGGGCATGAGCCACTAGGGAACGGTGTTTCAGGGCAATAGCATCGAAGGCTGGCTGCTGCCCTGGGTCTGTGACCTATATACTCCTATCACAGAAGTTGAGGTGGGAAGCTCTTTATTTTATATATGGCTGTGTGAAGGAGGGTAAGGGAGAACCTTGCTTGGCACACCGCCGTCCGTGCACACGGTCTGACTCCTGTACTCACAAACAGACACAGCGATATGTGTGTATTGGTACCCACATAGGTACATATAGTTGTACGGATTATGCAATTCAGTGCTAACCGGGCAGCCACGAACAGCCAATACATTAGGGCGGTATCCTGCTGTGCCCGGCAAGCCTCATCTGTCGGGGGCAGGGCATTATGTTCGTGAGGCCTCTCGGCAGCTCCTGTTGTGCCCACCCTGAACATACGGTTATAACCTGTTGCTGATTAAGGAACGAAAATGGTGGTGCACTGGTGTGCTCTTGGTGAAGGACATATATTCCACTGGGCAACCGAGATAACTGCATGAGGAATGGGGTAAAACATGCTTAAATATGGTGAATGATAAGCAGAAGGCGGTGGAAGGAAAACGGAGGTCGGCCAGGGTAGCTTTCTAATATAGTACTACGGTGTTGTCATTGTGGTGTGTTTACCCTGCACCCATAAGTCAGGAGTAGACTTAGGGTTGCCAGGTAATCGACGATGGGAATGGTCCGTCTTTAGAGCTGTATGTAATCGGTGTTCGGGTGAAATGGGTAGAAAGGACCATACCTGAGGTTTAGACTCAGACGAGGTCTCAAGGAGCGCAGTACCATTGAAACCGCAGTTCAAGGGTGGTGTGTCTGCGACACGCCCCTGATCTTGAATCTTGGAGCCGGCCTTTAGCAGGCGGTTGTTTCGTCGCGTAGGGGTGATGATGTGGTCGCATTTCGCAAAGGCGGACGGCGCGGCAAGTGGTCGTCGTCTTTCACCTTGTCTGTTCACCCTCGTGGTGGTTTTTTCTTATTGTTTCGCGGCATCAATACATAACACAACCTAACGACCCTATAGCATATGTACTGAAGTCGATATTGCTGATAGTATTCCTAGCAATACCCATAGTTGATGTTGCCCCTATGTTGTGTGACGCCGGTTAACCTGTCAAGCTGGATATAGATGTCAGTTAATGCCGTGGATATGCAGTAGATACAGAATATTATGTAGGCAGTTGGTCGTTGGCCGTTGATTATGAGTCAGTCAGCTAGGACATCGAGGTGTTTTTAAAGCGTATTGGTTGTACGAATTACGATCGCAGTGCGTGGACTGACCTGGAACGTGTGAGCATTTGCCCAGTGCTCGTGAGACGACCCTGCTGATGCCGTTTCATTTTGTGTGTGGATGAACAGGCACACACCCTTGCAATTGTAAGGGTGAGCGTTATACCCGCTGTTGTGTTCACAATTTACCTGTGTCCACACGTGTTTACAGGACAATGCGATCGTAATTAGAAATTGGCGCGCTGAAAACATGCGCACGTTACAGTTAGGGGCACAATGAGGCCATTACTCCGAATATCCAACGAGCACCCTTCGTAACTACCACCGGATACCGCACTACAGAACCGCACGATGTAGCGATTGCGCCCCAATTTTCTGTACACCTCCCCCCTGCCACCGTATCATACTCCTAGCCCCGCGCCGCTGCTCGCCCTTTTTCCGTCTTAACGGCCGTGGCTGCTCCGGGCAAGGGATCCCTGTAAGACTCTGGCGGGGTATCAAATAAACAGTTACGGTTCATGGGGAATGGCGTGTGGTCGGGTTGCATTGCCAGCTCGCGTAGCCGAGGCGGAAGGGCCTTCAGGGCGGACTGCTGGAGTAAGAACTTGACCTCCAGGTCATGGCGCCACGTACGGGTCTCCATTTCGACCAACTGTTCGTGAGCAGTAATAGTTTCCTGCTCCTTTTTTGTGAGTGGAACCTGCTGTCGCGTTGGCGAGGAGAGCAGCTCCACCATCGCCTGCAGTCGTGGGTTGCCTTCGCCTACGCCATCTCGGGCACCCGACTTTTTCTTTTGTTTCGCAGAGTCTCCGCCTGTCTTAATAAACCCGGCGAGGCCGCGTATTTGCTCCGCCGCACTTGCAGCTGATACCGAAAGAAATATACCTGGCGACGAACAACAGGCTTGGCTATGACTCGTGATCCTAGATAGGATTAACGTTCTAGAACAAATGATGCCCGGCGATGTCATGTTTGCAATGTCACAAAGCCCCAGCGTCGCAGCAAGACAGAACGTGGGCAGGTAAGCAAAGGGTATTGAAGGCTTGAGCTGAGGCCCAGTGTTTATGCAAAATAGTTCCGAATCGCGTTGCTCCAATAATACTGTTGTGCAACGGTGCATGCAAGCCACCTGTTGTAACCATACTAGTTACCGCATCTCGTCCCGCTGTCGTGAATGTTATTATCATAATGTCCGGGATTCTTGTGCGCGTTACAAACGTATCATTTCAAATCGCCATATGATTTTGGCCACCCTGCAATGCCAGCCCAAAGGCATGCGGCCCTCTGACAGTTCCCCATCGTCCGAGCCGCCTGCCGAACCCGAAACATGACGTAATTGGTACCAAACAAACCCGTTAGCTGCAACATCACTGATGCGGTGTTGCATTCCACAGCAATGGCTGCAACTCTTTGCGGCGTCCCAAGGGGCGTCGAGCGTCTGGGTAGGCGCCGGGGCACGCCTGGACAGCTGGCGGGGCTTGTCCGCACAGCAGTCCATCGGAGCCCCATCTTCCAAACGCTCGACAGAAGCTATCAACCACGTCACGCCGGGCCAAGCGCTGGAATCGGTTGTGACGCTAGCTCTCCATGACTCACAACAGAAGGCTCGTAAGTGTCTGGTTGGCGTCTAGGCAAGTAGGCGACCAAGCCAGGGAACAACAGGAACAGGACTGCGAAAATGCCATACCCTGCCTCGTCCCATACCCTCCCCCGCACACCCTTGGCGGCAGCTTCACTCGCTTGTGGTTCGTCTTTCCCCCTCACAACCCACTTCTGCACACAGTTTCCCACCCCACGGCGTTGCCTGCGTTCCTCTGCGAACCACAGTACGCGCCCGGGCGCTTCTGGAGCGCTTCATGGAAAGCTTTGACACCACACCACCCGCGTCGTACATCAGGAGCGTGGGAGTGCCCACAGGTAAGAGCTCCATGCGGGTACGACAGGCGTACATCTAAGTACTGCTTCCGTACGGTGGGTGTATCGAATATCAGTGAGTCAGCGATAGGGACCAAGCCGCGAGGAGTAGGCGGCAGACGACGTCACAGCACTGGAGGTGGCTGCTTCTCCGCCGCTTCGCAGCACATATTCCCAGCATATTCCCACCTCCTCCTCTGGCCTATCCATTATGCGTCTCCACATGCCCGCCACCACTAACCCCCTATCACTTCCCATTCCACTACGCTCCCCCCACACCCCGCGTCATATCCCCATCATGCAATGCCCATAATCCCTTTCGCAGCCATGTCCTGGATGAGGCGCCGGGGGCCCGATGTACCGCATGCTGTACTGTACCGCCTGTTTAGGCAACGCCAGGTGAGGGGGACTGTGAAACAACTGCTGAACGACAAACTGGTGAGGCCATGGCGTTTCGCGCGGGAAAGAGAGTATTGGAGGGCGGCCTGCGGTGGCGCAAGCCTCCTGAACTACCAAATATGATATGGGATGCGGCTGGTGTTGACGGTGGTAATGGTGGTAATGGTCCGGACGTATGTGTACGCTGGTGAACCCGGGCCTTGGGAGGGAAAAGGAAACCCTAGCTGGCTAGGTAAAGCCCAAGGGCGAAGAGGACGCAGGTACGCACCTTCGGGAGGGGCAGGGCCACTGCCGACGCGCAGGCTGCCAGGGACTGCGGCATCCGTGTACGGCACCAGTGACGGAGTGCTTCTGGGCCTCCGTGACGGCGCCCGGGCGGGACGACTCGGACCGCCTGAGCTGGTCGTGGAAGGGTTTGATGGCCGGGGGGCCCGGGGGAAGGTAGCAGTGTTCCGTTGCCGCACAGGCCCCCATTGCTCCGCTTCGCATCGCCCCTGGTAATGCACCGCACCGCACCGCCATCCTCCCAGTCACCATTGACCAGTGCTTTCTCGCCGCCGCAGTTACATGCGTATGCGTTGAAAAAGCTTTTGGTTTTTCTGTTTCCCTAGATTCGATTGTTCGACGGGTCGACAGTACGGCGTGTGAGCGCCGCCCGGGCCCTGGACCCCGGTGACCTGCTGCTCTACCCCAAGTGGCTAACACCGTGTAAGCAACATCATCCGCGTCAGACGCTACGAAACCAGGTCCAGTACCAACACCAGAGCCAGATCCAGAACCAGAACCAGCAGCAGCAGCAACAGCTTGCGAGTCGTCGCGACGCTGCAGCGCGGGCCGCCGCCGCCATTGCCGCCGCAGCCGCGGCCCGCAGAGCAGACATAGAGGATGCCAGCGGCGGCGGCGGCGAGGACCGGTACTCTGACGAAGGTGATCGTCTGGGGTCGCATTCGTACGCTGGCCCCGGGCCAGGCAGCAGTAACGGCAGTAACGGCAAAAGCATCACCAGGGGTCGGTCCGCACCGCCGACGCCGACGCGGCTGCTGCAGCACCCCCTGGCATTATCCCCGGAGCGAGTACGGCGGTGGGTGCTGGCTGTTCACCCCGGGCTGTTGTTCCTGAACAAGCCGGCGGGAGTCCGGGTGCATGGTATGGCCGCGGGCGACGAGGCAGGTCGTGGCGCTGGGCGCAGCGGAGACCGGTCGGGAGTTGGCGGCGGCATGCGGCCGCCTGCTCCGGTGACGTTGAATGACGTCATGCAAGAGGGGTTACGTTTTGGACAGTGGGACGAGCCCAGGTAGGCGTGTGCGGCGGTGAGTTGTGGTTCAATCCTCGTATGCGTGGGGGGGTAAGGAAAGACGGGTGAGGGTGGGTGAGGGTGGCGTTGGCTTTTGCCTTGGACGTGTTCACTCCGCTAGATATTGGGGTATGGATGTGCTCGGGTACGACACCTTCATCCCTCTCTTTCCCTCTTGAGCCACGGGGTTCCACCCGGGGGTCCTACCTGCGTGCTGACTTTGGGTTTTCTTCCCAACCGAAAAAACGCCTTTTCCCCCTTCCCCCTCGGTGGGGGGTTTCCTGTCCCATTTCCTGCCCCTTTTTCGCCGCAGACTGGTGCACCGGTTAGACCAGGCGGCCAGTGGTGTGATGGTGGTGGCGCGGAATGCAGATGCGGCCACATGGCTGTGTGCTGCGTTCAGGAACAAGGCAGAGCAGGCGAGGAGGGAGGGCTGCTGAGGGGCGAAGGGGGGGAAATGTACTCTACTCGCGGGAATGCATAAACCGCGCGTCGTAAATCGCCGGGTCTGGGGAAGGAAAAAACACAGCATCACCGCCGGAACCGTCCAAAGCGAATAAGCGACTGCCCTGAGTCGGTCAGGAACCTTGTTCTCAAGCAAAAGGGACGGGACGGGCTGGGGGCGGCGATGCTGCTGCCTGTCCCCTTCCCCACATTACGAGTTTTCCGCCACGTTGTCTCTCCATGCGCACTCCGCAGGCCCTGTCCAGGGAGCGGCGGGGTGGGGAGGACAGAGACCCGAACGACGAGGACGAGGAGGCGGGCGGGTTCGGCGGCAGGGGCGGTGACCCGGCGCGGCGGGGACGCGTCGGTCCCGGGGGGCTTGCTCTCAACCGCGACGAGCGAGTTGGACGGGACGGGGAGATGCCCGCTATCCATCGAACCTACTGGGCATTCCTGGCTGGTGATTTGCAACCCCGGCAGAGCGGGCGTGTCAGGTGTGTGTGGGGGGGGGCTGTGGGTGGTGTGGAACTGGGGGTTTGTGTAGAAAGCCCCCGATCCTTTTCCTCGCTAGCCCCCCCCTGGTGCTGTTGGGCAACATCCTGTTTGACCACGTCTTTTCGCTGATATGCGGTCGACCTATAGGCCGATGCACACGGCTTCACTTTACCCCCGGGGGGCCATCCACGGCCCCCTTTTCATGCGGGTGTCGCGGTCTTGTTTGCACCTATTGTGTGCTCTATGGAAACCCTCGGCATCCATGCGTCCATTCTTGGAAACGTAAACCCCCACTAGCCTCGGCCTGAGTCCGTGTTCTCCCTTTGCGCCCATCTGTCGCCCTGTACTCCCTTGCCCTCTTTCCTCCTCCTCCTCCCCCCTCTCCCGCTGTCTGTCTGTCTGTCTGTCTGTCAGTCTGCCGGTGGTGGTCGACGGCGTGTTATGTCCGGCGGTGACCGCCTACCGTGTGAAGGCCACTGGATGCGGAGTCAGCTGGGTGGAGCTCACGCCGGAGACAGGTAGCTGGTTGGCTGGGTGGGTGAGGTGGTGAGTGGTGGGTAATGGGACCAGGCACAGGCGTTTAAGTTCATTTAAGCTTCGGGATCGTCTACCCGACCTGGAAAGCCCCCTGGGAATATAATTGTCCAATCTGAAAAAATTGTGACAGAAGCCCCTGGGAGCAAACCCGCAAGCAAACACGCTGCCGCGGCCCCAACCCTTTCCCCCCCGCACACATCGACCAGGTCGTCGCCACCAGCTGCGGATCCACTGCGCTCGGAAGCTTGGTGCGCCTATCATTGGTGATGGGCGGTACGGCTACCGCGGCCTGCCGCCCCGCCTGGCGCTGAGGGACCACCTGCCGCCCGAGTGGTGGGCGCTGCTAGGGGATGACCCGCGGGTCGTTCGGAGGAGCCGGGAGGCCGCCGGGGAGCCAGATCCGCTGCCGGCGCCTGTGCTGCTGCACTCTCGGGAGCTGGTGGTGAAGCGTCCAGGGAAGGCGGCGCTGGGGGCTGTGGCGCCTTTGCCCCTTTACATTCGGCAATTAATTGAGGCAGCTTGCTGGCCACTGCCCAGCGTGGGCTGAATTGAAGGGTGGACATGCGGATAGGCGGCTCGAGCGGATGCTACGTTTTGGCGGGACGCTGACGTGGTGCAGGGTGCCATGCTTGGCAAGCAGATGGACGGTTAGATCGGTGAAGCAATGCGCCGGTGATGCTGGAAAGTGGTGGCTGTGGTGTAACGGTACTGCAGGCCGCCTGCTAGGTTGTTCTTATTAGCTGTAGAGCGCAGGTGGCGGGGCGGTATCCCGTTCAGGTTACAGCTGCCGTTTCCAACAAGGCAATACAACAACTCGGCGCTTATAGAGTCTCTTAGTCCCAACGGAATCCATGCGACGCCTTCCGTCCCGTACATCTTCGTAAACAATTCCCCCCTCCTATATTTTCTCAACTTTTTGAGCTATCATGCAAGAGCTCATCCAGGGCACCCTCCAACGCGCGTTCGAACCTCTTCTGGGTGTTACTTTGTCTGTTCATTGTGTTGTCTATCACGATCCGTTGGGCGAAGAAGGAGGGAAGGGACGTGTGAAAAGTGAGGAGGTCTTCGTGCAGCAGGAAGTCCACATTCCATAAAGCTCTCTCAACAACAGAGTTCCAGTCGACGGGTCCGAACACATCGCCCAATCAGTCTCAACCCTCCCACCCCCGTACTCTTTTCCCCTCACATCAACTCAAACTGGCCTGGACAGGAATCGTTATCTCCCGACAGATTAACCCCTTCACCCTCTCCTCCCTCAACTAGATGCCCTCACGCAGAGGGGAAGAGAGTATCAAGAAAATCACGGCGCTGTCCATGCGATCACAACTTTAAAACAGCTAGCCGTGCCACGCCACTCCCAAAGAGCTGTGCGGCGGCTCGCTTCCACCACGGTTTCCCAACCCCAAATGCGGCGTTCCCGCCAACCTTTGACTTTACCCGCCAACCCCCTTCATCGTTTCGTGACGCTAATACCTCCCCACCTTTTTCCAACGTGATGACCTTTGCGTGCGACCCACTTAGGTCTTCGCCTTGCGGCTGCGCGGTGCTGCCGGGGAGCGCTTGGCAGCCGCGGGCATCGCAGCATTGCCGGCCGTGGCCCTCTGCTTCTTTGTCGCTGGCGCCCTCGCAGCCTTGCCGCTCCGGGGCCGCTTCTTTTTTGCCATACGAGCCGCCTCCTCGTCTTCTTCCTCTTCATCCTGCTCCTCCTCCTCCTCAGTGTTGAGATCTTTCCGCTCTTGCTGCTTGCTGCGTTGCGCTTTGCCCTTGCCCCTGCTCCCAAGTGCAGGCTTCGTTCCTTGGACGGCCCCGGCCTCGCCGGAGCGCTTGGCGGCCAGGCCAGCGGCCTCCTCCTCCTCTTCCTCCTCCTCTTCCTCCTCTTCCTCCTCTTCCTCCTCTTCCTCCTCTTCCTCCTCTTCCTCCTCTTCCTCCTCCTCGCTGTCGCTGGCTGTCTTCTTCTTCTTAGCGGCGCCTCGGCCGCCCTGGGCTGAAGCCCTTCGGGGATGTCAAAGGGCCAAACGAAGACAAGCGTGAGGGTACACGTGTCCTGATGCAGATGACCTAAAACCCGGAGAGCGAGGCGTAGTTCATATAGCACGGTAGATTAGTAGGGGACTGAGGTATTGGTGGATATTCAGAGCGCCGTCTGTGTTGCCCCTGGGGCCCCGTTCTCAGACACATATATGCGGTGTTGGGCTAGAAGCAAGCGTCTAGGGTGTAAGCGGGTACCGTACGACTCCCGACGAGGAGCCGTACGAATGTCCTTCAACCCGGATCCCCGGGCTCGGGATGCACATGTATGTAGCGAAGGCCCGGATCTCCTCACCGGGCGTGAATGTGTGCACAGGAATTCACACGGTAAATACGATGCCTCCTAAACGCGGACGCTTAACAAAGGTAACAAAAGATAATACATAAAAATGTGACCAGGGTGGACCATGGGGGCGGGAAAGGTTGTAAACGGCTTTGGTCATAGAAAGGACCACACAATGGCACCGGGGCAGGGATCATCATCATCGTCATCATCATCGCCATCATCATCGTCATCATCATCGTCATCATCATCGCCATCATCATCGCCATCATCATCATCATCATCATCATCATCATCATCGCGCACCGCTCTGCACCCACTGGATCCAGTGGGCCCCAGAAGCCGTTCCCAGTGAGCTTACCCGCTGATCTTGGTCTTGGCCTTTCCCTTGGCCGTACTGCCGCCGCTGCCGGTACCCGTGCGGGGCCCTTGGAGCTTCTGGAGGGCGGGCACGAAGGCCGAGGTGCGCGACCCCACCGTCACGAACTCGATTTTGTGGCCGTTGATGGACCCGGGCTTCCTGCTGTTCCACCTTTAAATGACCCGTGGGTCACGGGGTCCCGCCGATGGGAAGAAGGGATAGGGCAGGGAAAGGCTGATCGGCAGTGCCGGAGCGACATTACCGTACACATGTACTGCTGCCACACACACCCCAGAGCGTAATGCCAAGCGGGCTGGTGGGTGTGGTGAGAAGTGGTGCTCAGGTGGCAGATGAGGTTTGCAGCCGCGCAGGGGGGTGAGTCTTAGAGCCAGTCAACCAGTCAACCGGGCAGCCACTTCCTCCCCTGGATCTTGCACCGCCCAACTCCCCTTTTGCCACTAAGGGTACCGGTAGGTTCATTTGTCGTTTCCTTAACCCCACCGCGCCGCACCCCAGCCCAGCCCACCCTACCGGTGATGGAAGAGCCATTCGGGGGGGAAGCGGTCCACATCTGCCTCCAACTCGACAGCCTGTGTCACCACTGAGCGGATGGACTCGCGGAGGGCCGCCAGAGCGGAATCCCCCAGGGAGGCCGCTGACTGCTCCGGGTGAATGCGGGCTTGGTACAGAACCTGTGTGGTCCCACCGGGCGGCAGGGCGGTGGTTCTGTGTGTGTATGTGTGTGTGTGTGGTTTGGGGACTGAGGGCGGGGGTTTGTGTGGGGGTTTGTAGGTGGGGTAGGTGGTTAGATAGGTGGCTGGTTGCGCCCACTGCGGGAGCTTCATCCCAAGTCCATCACGTCGCTCACACACCTCACATCGCTAAAGTAAAGGCGGCCTGAGTTCGTTTCGCTCTCGAAGAGAAAGAGCCGGAGTTGATAACAGGCCGAGTCCTAACCCCGCCGTAGGCGCCCCGCCAGTCCCCGCCGCATGCTTCCCTCGAGTCCCTCCTTGACCTTCTCCTACCTGGCTGCCTCACCCGCTCACTCCCCAGGTCCCCTCCCGCTAGGAAGCCACAGCTCCGAGAGGTCACCCCTACGGGAGCCCGAGGCCGGTCTCCCAGGCGACCCACCTCGTCGCCCACCCAGTTGCCAATCCCGCTACAGAACTCCTGGGTACGTGTGCGAGTGAGAGAAGAGGGTGCACGGAGGAGGGGGGGAGAGAGGGCGGGAGAGAGGGCGGCGCCCCGAGGGCGGTTACCACTGACATGGGGATCCGGTAGTGCATTAGGCGAGAACAGGTTTTAGGAGGCCGGGGCAAGGACAGGTGCAAGGGGATTGGACAGAGGGGCAGGGTTGAACTCCTAAGGCCGCTAGGTCGGTTTGGGTTTTAGGGGTTTGAGGCTTCAGGGTTAGTAGCATCCGCGGTAATCCGGTCAAGTTCGGTCGAATCCGCTGTGATGCGGTGTTGTCTGAGACGTCGTACGGGGCTCGCCTTGGCACCTGTTAGTGCCAATAGATTGTTCGGGTGGGGACAGCGCCCACCGGTGATCTGTTCGAATACCCTGTAATACCCTGTAATATCCTGTGTTCATTCGTCACGCTCCCTTCAGACAGTCAGCGCCGGTCTGAATCTCAGCACATAACAAGCCTATTCTTGCCGAAAGAGTAACGAGAATAGGCTTTGAACACTGCAAAAATTCAGCTCAGCTTCTGTTTGCGTTTAGGTGTGATGCTTTGCCTGTATCACCTGGTCCAAGAGCAAAGCCTTAATTTTGAGACCCGGCGCTCTCGCCACCCGCTTCCGAACTGCCGCGATGAATTGCTCCAGAGGCGGTAGCTCGTCCAAAACATCAAAACCCAATTTGGAGAGCGGCTCCTGTGCTGAAGGGTTGGCGAGCAGCTTCACGCGGCCAAACCTAAGGGACGGGGACGACGACGACGACGACCAAGACGACGGCAGCCAAGCAACGTGACAAAAAAGCGAAAAAAGGTCAACTAAGTTGTGAAGTGATGTGGCGGTAGGCAACGAGCACCAAATGTCGCACAGTGGTATGCAGGAGCCTGTAGGGATACACGCAAATCGCTCTTTTGCTCTCGTCGCCCGCCTGCCTTTTTGGACTTTTCGGACCTCTTCTTCTTCCTCCCCGGTCTTCCTTTCTTTCAGGATTTTTCCTCTTATTCAGGCTTGGAAATGCTCACACATCCCCCTGTAAAGGATGTCTTGCCGCTTTCTCTTTTTGTTCGTCTGCGTTTGTACGTCGTCCACGTGCCGTCGCACATTTTGTTTCATGCTCACTGCTTTTGTTTGCCCTACCTGAATTCACATTTAGGTTCATTGAGTACGCGTAGTAGTATGATTAATTCTGATGGATGTTCCCATTCGCGTGAATCTACAGTGGGCTGTCATAGCCGTGCCCGTAGGACGCACGTAGGTATTATTGAACAGAGGTCGCTGCAACTGACTGTTTGCATATTCGCCCGATGTAACGTTCGGAGGTATGGTAATTCCTATTGTACAAAATCAATACAGGATCACACTGCAGAATACTTACTGCCCACGTTAGATATTCGGACGGCTTAGGTGTTCGGTGAAGATTTAGCGTCCTCGACGACATGCGCGTTCGATTTTTAATCCCCTGGTACGAATGGACTGTGCCTCCATTTTTAACAAAAAAGAAAAAAATTGCTTCACGGAAGGCAGCCATATGCGCCCCTATAAAATTTGAAACTCCTAAAAAAGCGCTCCCAGACAGGCTTGAACTGCCGACCTTGCGGTGACCAACTGCTTAACAGCCGCACGCTCTACCGACTGAGCTATAGGAGCTCACAATTTCGGGGAAACCCCGAAAGGTCTTGCGATGACTTCGCAATGAAGAACTTTTGCTTTATTATAACGCTTTGCTTATCCCACACATATCCCACACAACGTACCCCTCGCCCCCGTACACCTCATTACAAGAAATCGTCTACCAGCCCACCCAGCCCTCACCTCCTCACATCCACGAACGCAACCTTGGCGCCACCCTCCAGATCCAACTCCAGCTTGGTGAAGCGTGGGGGCCACTCGTCCGGGTTTGATGCCAAATGAATACTGCAGCAGAAATGGCGGGTTGCGAATGAATGGGGTTACGATGGATCCACCGATGCTGCCCGCACAACCCAACCAGTGCGAACAAGGCCCGAAGGCTCGGACAGCAGGACGAGGCGTTATGGCCATGCCAAAGCACTGGTGGTGATGGCTGGAGTTGCAGCTGTGGGGGTCTAATGCGTGTCTCGGGGTGCAGCAGGCCATGGGGTCCTACGGCTCCTCAAGCCCTTCACGCAACATACTGACGAGTGTGCGAGGTTCCGACCCAATGGTCATGTCGCACCGTTTGTATTTGGTCGCACCCATGTTCTGAACCACGATGCCGCCCGTCATGCCTGTCAACAAGCCAACCATCCAAGGATGAACAACCAAGGGTTCATTGTAGCCGAGGTAATGAAGTCCGTGTGGCGGGTCTCTTAAGGACGTACAAACCCACGCATGGCCGCGCCCGCCCGCGCGGGGTAGCAGAACCCAAATTGGACCTTGACTCTCTTTGGTCCACTATCATCATTCCTCCGTACATTTTCGTTCGTCTATGGCGCAGGTGCCACTGGTGGTTTGCGCTGGCGCCCCGAAGACCCACAGCCCAACACGCCGCAAAGACTGCAATTCATCTATCCGTTTGCAAGGCGACTCATGGAGGACGGCCACCGCACCAAAATGTAGCAGAGGCCAGAGCCCGTCGGGGTTGTCCAGCTCCAGCCACAGGTACTTGCCCTTGCGGTGGGCTGCAACCACCCGCCGACCCTCCAGAGCACGCCGTACATCATCCGGAGACGCGTCCTCGAAGACCTCTTTGGGTTCGGGTTTTCGGTGCGGAATTTCGGGGGCCAGGCGTGACGGAAGAAGATACCAGGAGGGAAGGGACAAATAATGTTGGGTATAGGGGAAATCCTTCGTAGTTCCCTAAGAACGGCTTCGAACGTTTTAATCGCCATCTTCAGCCTCCCAGCACGCTTGGGTTGCTAGTTGAGCGTGTAAGAGGAACTGGTTCATGCAGGGGAACACGCCAGGGGGTTGATCATACATATGCCCAAAAGGGCTTGTTGATACGAGCGGCTTGATACCAGCGGTCGTCGCCACTTACTATCGTCTTTCGCAGCCACAACTCTTTCAATCCGTTTGCCCACACAGCCTCGCTCCATAAGCCTTTTCGCTGCTTCCACCTCAGGTAGCTCGGGCATGGCGATGAGTTGGGGGCACCGAGGCCGGCTTGGGCGCGGTAACGATGGGAAAGTAAGGCTAGGACACAGTTCGTGGAAAGCTGGCCAGTCGCACTGGCGCACTTCGTTTGGATGCAATTGTCAATGGAGCCCCATATTGGTGCATGCCTCTTGCCCTGCTATTTGGCTTGCAAGGTAAGGTTGCAAGGGTCAACCGCTCCGAAACGGCATTGGCTCGTAACGACGTAACCAGGGCGAACAAATGGTAACCATTCGCGGTACACTCATCAATGATAGTGGTACTTATCGCATTAGCTGTACACAGGAAGGTTCTACTTCGAGTCAGCTTTCGACTTTCATCGACCGCTGCTTCGTTTTAGTAAAAAGCTCCAAAGAAGCGTTGAGGACGGTAAATGAAGTTAATTTTAGTGCGCATAGGTTTCGCTACCTGTCTCAGCTTTTCGGGTTAGCTTAGCAGTTGCAGTGTCCGAAGACCATGGGGCGAGAGCCCAAACCTACTGTCGGGACGGCTGTCCTGTTTACACTAGCTTTAATATGCTTGCGGCATGTATCTGCGTCGCTGATCGGTGCCATTGGTGTTGGTGAGGAGCGTCTAATCGGCTGGCGAGGCGACACGTACAAGCCGAAGGACAAGTCGCGTGTAAGCAAGCAAATTCTCAATCCTCAACATACCAATGGGAGGTGTCACAGCCATTACCATGTTTGACACGTATATGCTTGCTGCACATGTACGAATTCGGTCTGACGGAGCTACGTTTACTCCTTTTGCGTCCTAAAACTGGCTTGCCAATCACAATGGTAACCTGATGCAATCCTTGTGGGTTCTTTCAACATCCACGCCGCCGCTCCCCCCTTTTGTCCCCCGCCTTCGTTTGGCTGACCTCTTGGTCATCTTAGCACCAACTTCTTACCCGCCCTTTCCTCATCCTCGACCCACTTCCCCCCAAAATTCAGTTCCCTTTCCCTCCCTCCTAAAGCTCCCGCCCTTCTATACCCAATTTCCTCCAACCCGGCCGGCGCCTCCCTTTCTAAATATTCACCAACCCCATCCCCAACAACCCAACAACCCCAACAACAACCCCAACAACCCCACCCTAGGAGCCCTTCGTTTCCGTAATTTCGTGGCAGCCCCGGGCCTTCGTGATCCGGAACTTCCTCACCGAGCACGAGTGCACCCATATAGCGGACCTGGCGCAGGTGGGTGAGGAGGAGGGGCTTGTGTGTACGAGGTGGCGGGAGGGAGGGAGGGAGGGAGGAAAAGCGCGGGAAAGGACGAGTGGGTGTCACAAAGTAACTAGGTGGGGACTGGCGGGGACGGCGGTGGGGAAGAGTGGTGCTTTGGGTTGAAGTGCGGCAAAGAGCCGCAACACCTAGTAAGGATGGATGAGGTGGCGAGTGGGCAGGGCAGGGGAAAGGGTGGGCAAGAGAGCGGGCTGCTTCTGCTACTACTCCCACGATGACGACTGCTACTGCACGCAATACGGCAGCGTCACGGCAATACGGGTATGAGCGTTAAGTGGGTCCTGGAACTGGTCGGGGTGTTGCTGGATGGGTGCTGCTTGGTCGTACAGTTGCCAGGGACGTTGCTGCAGCTGCAGCTGCGGATGAGGCGGCTGCATCGCAAGGGTGTTTAAACCGCCCTTTTCGCGCATCCCTTTCCGTTTGCTCCAGCTGCGACTTATGTTGCCTAATCTAGCCATATACATACCTCCTTGACCTTCCTAAATCTGCTGCACCGCGCCTTCACTCACATTACCAACACCACAAACTACCCCCCCACCCCCCCCACACCCCCAACAGGTCCACATGCGCCGATCCACCGTAGTGGCCGACAACGGATCCAGTGTGTTGGACGATTATCGTACATCGTACGGCACATTTATCAACCGGTACGTGGAGATTGACCGTTGGTCATCGTTGGCCGTTGTTCGGGTGATGAGGGCCCCTGCTTTCGGGTGTTCGTCTCTGCACGCAAGTGCTAGTGCTGGTGTGTATTGGCAGTTGACAGTCGGCTCGCGGCTCGCGGCTATGCCACACCGACCCCTTTGGCCCTCCTCCCGCTGCTCCTTCCCCGCCTTAGTCAGTAACCGTATCGTCTGTCCCTTTGTGGCGTGTGTGTGTATGTGTGTATGCCCCCCCTGGCTCTCCCCCCTCCCCCCTCCTCCCCCCAGTTACCAGACTCCGGTCATAGCGGCGGTGGAGGACCGCGTGGCTCTGCTCACCCGCACTCCCGTGGTGTACCAAGAGGACATGCAGGTAGCCCGGGGGGGGAGGGTAAGGCCCGGGGGGAGGGGACGGGAGGATGTGTATGGTTTGGGGGGAGGCCCAAAACCAGCTTTACCGTCCGTCTATCTGTCTGTGTGCCCGTGTGTCTGTCTGCCTGCTCAATCTCCCCCTACCCAATCTCTCCCCCCCACCCAATACACACACACACACACACACACACGCACACACGCACACACGCACACACAGGTTCTCCGCTACGGTCTCGGTCAGTACTACCACCGGCACACGGACAGCCTGGAGAACGACTCACCGCGCATGGCCACCGTATTGCTGTACCTGTCTGAACCAGAGCTGGGCGGGGAGACGGCCTTCCCGCAGGCCGCCAGCTGGGCGCACCCCGCCATGGCGCAGCTATTCGGACCCTTCTCAGATTGTGTCAAGGTGTGGGTGCGTGTCTGTCCGTCTGTCTGTCTGTCCGTCTGTCTGTCTGTCTGTCTGTGCATGTGTGTGTTACGACCAGCTGCCATGAGCAGCACCCTAACCGCAATGCCCAAACTGATAGACACAGCCTAAGGATGCACTCTCCCGCCAACTTTCTCTGCGGCCAAGGGGTTCCGGAGCTACTCAACGCAGCTGCGTTATTGATCGGAACGCCTACGGCAGCTGTATGGTTCTTTGGACAGTCCGGCACGGGTGGTCCTTTCCATCACTTGCATTTAACATGGCCCCTTTTTCTCCCAAACCCTCCAAACCACGCCCCCAAAACGTTTCCTAACAGGGCAATGTAGCCTTCAAGCCCCGGAGAGGTGACGCACTGCTGTTCTGGTCGGTTAAACCAGACGGCCGTACGGAAGATCCGTACAGCGAGCACGAGGGCTGTCCCGTGATTCGCGGTGTGAAGTGGACCGCCACCGTGTGGGTCCACACGCAGCCCTTCAGACCGGAGGAGTTCGATGAGGCCGCACTCACGTTCAGCCGGCACGACCAGGAGGAAGATCCCGGTGGGGTGTGTGGCGGGTGGAGTGCCGGTGTCCTGATGTGCAGTGAGCCAAGGGGGTTGAGGGGTGGTGCGAGGTTGGGCTGGGCTGGGCTGCCTGTCTGACCTGGGCTGGGCTGGGTGGGTTGGGGTTAGGGCTGGGAGGGTGACTCCCTGTGGTTTTGGGCTTTGGATTTCCAACCGTTTTATATTTCCTTTTGTAAAACCCCCTTAAATACTTTAAAACCTGAAAAACCTAAGGAAACTAAGGTAACCCTTTTGCAGAGATAGCTTCCCTCCCCAACCCCGTTCCCGTCTATCAGGCTTGTGTACGGACCGTCACGCGGAATGCCCCCGATGGGCTAGGGCGGGGGAGTGCGACAACAACTCCAACTACATGAAGGGGGACGCCAACCAAGTGGGCTCCTGTCGCCGTACCTGCGGCGTGTGTGAGGACTGCGAGCTAGGCGACAGGGACTGCTACAACCGCAACAGGGAGAAGCAGGGCTACCTTGTGTATCACCCGGAGGAGCTGATAAGCGGGCGGGGGGCGGGGGAGGCGGGGTTGGACTGGAGGGAAGGGGGGGCAGCGCTGTGAGGTGAGCTTGCAGGTTGGGGAAAGAGGGGGTTAGGACAGGATTTATTGGTACGCACTGAGTTGCAGATGCCGTCCAAGTTTAGGTGGGTATGTCACGCTCCGGGACCTGCTGTTGTGTTGTCGTGGATGAGCAGAGGATGAGCAGAGGATGGGTTAGTTATGTGCAGATGTGGAGGGAGGGGGTGTGAGCAAAGGGAGAGAGAAAGGCCTAGGAGGCGGAGGGGTTGAGTTGCGTGCTAGTGCGCTGGCTGGTCAGGTGATGGATGAGGATTGGTAGGGTGGGTGGTTAGGTGGGTGGGTGGATGCGGTTTGGAAACCTGGCATTCTTAGGGGGCTGGTCAGTTCCCGCACATGCCTCTCATTCTCCTCACAGCCCCCTCGCAAACTGCCCGGTGGTAACCGACCCCGGGGCCACATCACAACAATGTGAGCTGGTCTCAGCTGATCTGGGGGAAGATGCCGATATGGGTTTATGGTAGTGTGGCGTTGTACATGTGTATGATGGAGCCTTCCTTCAAAAACTAGAGACATCTTTTTAAAAATGTCAAAGTTGGAAGTTTCGGACTAACAGGGTGAATAACTATTATTCATATGAATAATAATAAAAGTGCTGTCCAAAGCGCGCCGCGACGCCGCTCAAAGATAGCGCATTCTTGTGCCGGTTGTAACTTCTGCCAGTATGTCTGTCCCTGGTCACCTCGCAAGATCCCGACCGAAGCGTTGTCCTGATGGTGTGGCATGTCTCAAATCAGCTTCGTCTCCTGAACCCGATGGTGGGTCTCTGGCACTGCTTTCTTTGGGGCCATTTCCCGCGGAGTGCTGATATGGCGGCGAGGTGCAGTTGCGTCCGTAGCAGGGATGTGTGAGCAGTAGGGCTTTGCATACTTCCACGGTGAGGTGCGGTGTGTTGTTGGAATACCGCTGATCGACTTACGAACGCAGGCACTACAAAGGTATTAATCAGTCATTAGGCTAGACGGTTTCCATAAATCCCTAAAACGCTAATGAGAACAAATCGTACAGATACTGAAGGTGCTAAGGTGCCTAAGGCATTTTTTGGAATTTGCTTGCTTGCTGGCTTCCCTCTGTTCCCTGCCTAGCTCTACCCTCTTCCCTCCCGCGCGGATGCCGCTCTTCCGGTTTCCATTAACTCAATTGTTTTCCTGCTTACCAAGGGGTGGGATACTGCAAATCGTTCTGAGTTTGTTGTCCTCCATGCACCTCCTGAAGGCATCACGGAAATTGACCATACGGGACGAGGTATGGAAAGGCTGCGGGGTAGTGATATGCTGCTGGTAGAGCCGAAGGGAAGCTTGAGAACCACACACGGTGAAGCTGGTGAAGCTTAACCACCCTGTAACAACATCAACACGCGACATATGAAAGCGCATGGCAGCAGCTGGCGATCCCGAATGGCAAGCAAGATCTGGTAACGGTGCTGCTGGATGGATGGGTGCTGCGTTGTGGGGCTTCGCTTCTGTGCAGCTGGTCGGAGAGATTAACGAAGAAGGACTTCCTCCGCCGACTCAGAATGAGTTCCGGGCATATGCGGTTACAGGATCAGCCTCTTCGCTTGCACAGAGTTCACCTGTCACCTCCTGTTAAGTTCCGATGCATGGCTGAGGTGAGGCTGAAATTTGGAGGGCAGTTCCCTTGCAGATAGGGGCCTCGGCTGCATAGTATGGGTGGCCGGATATTGTCCGTTCAGGATATCTGAGGGCTTCAGGATGCACTAATTGTGAGGGTGGGAGTTGTACTTCGTGAAGGTGTCCCGATGAATTTGGTGCTAATTTGGTTGCATACCCCTTTCTCCTCCTCCTCCTCCTCCCCTTCCTGCGCCACCGCAGTAGTCCACCGCTCCTAGCTCTGTAGCACTCGCCCTCCGTCCATCATCAATTACCACACTGCCCCGTGAAATACTAATTTGAGTTTGGGGCTGGATGAAGTCACGGTTTTACATGGACAATGACGATGATTTACAAGGTTTACCATAATTGTGATGATATACGAGCTCGTACGGTTCAGGCGAACCCTAAGGCTCATGAACCGCCTCAGACTGGCAGGGAAAACAAAACCTTATATAACAGTAACAAATCAACAGTTTTACATGTCTGTTGCAAAGTTCAACAGGCCGAACAAAGTACAAAATGCCAGACAAATTACAACAGGCGTTCTAACGGTTTTACAGGGTCGGCCGGTCCATCTGTCCTACAGTACGGCCTCAGACCTATTCATAACTTTCAAACTGGACGTTAACTTTCGAGCGGGAATATTCGTAGTCAGCCATTTTTCTTCCTCAAGGTCCTTCGTTGACTTCTATATTTTCCGTTGTCCATCGTCGCAAATAGCCCGTTGAGCAGTGGAATTCCGAGCAGGACCGGTCATTGCCCATATTCCAAGAATGAGTCGACCATTCAGCACATTGCAGCAGTCACGGCAAATGTTTGGGGTTCTGCCGGTTCAAATGTCTCCAGACATGAACTGGCACCAAGCGGCAACTGCCCGGCAGCGACCGCTGGCATTTGACCGAAAGACTATTTCTTGCCGTGCAGCATATTACACCCTGTACAACCTTGTCGTATGGCTCCGGGGCGCTTTGTGGAGACGCCTGTTCAATAGCCACACACTAAGACCACATTCAAGATAATGTTGAAAAGTTAGTGTTCGGCCCTAAGTGGAAACACCCTGATAGCGTAATAACTACAAAGCAAGACCAACCGCGATGTAGCGTATGTATGTGCGGGTACGTACGTTTGCATCATGCCTCAAACGGAACTCAAGTCATCATCCGTTCCATGTTGTACACACATGTACTGCGGATCGCTCGAGGCAACGCCCCCAATCACGGCGGGATGCGCCCCACAGGCTAAAGGCCAGGTTAGATCGGACATATTCCCCCAAAAACTGAGACCCATCCTTGACCCGGCATTGAAATCTTCCTCCGCCGTCCTCACCTGCCCCTACCCTACCTACCCGCCCCGATACACCGCATCCGCCACCCGCAGCGCGTCCCGCACCTCCCGAACCGCATGCACCCGAACCATGTCCACCCCCCCCGCCACACACACAACACACGCCGCAGCGGTGGCGGCATCTCGTTCCGCAGGCAGCTGCCGCCCGGTGAGGGACCCCAGGAACTGCTTACGGGAGGGGCCCACCAACATAGGGCCCCCGAGGCCCAAGTTGGAGCCAGCATACGGCCCCACGGGCCCTCTTGCCGCATAAGGCCCGTCCAATGTATCCCGCCGCAAGGCAGCTAGGTTTCGGAGCAGCTCCAGATTCCCCTCTGCGGTCTTGGCGAATCCGATACCTGGGATCCAATACCAGCCCACGTTAGGGTGGGACCACTAGCATTAGCAGCAGCAGTAACAGCAGTTGCATTAGCAGCAGTTGCATTAGCAGCAGCAGCAGTAAGTCCTGACCCACCGACCCACCGACCCACGAAGCCAGCTCACCTGGGTCCAGGATGATGTTCCAAGCCGCAACCCCGGCAGCCTCCGCGGCCTCCGCGGCCCGCTGCAACTCCGCCCCTACCTTACGCCACACACTTCCGTCACCACTGCCGTACGTGGTGTACTGCGGAAGGGTCATGGTAGCAGGTTCGCCCCGCATGTGCATCAGGATGTACGGCACGCCGAGGTCCGCCACCTGACGCGGTGGAAGGGAACCCGGTGACGCGTGTGTTTGTGTGTGTATGGATGTGTGTGCCTGGGGCGCGTTAAGGGGTTGCGGACGGCAGGGCAGGGTGTGTGGGAGGTACGACAGCCCGACATGATATCGAAGTGGCGGCATTCAGCACAACTAGATCACGTAGTTGTGCAAAGCGCAGATCAACCACCAACTGACTTAACCAACCACCACCCGACTCACCGTACGGAACATGGCGGCATCCGCTGCCCCGCCCGACACGTCGTTCACCAGGTGGGCCCACCCCCCCGCCACAGCCTCCCTCGCCACGTCCGAATAGAACGTGTCCACACTGACCGGTACGGCACGTAGCCGTGGGGAGGCGCGAATTGCCCTAAGAGCATCCTCAGGGTGGGCAGGGAATACATACATACAGACAGACAGACATAGACACACATTAGGGTGCAGAAGCACAGGCGGAAGTTCCGTGGGGGACACGGGGTCAGGGAGATACATACATACATACAACATATTATACATGCGTGTGTGTGTGTGCGTGTGCGCAGCCACAGCGCAGCCCCCATCACATGGGTCTGTTCCGATAATGCACGACACACCGACATATCGACATCACAAGCACACACAAACACCATCATAATCCATCATCCACCGCACACTTGACACTGAAAGGCACGCACAAGGCGACTGAGGGACCCACCGCAATACGGGCATCACCCGCGCGAGCTCCTCCTGGGGGCTGACTCGAGGGGCACCGGGCCTAGTGGACTGCCCCCCCACGTCAATCAGGTCGGCACCCTCCGAAACCATGGCCTCCGCCGCGGCCACCGCCGCCGCTACACTGCCCGAATGCCGACCGCCATCGGAAAAGCTGTCTGGCGTTACATTTAGAATGGCCATCAGATGTGTACGGCGGCCCCAAGATAGAAGGGCGTCGCCGCCGCCGCCGCTGCTGCCGTTCCACGGCGATGACGATTTTGGCGATAACGACGACGATGATGACGACGATGACGGCGGCGGCTCAGCCGCTGCCGCCGCCGCCGCCACTCCAAGGTTGACCAGTGGCGTGACGCGTCGCATCACCTCGCCGCCAGCGGCGCCTCCGGCGCCGCTGCTGCTACTGCTGCTGCAAGTACTGGTGCTACAGCTATTGCGGCTGCCTCCGCTGCTGACTCGGCGCAACGAATCCCACCAAACGTCCCGTACGGCCCTCAGGTGGTGTACGACTGAGCCCGGGTCCCCGGCCGGAAGAGGTTGACTGCTACAGAAGGTGCTGCCGCCGCCACCGCCGCTGCTACTGCTACTGCTGCTAGCACCATCTCCGCTGCTGCTGATGGCCCACCCTCTGCTACTGCCACTGCCGGATTGTACCGGGGGCCCAGGAAGCGGCGGCGTCGAGCTCCCGGCGACATCGTCGTCGTCTCGGCGGTACAGCAAATCTGATACGGGGGCCTGTACGAACGGCCGCTCCCGCCACCTGCGCGCCGCGCCCGCGTACAAGGGCCGCGGTTGGAAGTTCGTGTAGTACGGCATACATACGTCATCAGAGTTACAGTCACACATAGCCATGATGCAGTTCGACGGCTGTGGCGCCTCAGAGGCACCACTCGCTCCAGACAGGGCACCAAAAGTCCTTCAGGCATCCACCTCCAACCCCCATCCTTTCCCCCCTTCCGCAAGCTCTGTCCCCGCGACAAAATCCCAAAGCAAGGCGCTGCAGCAGGATACGAAAACGTTTTGAAACTCTTCCCGAAAGCTTTCTTTTAGGTCGCTATTTTGGTTCATTTACTCCCCCGAAAATGCTCCTTGCATTAACTGAAGTTATATATTCTTACTGTTTTAAATAGATGATAAGTCCTGATGTCAGGTTTAACTTGGGTTTCAGAGCTACTTTGGGAGTGCTATGGTGCTATCAGGTCCTTAGCCGGACCCCCTCCCGCACCCGTCACCCTTTTTACTTTCGTAAGTCCTCTTAGGTTTGTAACTATCAGACTTTGGGGGACAACTTTCATTTTACGAAAGTCGTACAGTCGTACCGGGGATGAGGCACCTCCAGTCGTTCGTCCCGGTACGGCACCGCGCCGTAGAATACGACATCCAGGTCCAGAGGTCGCGGTCCGAAGCGCTGGGCCCCCTCGAGGTCCCGACCCGCCTCCCCCTCCACCTGCTTGAGCACCTGACGAGCAGATCCGGGCCGCCGCGGGATCCCCCCCCCCGACGTGGTGGTAAGTCGGCGGTAGATTCGTTCGGGTCACGGGGGATGATGGGGGAAGAAAGAGAGAGCCAGAGTGGGGGCGAGAAAAGTCACGCTCAGGGCCCCCAAGCTGTGGCAAATCCCGATTAGGGCTAGGAAGGAAAGGAAAGCCGTATTTCGGGCTTCGTGGGGGCCTCCGTGGGGAAATATAAACGGAGGGGGAAAGGGAAAATCCAAATTCAAATTTTCCCCCGGAAATTCCTTTTCTCAGCCCGCACCCCGACAGCCCCCCCTTCCGATCTCTCCTACATCCCAACCCTCTGTCCCACCCTGAGCAGCTCCAGGGGGGGTAGGCTGGTTCGTGCCAGCACCGCCGCGTTCAGGAAGGACGGCTGGTCCGTTACGTAGGCGGCGGCTGTCTCGAACAGCGCGGAATGGCGGAGTATCTAACGGGGTCCAGGGGGGGGGGTGGAGAGGCAACAGCGCAACGCATGGCAACACGCAAAAATAATTTCCCAGTACGCAAGGCACGAAGGAGCACAACACACAGGGACGCGCATGCAACACGTAAGGCCCACACAGGATAATTCACACCACGCGCATGTATTTGGGTTGTGGTGTTATTGTTTCTACCATGCTAGCCGCAAAGATAGGTACGCAGGAAAGGGATTCGTGTTCGGTGTTAGGTAAAGACCCCGTCTTTCCCACAAGCTTACCTGCACTCCTAGCTCCCGAAGCCTTCGGAGCCCTCTGTGTAGGTTGAGTCCCCGGTTGCCCTGAAGAGTAGGTGAGTGGAAAGGGGAGAAGATGGTGTAGAGTTCGCAGGCTGCGGGAAGGGGAGGGGGCCCCCAGTGGAGGCTGCGGCGCCCATGTGGTGCGCGGCTGGCTTTGCCGACTGGGCGATGGGCAAGTGAGACGAGAAGTTTTCAATTGAGGATTTGGCGCCATGCCGTACATACCATGTTGGTGCCCAGCGCGATGACGACGTCGACGCCTGGCGAGTAACATCGCGTCGGCCCTCTCCCAGCCGACGCAGCGATCTCTGCCATTAGAGTCGAGCAAGGTCGCAATTGAGAGGCAAACATTGATGGTAATTGGCTAGAATTGATAACTGTATGACATCTGTCCAGAATTGGGAAAGAACACAACGCACTCCGAAACCATGTCAGGAATATTGGTGCTATCTTGTTTCATTTATGAATTATGCACTGTAATTTTTATTTGGACGGCTATCTCGTCCTCCGTGAACCTTGGAGGCAGCTTACGGTTGTAGCCGTTAATCGTTAACTAACCAGCCTTGCAACATCGCGGCAACTAAGAGCTAACCTCGATACTTTCATTTATCCATTTGATTCTGCATTATAGCGACTGGTTCTAAACCTTTTGTCGGGTGAGGCAGCGGAAACCGCGCCGGAACCAACAACTGTATGGTATTCCCTTAGGCATCCAAAGCCCAGGCATTTCGGGCGATATGCCAGGCGCAGAAATCCTTAGGCTCGGCACGGACACACTTCTGCGTATCCTCCAGTACCTGGATGTCGAGAGCCTCGCGGCGTTATGCTGCACCTGCCGCGACCTTAGGAGCGCCGCTGAGACGCCATCTCTTTGGAAGTCTCTAGCACATGAGCGCTGGTACCATGCCCACACGGCGAGCTTCCCCGCTGCCTCAGAACCTGGCGCGTCTCGGGGCAGCATGCCAATTGCGCCGAACGCCAACAGGCAAGCGCAAGGCACGGGAGGCTGTGCGACTTCCTGGAAGGGCCTATTTGCTGGGGGAAACGGCTGGGAGCCGCCCCGCCTGAGGCACACAGCCAAGCTACGGTGCTTGCTTAGCCCATGCGCCCTACAACTGCTGTGGCTTCCCAACCCAATCAATCTTCCCCCCGGGAACGCAAACGCTCCACAAGGCACAGCCGGACTGCTGCTCGCATTGGGACTAGGAAAAACATTGGAACTGTGGCAATTCAGCTCGGCTGCTTTCAAATTCACGGTCGGTGGCGGCAGCACCACAACGGCAAGGAACCACGGGTCATCCCCACACGGCCCCGTAACTGGCGATGCCGGGGCCGCTGCCAACAGCAGCGATCTAACTCCTTCGACCTGCAGGGATCGAACCAGCGACTGCAACGCCAGCAACCCTGGGAAAGGCATTGATACTAGCACCGGAGGCTGTGATGGCGGTGGCGGCGGTGATGGCGGCCTCCTGCTACACAGCCTCCATGTCGAGGAGGGCGTTAGTTCCGTTGCCTGGATTGTGGGACCCCCCGGTGGGGCCGGGGGTTCTCCTGGGTGGGCTGGCAGCAGCGGTGGTGGCGTCAGCAGCGCCAGCGCCAGCGGCAGCGACGAGATGCTGCCTGTCGATGGAACCGCTGGCCCCTCTACCGGACCCACCCAACGTCCGGCACCGTGCAAACCTGCGACCGCGTCGGCAGCCACAGTACCAGCCAAGTCTGCTATCGCGGCAATGAAACCAGTCGTACTGGCGGTTGGCACCAGGCGCGGGAAGGTGGAGTGGTACCGGTACAATGACGATGTAATGCGCCGTCAGGGCAGTTGTCGTAGCACAGACAGAGCCGCCGCTGGCCACTGCAGGGAGTCGTACGGCGACGGCGGCGTTAGCGGCGCTCTGCGGCTGCTGTGCACGACTGACTGCGGCCGCTCTACGCCGCTGGCGGAGATGCATCTGCTGCCCGCGTCTGGCGGTGGCGGCGGCGGTGGGCTGCTGGCGGCACTCCAGCGGTCTGACTCCGTTCTGGACTGGGGCGCATCCCAAAATGCGGTACAGTTGTACGACGTGGCGTCGCAGCGTCACCTGTTGACGGTGTGCGAACCGTAAGTAGCTGCGTGCTTAGGGCAATGTCTGTGGGGCTTAGGGTTCACGCTTCCTCGCCGTGAGGGGCCGCCAAGGCCGTCAGCTCACGCAGCCAGCCGCCACGTGCATTTCCGAGTCTAGCCGCTGCTAGAGGATATCTGTAAGCGTGCGGGAGGCAATTCCTACCTCTTTCTCTCCGTTAGGGCCCCCCCCGCCGGTTCCTCTAACCCCTCAGGTTCGAGTCGCACTGCTTTGTTTGCTGCCGGCCCGCTGGGGACGCGTGCGCAGGCACGGACGCGGTGGCTGCCGACCCTCACGTCCTGATGGTCGGATCGGTGCATGGGGTGTTCTGCCGTCATGTACGGAGGCCGGGGGGACGAGGGAAGGGACAAGGGAAGGGGCGAGGGAAGGGGAGGTGGGGGCGAGGGAAGGGGCGAGGGAAGGGGAGGTGGGGGCGCATCACAGGACGCACAGGGTATCCACCGATGTCTTAGCAAAGGGATGAACGCCTGTCCTGGTAGTATGCTGGGAAGCATAACTAGTCTTTGCCGTGCAGTCTTGCAAAATTCGTACGACGCCACGAGCACGTGTGCGAGCTCCACCCCAGTGGCTGTACCACTGGGCTAAAAGTTCTTCGTTGACTTCGGGTTTTATGTTTTTAATGCACATTATACTAAATGCCGCATCCCACGCCATGATCGTGCGATCTGCCTGTGGGTCGGGGCAGTGCACTTCGTCCCCCATGCCATCCCTGTGCAGCCACAAGCCCCGCTCTGCCACCGCCGCGCTCTACACCCTGGACGTGCGCTGTGGTCTGACGCAGCGCTTCGGGTTGCCTCACCGCAGCATGTATCCCCGCATTGCCACGGCGCGAGAGCACTACGTCTTCACTAGCCACGCAGGTATCGCACTGGAGGTGTACGACAGGCGCGCAATGTCCGTGCCGTTGTACTCATGCGCGCGCCTGCCGTGGCGGTCGTCTGGGCAAGAAGAGGGCGAGGAGGAGGAAGGGGGCGAGGAGGAGGAAGAAGGGCAGGAAGGTGTAGGGGTCTTGGAGGAGGAGGAGGGTGATGTCGGGCCAGTGCACGCCAGCTACTACCCTGACTTTCGGGAATGCAACCCCGGGTGGAGCAACCGCCCGGCCAAGGCCAATATTCGGCACCAGGCGTTGTGGCTCGAGTCCAACGGCGACGTGCTTGTGGGTCGCTCCGATAACGGTAAGATAACGTCCACCAATACCTGCATCTCCGAAGCCCAACTCTTGGATCCTAGCTGTGGCTGTGGCTGTGGCCATAAGCGGAGTTCCCGCAGCCCTCTCTTGTTGAGGTCCTTTTATCCCTTCGTCCCCGCCGCCTGCGACACCGGGCCGTTAAACTTCTGCTGCGGATCTGGGCCTGAACACTGGAACCCAACCCAACGCAACCTCTACTTGATGTACCCGTATCCGCAGGTACGCTGTGGGTGTGGGACTTGTCCACTGTGCTCGGCTGGGCGCGCGGTCCGGACCGCAGCGGCCTGTGGCACTGGCTGTATGAGCACGGTCCTCTGGAGCTGGGGGACGATTTTACAGCGATGGCGAGTCCGGAGGCCGCGGCTACGTGGCAGTGGAGTGGTGCCGCCTCAGGGCTGGGGCGGGGCGAGGTGACGACAGCGACGACCGCACTTTTCGGCGATTCAGCCGGCGGCGGTTCGGGAATAGAATTGGGCACGGCGCCGTTTGGCGGTGGGGGCCAGGATGGGGGAACCCGGTGTGGGAGGGGGCCAGCGGTTGCGGCTGCGGCGCCAGGGAAGCCCATTTGCTTAGGCTCTGTGGTGCATGGGGCCGCCATGCCCTTGTTTGCGCTGGCGACCGGCGCGTCCACGGCTTTGTTCAACTTAGGTGGGGTACGGGATCTGTACCTGGTGGGCTCTATGGTGGCATGAGGGGGTTCGGTGAACACATGCTGCACGGAGAGGCACACGTCGAGGAGGCCGAGCGTGCCGCGTGACTGGGATGATGAGGCGATGCAGAACCCCAGGAGCCGAAATTGTGGCCAACGAAATTGCGCGTCCCTACGTTAGCAAAGCTGCGGGCCTAGAAGCGCCCCTGGAATCTTGAGCACGTGCGGCAGGATTGCGCAAATAATATATTCAATGGGTCATGGGAGAGTTGGATTAGGAATTGGAGGATTGGAGCTCTACGGGTCGGAGCTCTTGAGAAAGGGAGGCCAAGTTACTGTAGTGCTGTGGTGGTGCGAAGCAGCTGGCCATTCCTTGACCACTGGCAGTCTCAGCAGGCCACCAATCAGTACAAACACGCGGTGGGGCCTCCGCCCGACCCCGTTGCCTCTCTGCTTTATCGATGTGCACGAAAAACACCCCTTCTACTATACATCATGAACATAACAAACTGAAAACGACGTCAGAGGGCAATAACAGCCCGTCGAACGAGCGTGTTGTTTAGTTGTGGGAAGATTCAAAGCGGATGGCAAGGCGACCCGCGTACCATCCATCCCGACAGCGATTAAGTTCTTTCGTATGCAGAACATCAACGGCGCATACAGTTGCCAGGAGGGCAATCCTGAGAGACGAATGTCCTGGCGGTGAAGCAACAGGCTGGCAGCTCCACACAAGGTACAATTCCCTGGCCAATAGCGACCTGTTTCCAACCTTGCCGCCCTTCACTCCTGGCGCACTGGCACGTTGCCCCCGACCCTAACACACACGGGTTCGATGCAGCCTCTGTGCTCTGCCGGGGCACATTAGATGTTCGAGACCAACATAAGGAGCATTATCAGAACAACCACATCTAAGCGCACCCCAGCTACCAGGCAAAGTCGGAGCATTTGTATTAACTCACAACCAAGAGTCCTGCAAATCTGTACAATATTGTTGGGCGGTCGCTTTCACCAGATCCACTTCATGGGAGCAGTAATGCAGCGAAGATGTCTCGGGCATAGGACATGTTAGCGTCTCTTCAGTAAATCAGCTTCTTTAGATGTGTTCACAAGCCTGTACGGGGTAGGTAGGTTCCAGAGCCACGCTGGATGGTGAACCCCCTAACCCCCTCGGGCTGTCCCCCAGGGTTGAACATTGGGCCGCTCGTGCCCAACACGGCTGCCGAGCTGCACATATATGTAAACTTAAAAGAGAGCCTAAAGAAATGAATTCCCCCACAGCACGTCCCGGGAACACACTCGCGCAGACGAATCGTAAAACATTATTAAGGACAACCACAGCCGACAATATCGAAATACACACTGCCATAACTCATTGGGTGACAGGTCACGCGCGCCTCTGACCCAGCGGTGCATGGAACGGACAATTCCAGCGGCACGGTTTTCCTCCCTTAATGGCTACCACGATCAACGACCCACTTTGGGCCGGCCTTCTCATGCAGTTGTGTGCCTCCTGCGCTACATTTTCCAAGTTGGATCTGTTGTTGCTCGATGCTCAGTAGTTCCAATCTCAACAATTTTGAGGGAAAACTCCAGACACGCCAATTAATGGTCGCACGAGGTCACTTTCTCCGCCGACTTGCCGGAGGAGTCATAAACCCGCCGTCGTAACGACACCCCCGTCGCCACAACCGACAATAAAGTACCCTTCTTCCGCAACCCACCATCCCACCGGGCAACTCCGGAAAACATTATTTGTTAGTAGCTCACTCGCATTACCAAAATTCCTGAAACCTGCCCCGCGTCGGAGCTCCGGAACTAAACCTGCGGCCAGTTCTCCGGACGCAACGGTCCACGTGCCGACACCTCCTGAGTGAGGACTGTCGAAAGCCTTCACGCCCAGAGCAGTCAATCCGCAGGACCAAGCAAGGTGCTGTGCAGTGTGTCTCAATTCCAAGCCGCTCCGTGAGTCAGCTGGTTCCTTGAGACGTTAAAACTGCTGCACTTGCTCCAGTGATGCAGCGATCACGTCCTGGACGTTGGTCAGCTTCACCAACGCATCCACCATCGTAATTTCGCTCTCTTTCTTCCAGATGACCTCGCGCACCTGGTGCTTCGCCAGCGGGTTGGCGATAAGGTACTCCACCTGTGGCAGCGCGTGTACGCAAGGGCAAACAGGAACAAGAAAAGCCAAGCCAGATACGCTGTCAGTGAGAGACGACCGAAGCGACTGTACTCGTGACAGCATAATGCATGTGGTGCGACCGTAATACAGTGGCATGCGGATGGCCATGCCATGCCACCACCAGGGAGAAGCAAGGTGCTTTGCCAACCTAAGCACAACCAAGGATTTGCCGCCCAAAGGCCTCACCAGTTGTTCGTGCGTAATGAGCCGCGCGTGCACCTTAGTTGCGCAGCGGACCGAGGCGGTGCGCAGCAAGCTCTTGCTGAACAGCGCCATCTCGCCCACCAACTCTCCAGGGCCCCGTTGCGCAATCAACAGCTCACGCGACGTGCCTGCAAGCGCGGCACAGGGCATGGGAATTCATCCGAGTCCTTTACCAGCTAATCACGAATAACTATCGCACCGCTACACTATGCTGGCGCTTTGGATTAAACTTTAAGGAGCAACGGAAGGCATCACATCCGAGCATTTAGGAACACCCAATACTTCCAGGCAGCAGTGCAGCTGATTGCGCCGCACCCTCTCCTAAGGGCAACAAATCAACCCGAGCTACCGCACCGCTCACTTCCATCGGCCCCGATCTCCACAAACGCACCCGCGTTCGCCTGCAGCGAACGCACAAATGCACCAGCCTTCTCGCTTGCGCGCAGTAAGTTGATGCGATGCTGGCGGCTTTCCTCGTCAACAATGGGGGACATGGTGTCGCTGTCCTCCATCGCTTCATCCACGTGCGTGCCGGGCCTGGACCCCCCCGGCCGCGCAGCGGAACTGCTCGGACCCTGACCGGCCCCCTGACCAGCAGGTTGGCCGTTAGCAGCGCGGCGCGGCAGCGTGGTCCATTTGACCAAGATGTCCACAGTGCCACTGACGATGTAGAGAAGGTAGGCACCTGTCGCGGCCATAGCGATGCTAGCGGTCGAGAGAAATCGCAACGATGGTGAACGTCCACAGTAACAGGGAGCCGCTACAGGTGGCGACTATTACAAAACGCAAACACACGGGGGTGATATTGCGCAAATCATCCTTTACCGTGACATTGCACACCTTTCTAAATGATATCACTTCAGCATCCAATGGCAGAAACCAAAACGACGTGCTAGGCCTGTCAACATGTTAGCGTGTAGGGATGTTCACTCCAGTCCTTACACTCACCCGTCTCGCCATGACGCATGATAATGTCACCCTCCTGGTACACCCGCTCGTGGCGGCTGAAGTTGGCGAGGCCCATGAGGAAGTCAGGCTTCGGGTTGGCCTCCGCAAACGACATGCCGCAAGTGACGCCGTTGTGCATCTCCTGCGTCTCGCCCTCACTCAGCTCCCGGTACGGCTTCAACGGAAACTTCTTGTTCATGGTAACCCAGTCGTGCTTCATCAGCTCAGACATGGTGATGCGCTCGCGTGGGTTCTGCGAGAGGAAAAGGTATACCAATGGATTGCGAAAAAATAATTACAGCAAACGAAACGGAAAGACCACGGCGGCTACCAGACACATGGACGGCCGCATCATAACCAGGCTGCCCCTACTCCCAGTTCCTCGGAAACTTTGGGGCAATGAAATACACATCGGAATTCCGGACGGGATTCGATGCCGATACTGTACTAGACCTTGACCAGGCCAACACACGCACCCAGTCAATACGCTCGCCACGCAGTAAAAAAGGAGGTAAGGGTACTACTAGTGCCCGTGCTCTTCTTCACTTCTTTGCCTAGTTACGGTATACGCGCCGCCATGGACGTGGAGATGGCACGCAACGCATATCCTTGCAAGGTGGATAGAGCGACCTTGTATGGAACTGGGCGCTAGCGACCTTCCATGACAGAACAGGGCGTGAGCTTCCATTCACCAAGTTTGCAAAGGAAACGCTACCGCCATGTCACCACCTCCCCACCTTAGTGAGCATGCCCCTGAGAAGGTCCTTGAGATTCTCCGAGATAGGGACGTCCGGCGGGTACCGCACGGGCTCGTTCTGCACCACCTGGAACAGCTTGTACAGGTTGGGCGCTGAGAAGGGGATGCGTCCAAACAACAGCGTGTAGAGGCAGGCCCCCAGCGCGTACACATCCGTCGGTCGGCCACTGCAGACATAAGGAGCAGACACAAGGTACGGTCTGATCTGGAGACACTACTTACTGCAAGTTGCGGTCTAAGGTCCTGGGTTTGATTCCTGGGTAGACCCCGACATTGTCGGGAGCGTGAGATTATGGCTGGAGATGCTGAGATCTGGAATTGAGGTCACAGTTGATGGACCGAGATTCGCGCAACAACAACAACAACAAGGTACGTACCAGAGACATGTTTCGGAGCCTTGCCTAAAAGCAATACTGCAGGTTCGTGGCTTCAACAGCACAAAGCCTACGATCCTCCGTATAACAAGCCCCAATATCCGTAATCTCACCAAAAATCCATTTCAACACGCGCCGCGCAGGTACGGGCGGGATCATTACGATTGCCTGTATTCAGCCTTTCTGGAGCTGCTGCGCCCGACAGGGAGCGAAATGCACTTGACACACACACACGTCGCATCCCTTTCGGTACGGCGGCTTGTGCCGTGTTAGACCTCCTACCGGTAGCGCGTGTTTGGCCTCATCATCTCTGGCGCCAAAAATGCCGGTGTCCCGTTGCAGCGCTCCAAGTACTCATTCCCGGTGGCAAACACTTTGGAGCAGCCAAAGTCTGACAGCTTCACTTCGCCACTTGCCGCCATGAGCACGTTCTCAGGCTTGAGGTCGCCGTGGACGACCTTGTTGCCGTGGAGGTAGTCAAGCGCCTGCGGTTACATGTTCGGCACCGTAATGGCAAAACGATCTGCAACCCGCCTGTGCCTTTCGTGCCTTCACCCTTTATTACCCGCCGTAACAGCGGTGTTGTTTTTCGCTTTGCCGAGCAACCCCTGGAAAGCTTTGATCTAGCGTAGATGCAAAGTTCATCTCCAATACGACAGCGCTTCATCGCGCCAGCACGCTTCCGCCAGCACGCTCGCGCCAGCCAGCATTTCACCATCCACCACTACTATTATAATTACACACAAAAACATAGTACAAAAACATAGCATTTGGAAGGGTAGAACCGTGCCCCAATCCGACACATGACAAGCAAGCTCGGGAGCAGCAATGCAGCAGAGACTCAACCTTGGAACTGCTCGCGTGCAAACGTTTCGCCTGGGCCGCGCGGCATGTCAATCCCAGAGCTCAGCATCTTCCTCCTTTCAACCCAACCCGCACACGCCCTTAACCCGGACAACTGCTAAAGTGCTTTCGTCCAAAGTGAACCATGCTGCGCATCTCACAATGTGCATCGAGACCTACCTCGCCCACTTCGCCTCCGTAGCGCTTCCTGTTCAGACACAGATTGCTATGGCTCGCCCTTCAGGCCCATGACCCCATACCGTCCCCACACAGATCTCAGCCCGAGGACGCGAATTACCAAATCGCGTACGCGGCAAAACTTGGGAATAATGTTGTACTGCGATGCCCTTCGACGCAGGATGGACAACACTAATGACCCAGATCGGGAAATGCTCACCTTGATCATGTCCCGGAAGTACTGCAACGCCAAGCTCTCCGGCAGCCGTTCGCGCTTCTCCAGTGCCTCCCGCGTTAGGACAGGGCCCCCCTCCATGAACTCCATGACCAGAAGCAACTTTGAGCCCGCCGGGTCGTCAATGACCTCGCTGAGCGTGACAATATTATTGTGTTTCATTTTCTTCATAATCATGATTTCACGTTTCAGATCCTCCATGGGATTGCGCCTCTTTGCACCCTGCTGCTGCGGCTGCGAGCTCTCCAGGTCCACCTTGCGGACGGCCTGCAGATTCAGGCGGCCCACTGCCTCAGCCAACTGAGTCCTTCCATATAAACGTGCACACCCACGAAATGTACGCACCCACGAAGGGAGCTTCCGACACAGATGTGCAAGCAGTAACAAATCCGATGCCCGTACGTGCCCACCTCCAGTGACCATACCAAACGTACTTCCCCGTCACCCCAAGCTCTCCCCCCAACCCTGCAAAGGTTCCTATACACGGAAAAGTCGTTACCTTCATGGCATACAAGCGCAAGTCATACGTGTTGAGGCACAAAAACACCTTGCCGCAGGCACCACGGCCAAGGAACTTGACCACCAAATACTGGTTTACAAACATGTTTCCCTTAACTTTGTCAATCCTCAATGTTGTCGTTTCCCTGCGCACCAGCAGCCTAATCAGCGACTGCGCTCGCTAAGCGTGCCATGGCAAGTGGGCACCTCACTTGTATTCGTTATCAGGCCCAGGAACGTGTTTCTCTTGAGCGAAAAGCGAGTTGTGAAGGGCCTTCTCCATGACGCTTGCACCCACCACTGGGACATCGCAGTCTGCACGGGACCGTTTCCGTTGGCTCTTGCTTTTTACCTGAAATGCACGCGGCACACTTACCCCTTGGTTGCGCCTCCTCCTCGACGTTAAAATTCGCGGTCGAGCATTGATCCCAGTCTGAGCCTTCCTCATGCTCATAGTCTGCTGCTCCTTGCCGCTTGCTGATTTCTGACCGTTTCCCCTTAGGCGGTCCATGATGATTTACAGAGGCTACAATAGCAGTAATTTATGTAAACCACTCATGTCCGCTCCGCTTTCTCGTTTGCAACGAAACCGCACCTTGCCCGTTAGGCGACGCCTGAGTCACTACGTCTGGACTTGTATACAAGGGTTGCGGGACAGGATACTGCTGTGCCAGACTGGTGGTCGAATGTGTTTGGCTCGCAGCTTGCACCTGAGCAGGCGCATCTAGTGGCGGTGGCGGTGGCACAGGCGCAGCGGCCTGTTTCAACTGCTGTTGCGGTTGCTGCTGTTGCTCCTGTATTAGAGCCGGCTTTGCAGCTGCTGCATGCCTATTTCCGTTGGCTTCGCGTCTGCGTAAGCGACCGCCAAAAAAGTGACAAGAGGCGCCTTCATTACATCACACTAACTGAGCTCACCCTGCAACGGCCCCAAGATTGGCCGATTCTTCTTTGGATGAGATGCAGCCCATTTACTCGATGAGCCTATGCCCTCAGGTAATTTAATTAGAGCTCAGGTAACGAACAGCGGCCCAAGCACTGTAAGCTATGGAAACACAATCATGACCCAGGCATTTCTCTAAGATAGGGAAAGCGAAAAAACCCCTGCGTGCAATCCGGCAACCAAATGGAAGTCCAGGGCACGGCGAATCCCAGCTGCTTGTGTCCAGTTTTGTGGTACTTCATGCATTTATTGAAAACTGCCACACCAAGTCAATATATATACATATAATAACGGTAGACTTCGTCAGCGTGGACAACCTGCCAGCCATGGCCCCAAAAGCTTCGAGCCAGCCCGCTTGGAGCAGCACGGCATGGCAAAACAACCTCAATTATCGGGCCTTTGATTTTCGTTCTTTGCCACCGGCCTTTGGAGGAGGGGTTATATGAGCTGTACCGTTGGCCTGACCGCCCGATGGAAGGCTTCCGGCGTCCGCGTTCTCTTGGACAATCTCCTTAAGGACACGCAGCTCGTTCTCTGTGGCCGTGCACTGCTTCTGGGCCAATAGGTTCACGTCCAGCAGTCCATCATCGTACCCGATGCAAAACACCGGGACGCCGCTGGACTTATCGCCCTGGTTCACCACCGCGATGTCAAAGTACGTCGGCAGCGACGCCACTTGCTTGCTCTGCGGATTGACGTGTTCGAGAATGTGCAGGCAACGTATGCATTCAACAAAGCGCCCACCCGTTATAACATGCCCCGCTGTCAAATGCGGCCGTAGTCCGGCGTGGAGTCACTCCATAATGGCACGCCTAGCCACGAGCAGTCACTTCGGCATGGCAGCAGAGAACAGCTAAGAAACTTACCTTTAGCATGAACGACTGCGCTGCGGTGGGCGCGCTGCGCGACACGGTTAGGTCGAACGTGAAGAGCATGCACAACGAGTCGAGAGCAAAAAACACCGTCGGCCGCAGCGGTGACCAGCGCACCACCAGCATTTTGCCACGTGAAACATCCGGCCACACCGACACTGCCGGGGACGCATGCATGCAGTGCAGCGTCACAGTGCCGTTGCTGTGCCCGGACACGAACAACTGCGGCACGAACGGCGACGCCGCCAGGCAGGTGACACACGACGGCACCGGCGGCGCATTGGACTGGATGGCCAGCGGGGACTTATGGTCATCCGGCACATACTCCTTGGGCGCCGGCGGCGCGCCCAGCAGTGAACCACGGAGCACCTTGCCCGCGTCGCTGCCCACCAGCAGCTGCATGTCCGCACCAGGCAGCACCTGAAGCGAGAACGTCTGCACCAGCTGCATCGCAGGAAGGCAGCGGGTTGGAGAAGGAACAATGGGGCCACCGGAATTGCAGGATTCAGCCAAGGGGCGGAGCGTGAAGGTAGTCCGGGTTGCAGCTCAACAAGATCAAATCGTAGGCAAGGCAAGGCAAAAGGAGCAGCGCACACGAATGGACGCTAGGACCTGCGGAACTGGGTCAGTATAGGCACGACCTAGCATGGGCCCAGACCGGTATGAAACCGATGGCCGCGTTCAACTACGCCTGAACCCCCGAGCAGTCCCGTCGCTCCAACTTGCTGCGCCAGCCTGCCGCCAATAGGCCCTCACCCAAGGCCGCCGTCCACCAGACCTGACCGCCACCCGCCCACCATACCTGGTCCAGACGGACCGGCTCTCCTGGCACCACTTGCGGCGTGGCCTTGCTCTTGGAGCCCACCAGCGGCCATAGCGTGCGCTTTCCCAGTTTCGACATCTGCGTAGTGCGCACCAGCTTAAGCCGGCTACCGGGCCGCAGCCCGATGTCGGAGTCCGCGGCGTTGCGGTCCGCAGGTGCCAACAGCACGGCCGTGTACACCGTCACAGTGCCCCATCCGTTGAGACTGACAATCTGACACGGACGGGTGCGGCTGTCGGCTACACGCGGGCAGGCGGGATATGGCATGGCACGGATGGGGAGTTGTTGCATGGGAACAATGGGTCAAACACATGCATGGCGTAGCGCAGAAAAGGATGGACGCAGCGCCGTGCCGCACTCCCCCAAGGCTTTCAGAGCTGCAACCAGCAGTGTAGGACTCACGCAAGCGCGTCAGGCAGGGCGAATTACTGGTCAACGAGCTCCTTCAGTTTGGATTGCTACCAGTGTAAATGGATGGCTTTCCGGGAAGAATGGGCGGAGCGGTGTAGCGGCATGGTGGACAACTCGGTTTGTTGAAAAAATGCGCGAGTCATACACGCCACACAACCCTCGCCCGACTGCGACCGCCTAACCCTCAACCCCTCCCAAGTCCACAACGCTTCCCAAAACCCCAAATAGCCCGCAGGGTCCCTACTGCGTGGCGTGGTAGCGATGCCGACGATGGGCGCCGCGGTAGTGGCCACGTCGGCCAGGTATTCGGTGGTGTAGGAAGGCCGCCGCAAAGACATGTTGACCCCGCCAACCTGCTCCATCGGGTGCCGCGACTCCGGCTCCTCAAGGTCCCAGGCGCATACACCGCCCTCCTCCATGCCTGCGTGCGGATTGGGTGGGTTGTGTGTGACCATACCAAACATTCCACATAAAAAGTGAATGCACGTTTGCTAAATAAGGAATTACAGGCAGGAATGTATAACAGAGAATGGATGAAAGATGAAAAGGCAAGGGGACGGCCTTGCCTAAGCGGACAGGAAAGGCCACGTGGAGCCACACGTGGCGACGTGGCTCTCCCAGCCTGCACCCTGACACACCTGCAAAGACCAGCGTAGTGGAGGGCGCCGGCGCCCAGCAGCAGCAGGAAGGGCTGCCCTCGCTGACTAGTACCGACAAGGGCGGCGCGGTGGGAGAGCTCAGGTCCCACACGCAGAGCATGCCTTTGCCTCCTAGAGAATGGTCCTGTAGGACAGGGCAAGGACATGGGCACGGCAGGACGCAACGACACAGCATTGCATCCGCATCCCGTAAAGACGATGAATCTGGGTGTCACCACGATTAGAATTTGACACTTCTTGCGATTTTCTGCGGTATCTGTCTGTTCCTGGAGTATCCGTCTATCTCGGGTATCAGCAACACTCGTCTGTGGTTCGTCTTCCCCCTGTCTCCATGCCCACCAAATTCACGAGTGCATCCGCAACGTAACCGAGGCAGGAGGCCTGGTGCGAATGTGCCCCATCTTGCTGAGCAATGGCATTTACTCTACGACACGCACCACCGCCTCACCACCGAACCGTCTGGCCACGTGTCCCCACAACACGGTGAAAAAGGTTGACGTCAAACTATGCAGCAAAGAAACAAGACAGCAAAGAAATCACACATCGCTCTTGTGTAGATGCCTTCGGCAGAAAGCTCACCTGCAGCAGCGCCGCTGCCCCCAACTGGGCACCCACTGGAGCGTATGACGCCAGCAACAGCGGGCTGGGCCCCGGGCAAAACGCCAGGCCTGTAACGGGCCGCTGGGCCAGCAACGCCTCCTGCTGCCGGCCCAGCTTCAAAGTCCCCGCCGAGAGGCCGTTGTCCGCGCCGCCCAGCGGTGGGATCGCTACCTTCCTGGCGGCTGCGGAGGACATTTGCCAGGAATATTGGTGGGTGTATGCTTACCAAATGCAATTAAACAGCAGTCGCAGTCAAGTATCTTTTGCCGTTGGGACATGGGGCCCAAGATGCGGTCAAGGGTGAAGCGGAGAAATGGCGACGGGGTACTCTGTACTCCTTATACCCTCAAGCTTCTCAAGCTTGCAACTTCCGCTTACAAGCCGGGGCCCACTTCCACCGCTGCTGTTCCTGCTACCTCTGTTGCTGCTAGAGTACTTACTGGGATTCATGCCGAGTGCCGCGAGCATGACAGGCCCGGCCCAGCGCATGAAGGATACCAGCTTGCTTTCCTGATCAGGTGCCATGGCCACGATCCGCATCACCGCACGGTTCACAGGGTTCGCCGCCGCCGAGTTGGTGGCGGCAGCACCGCCACTCGCCGACAGGGTGTGCTCGCCCTCAAAAGCGGTATTACGGTCCTCCGGAACCTGGCAGCTGTAAGTACAGCAGTAGATCTGCAAGAAGCCCAGTTGAACAGGCGCACAGCAGCCGGCAAAGGACTTGCGAGATGCATTCAAATGTTGGGAGCGCGGAGAGTTGCGAGAGGGAGAAATCATGTGCAGAAGTTCAAGATATAACCGCCGACGCCCAACGCGTCAACGGAGGGAAAAGGGGGTTTGACAATCACCACGCCCCGATGGCATCCGGGTGCTGCCCGGACGATGCTGCGGTTAGACGTGCAAGAGTTTTGCTTTGGTCGTGAAAATAGGTGTTCGGCGCCAGTGCTCCTGCGCGAAATTCTGCCGCCGCAGGGTGCCACACCGCGGATATCGCGGAGTTATGTTGCATATGCCAACTGCCTATGAAGACGCGGCCGCGCGTTCACTAGTGGTTGTCTTCATCAACTGCACTCCAACCATAAGGCGCCAATCGCATGATAGCGATATCGCCCCCTTTCCTCCCTCCTGTTGTCAATTTCCCGGCTCTCAATTCCCACCTCGTCCGTTTGCTGCTCCTCCTCCTTGTCGTCTTCGTGGGTCTGCGATGAAGCCACCTTGACGCCAGCGTACTGCGATCTGCCCATGTTGTACAATTCGTATTTGGACAGGGACTGCAGCTGCGGGAAATCCTCCATAACCACAACTACCAGCTTGAGCTGCAGGTGGGCGAGGGTGGGGCATAAGGGAGAAAAAAGGATGGAAAAGAAGTTGAGGGCGCGAAATGTCCGTGCGCGAAGGCGGGACGGTCGACAGTTTGGTATAGGCACTGGAAGTTAACGCCAGAACCGAATGTGTGCCTGCGTAAGCCTACTCCTTAGCAATCTCCCTAAACAGGAAAAGAAGTTGAGGGCGCGAAATGTCCGTGCGCGAAGGAGGGACGGTCGACAGTTTGGTATAGGCACTGGAAGTTAACGCCAGAACCGAATGTGTGCCTGCGTAAGCCTACTCCTTAGCAATCTCCCTAAACAAAGGGCTGCCAATACAGGATTGCCCTAAGTCTTCCCCGCAAGTGGATAGCTGGCTGATGCCGGTGGGAAGCCGTTTCTCAAGCGTTTTTCTTGGCCCGCGTGAGGGGCGTGGTCTCTGACTTTCCAGAGGGTGAGCAAAGCACCATACCACCACCGCCGATACGGATCTGCACACAAAACCAATTCACCACACAGGGTGCTGAAACAGCCACGATGAGTCCCTTTGGTTCCGGGCGGATCCAACTCGTCAGCCCCCGCCGCTGGCCCGTCAGCCCCCGGGGCCAACTCACCATTTTCTTCCTCTTGATGGCCCCGGCCAACTTTTTCATGGCCGTCTTGCGTTGGGCGTCCGTGAGTCCCGCAAAGGCCGGAATGTCGACTATAGAGGGGTTTGGAAAGTGTGTAGACGAGGCAACAACTTAGGCGCTGCGGGTTCTAGGCCCAAATGGTGAACCTGTTCAGGGCGGGTGCATACTGGTGCCGAGGATATCCGGGTGTTTTTTTTCCGGGTGTGCGACCTAACGCAGTGCTTACTGCTGAAGTATTGTGCAGCGGTCAAGTGGCGGACCCACCCCAGGTACCCAGCGTGCAGTGCGTCTGTCTGGATATTTGTTGTCCGTATGCTTTCGAAGCTGGCATTGAGCCACCCCGTTGTCCAGTGTATCCAGTGAAGAGGAGTGCTGAGCTATGGTCGAACGAGCCGCCGCACCCACCTGTCCGGGAGACCTTGCCCGGCAAAAATGTTGCCCCTGCCGAAGGCGGCCGTGCGTTTCCGGTGTAAGACATCCGAACGCCGGCCCCCCGCTGAGGCGATGGCAGGTCTTTCGGGGTGGAGGGCGCCGGCGTCGCGGCCTTTGACATGTTCTTCGGCAGGACATCGTAGTCGTCCTCGTCATCTTCCTCACCCTATATAGCAACCAAAAGCGTCCCAAACAGCTAAGCATGGTTTGCAGACGTTTGCAGCTGAGGTGAAGCTGAGACACGACATGCCAGTCCATTCGCCGCTGCACGGAACGAAGCTCCTGTTGCCCACCTCAAATCCATCATCATCATAGTTTTCGAACTCCTCGTCCTCGTAGTCCGACATGGCTCAGCTTGCCCAAAGCCTCAAGCAATGGGACCGGCCAGACTGTCAGCTCCTATACGTCAAACCGTAAAAAGTTTTATCATAGCACACGTTCAGGTGTTAAAACAATCGTTTTGTAGCAGTCCCAAATCCTGCAACCCACGGTCTCGCTGTTCGGTAGTGATTTTGTAAATGGTACAACAACAAAATAGCCCTTAACCGTAATCCAGTAACAGGCGAAGGCTTGGCTATTGCTCTGCCACCTGAGGAGGGATTTGCCGTATTTGTACCACGGTTGCGGTAAATGGCCGAAAATGCAGTTTCTAACAGCCAGAGCTGTGTATGTACTACGAGCAGGTGGCGAATAAAATCATTGCTACCTAGGAGGCTTGTTGAACAAATCGCTGCCGGCTATGTGTTGAGCTACGCATGAGGGCTTTTACCTCCAAATCCATGGCATCCCTTAACCTACAAAAACTCCTTCGGGCACCAGTGGAAATGCCGCAGCTCTTCGCTCCTGTGGCGCCGGCGCTTGCCCGAGCCCACAGGGCCACCGAGTGGCGGCCATCCCAATTGCCTAACACCAGGCGACATATCAGCAAGGTGTGCCCTACCCAGCCAAAGCGTTGCATACATCTTCGTATACAGTTGAATTGCGATGCGTGCGGGAAACCCCCAACCGACCCGTGGTGGTACTCCCTGCCTAGTCAATCTGCTAGCCCTAGAGCGATCCGTTATGCGGGGACCAGGGTCCCCTACAAATATCACTCCACAAGCGTGTCACTGGCTCCTGCGCCGCAACGATTTATTTAGGCGAGTGGCGCTCTTTGCGATACATGTAAGGAGCAGGCCACGAGCTGCCGTACAGCTGTGTTGGGCCTCCCCCACACTGCACACATGCCGTCCGATTTCATCCCATCCCATCGCAATTCACAGCAGGCCCTGCCGAGTCCCGTCACGTCTTGGCATCCCTATTCATGAAAGATCACCGCATCAACTAACCCAGTTAGTTTGGCCTCTTTAACCTCTAGCACTGTCGGCCACGGACCCTGCCACGCCACATGATATGTCCACTACACGCCCCTTCACTGCCCGCGTCTGGTCCCTCGCGCCGCTTTCCAGGTGGCAGCAGCGGCGGCATCCGATCCCGCCAGCGGCCCAGGACCTTCCTCTAATACGGCAGCAGCGCCTGCTGCTTCTGCGAGCGCTGCCTTTAGCCACAGCTCTATCAGCAGTAGCACCAGTAGCAGTAGCACCAGTAGCAGTAGCACCAGTAGCAGTAACAGGTGGTATGCGGAGGAGGACTATGACGTCATCGTGGTGGGAGCGGGCCATGCAGGGTGCGAGGCAGCGCTGGCGGCGGCGCGCCTGGGTTGCCGTACGCTGCTGCTGACCCTTAACTTGGACCGGGTTGGCTGGCAGGTGTGTGACAGCAACAGCGGGGAGGCGCGAAAGCGTGTGCGACGACGGCTCGTCCCGCGGCACCTCTGCCTCCCGTCCACTGAACTGCGCTGCCGCCTCTCAACTCCGCTGCGGTGCGGTGCTATCATCGCCACTGACACCTCCGCCAACTCTGCCACTACCACTAACTCCGGTACTGTTCGTGCTACCGCCCTCGCTACCGCTGCCGCCAACGCTACGTGCTAACAACTACCGCTGCTGCTGCTGCTGCCGCTGCTGCTGCCGTTACTACAGCCGTGTAATCCCGCTGTAGGCGGCCCCGCCAAGTCGCAGCTGGTTCACGAGGTGGACGCTCTGGGGGGCGAGATTGGCCGCATGGCGGACCGGTGCTACCTGCAGCGGCGAGTCCTGAACCGGTCCAAGGGCCCGGCGGTGTGGGCGCTGAGGGCACAGACAGACAAACATGAGTACTCTCGAACCATGCGGAGGGTGCTGGAGGAGCAGCAAGGGCTGGAGATTCGGGAGGTGGGCGATGGCGGGTTGTGGAACGGCGGGTCGGGTGGGAGGTGTGCTGGTGGTTAGGGACGGTGGACGGGCGGGTCGTTGTGGTTGGTAGTTGGGCCGCCTAACTGTAATTCTAACCGTCCGAACGGCTTTTACCAACTGAACGCCCAGAAGGCTAACTCCGCAGTCCGCACCGCCGCCGGAACACACAGCTCTCTTTTGAGAGAATGACAACTCGCCAGCCCTGGAGAGAAACACACACGCACACACGTACACACACACGCACACGCATATGCCTGGCCATTGTCCAACTTATGGATACCAAAAGCCCTACCTGGCAAGTTGGCTTCGCGTATATGGACTACGTCCGTCAATTAATTCCCCCTCTCGCATTTCTTGCAATTAGCCCCCCTCCTTGCATACATTTCCCTCCTCCTTTCAAGGCCATGGTTGTGGGTCTGGATGTGGGGCCCAATGACGAGGTTCGCGGCGTAAAGACCTACTTTGGCATCACCTTCCGCTCCCGGGCGGTGGTACTCACCACGGGCACCTTCATGAACGGCACCATCTGGGTGGGCCGGCAGTCCATGTCAGCTGGCAGGTACGAATCCGTACGTACGGTGCGTATGGAAGCCGTCCTGCTGTATGCCGAACACATGTGTGATATGGCACAGGCAAGGTCTACGTTCCAGCCAACTCCTGTAACGAGACAGGAAATGACGAATCCTTGGAAAACGACAGATGCGAAAACAGAGAAATTAGTGGGACTTGAACCCGGGATGTTGACAGGGCGTGTGCTGGGAGTTGGTGGGAGTTTTCCAAGCTTAAGAAACCCATACAACAGCTAGGTAAAGGACCGGTAACCCGCAGCAACATGGGTTTCCTTCGCTCTCCTTCGCTGTTGTCTTTTCCGCCCCTCCCGGTGTCAGGGCTGGCGAGGCTGCCAGTGTGGGCCTTACGGAGGCGCTGCAGTCCCTGGGCTTCGAGACGGACCGCCTAAAGACCGGCACCCCAGCACGTATCGACGCCCGGACGGTTAATTTTTCAGTGCTGGAGCCCCAGCCGGGAGAGGAGGAGGTGAGGGGAGGTGAAGGAGGAGGTGGAGCAGGACGAGAACTCATGAACCAGAACAAGCTCTAACCGGAAATGGCGCGAACGGAACGGGGACGACGAAATGGGGCGAAGTTGAAGTTGACCCCAGTGGGAAAGCTGGGTGGGTTGCAGCGGATTTGTGTGCACATGGAGGACATGGGAGTTAGGGGCCGGGGAACGGCAATCAGGAAACCGGCGAGCCCTGCCGCTGTGTAAGCCCGTGACCCCTTCCCACATTCATGTCCTGCAAGTTCGCCTGTCTGTCTGTCTGTCTGTCTGTCTGTCTGCAGGCCCGCTGGTTCAGTTCGACCCCGAGG